CAGAAAACAAGTGGGATTCCAAAACCAAATAAATTTATGGAAGAATAAAGCTCAGTAAGGCAATTTGGAAAAGTTTGAGTCAGTCCGAAAAGATATTAATAAAACTATTCATAAAATTGTTATTGACCATTTGACAACATTAGAGGAGAGAATTATTCATCATTTCCCAAATTTAGATACAAAAAAATTTGATTGGGTTCGTAATCCATATGGGATAACGAATACTTCTATATTTGAATTAACTTTGAATGAAGAGGAAGAAATAATTTCGCTTTCTAATAATCGAGATTTAATTTTAAAATATTTGGAAGAATCAATTAATTCATTCTAGATTAACATTAGATGCGATTATCTCATGATAGATTTAAAAATATTATTACAATTTTCTACATCTTATTTGTGTGAATTCGGATTTTCAGTATTAACCAATATAAAAACGAAAAAAGATCGAGTCTGTTAAATGTAGAAGACGATATGAGAGTAACATTGACATTTTTACGACCAAATATAAATGAAATTATCAAAAAACATTAGCTCAACTATCTCATTAAATTAATTAAGGTTTTTAGTTTAGATGAAAAGTCAGTGTCACGAGCGGGATTCGAACCAACCACCTCCGGCTAAATAACCTATCAACTAAAAACTTAATTAATTGAAAGATGTTAATTGGTCAAGCGGACTACGAAAACTAGTGAATTTAATAAGTAAAATGAAGTATATCTTCACTAAAGCTCTCCATGGCCATTTCATTTGTCGCCGAGAATCAAATAGATTAGACGACATTTGAAAAATGGCAAAAAGGAGGGAAAATTCGAAAGGTGGGGTTGAGATGGGAAGTTGGTGTCCGAGAGGATCGAAGTCACGATAGCTCAAGTAGTGTAGTAGCGGCGTATCTAGCCGAAGGTCGTGGGTTCGAATCCCGCTCGTGACACTGACTTTTTTATCTCAACTAAAAACCTTAATTGATTGAAAGATATTAATTGGTCAAGCAGATCACGAAAACTAGTGAATTTAATAAGTTAAAATGAAGTATATCTTCACTAAAGCTCTCCGTGGCCATCTCATTTGTCGCCGAGAATCAAATAGATTACACGACATTTGAAAATTGCCATTGTCTTTTTTATCTCAACTAAAAACCTTAATTAATTGTAATATATTAATTAGTCAAGCGGACCACGAAATTAGTGAATTTAAAGAATTAAAAATGAAGTATACTTCACTAAAGCTCTCCGTGGCCATTTCATTTGTCGCCGAGAATCAAATGCGATTACACTACATTTGAAAAATGGCACAAAGGAGGGAAAATCCAAAAGATGGGATTAAGATGGGAAGTTAGTGTCTGAGTGGATCGAGGTCACGATAGCTCAAGTGGTAGAGCAGCGGCGTATCTAGCCGTAGATCGTGGGTTCGAATCCCGCTCGTGACACTGACTTTTTTATCTCAACTAAAAACCTTAATTAATTGAAAGGTTTTATTTACTTTATGTGGGACTCTTTTGTACAACATGTATGTACTTTATGATAAAGTAATTTGTGCGTTTTAGTTGGTCCTATTGACTAAAGTAATTACTTTAATTATTATGCAAAGTTCGGTTGAGTTGAAAAATTAGTATTTGAATATTGGCAAAAAAGAGAGGCATGCAAAAAAGTTAGTTGAGGCCACGAGGACAGAAGTGCCGCCAAATTTAGAAATCGTTAAAAGTGTGCCGCGACAAAAAAAGTCGAGAATCACTGATCTAGGTTGTTACAACCTTCGTTCTGCGGCTGCTACTTCGGCGCTGGCTCAGTGGGCAAGGGGGGACGTGTGGAATGGAGAGACAAGTGATGGTCGGCTAGAGGGGGCTTCAATTCTATTTACAAATATAACATTAAGTTGGGCGCCACCGTATCGCTGTGAAGGGTCGCTGAAGCCCCAAAAAAAGGAAAAGAAAGAAAAAAAGAGAAAGGGAAAAGAAGCACGGATACGGTACCCGTGTTGAACCTCGGCCGAACGGTGTAGCGCTTCTTGCTTACCCTTCTTGTTCGATGAAGTCGCGCTTCCATCCAAGGTGTGGGAAGTATCCTTATTACCTTATTATTACCTTTACCAACCTTCTTGATTCTCCAGCTGTTAACTCATTAACACAATTAATAAAATTTAAGTTTAACTATGAAGAAGAAAAAATACAAGTAACTTATTCTATTTAGAACTGAACTTAGATTTTTATTTACATTAAACAAATACAAAACTGAGACATACACTTAATAACTAAAGTCCTGGATTATCAGCCCTGACTAAAAAAAAGTCGAACTCTTAAGAAAGCTAGATGGTTCAGAATTCAGGCTGCGCCGTGTTCGCCGTCGTCAACTTATCAAACCATAGATCTCACACTGTGGGCCCACACAGAACACAAACTCTGTTTTTATTTTTAGTTTCCTTCCTATCCACATGGAGTCCACCTCTACCTACGATCGACTCTCCGGGCTGTCTTTCTTTTTTCGAATCTTGAACCTAGATCCCACTAGCCTCAAACCCGGTGTCCTCCGGGTCAAGATCTTTCAAGCCGCGACATGCTTCTTGCGCTTCTCGCCTCAGTTTGATCCGTCTCTATTCTAAACGATATTAAATTTTTTTCGAAAAAAAAGTAATAACATTTCGCGCATCAGATTCTCTACTACTGGAGAGGCATCGAGTAGAATGACTACTATTCCCAAATGAACATCTTCCTTGGACACGTGAATAATGGAGACTGTGATCTTCACAAATGAGTGCCGGTTTGATTTGTGGCAATCAGATGACCTAGGCCTTATGTGAAGAAGATGTAGCTTTGCTTCATGTGCATTAATCACAACCTTTTCAAAGTCAGTCACATACGATATGGGTTGAAATGTCCATGCCCATCATGAACTGATTACAATACCAAATCTTTGACTGCTCTGTTACAATGAAGAAGATCTTCTGAAAATTGTGGCCCGATTCGCTCCATTTGTTGAGGGCAACTTCGTGTTAGCATGATAATGATAAACCGCATGAAGTTCGACTTGTCGTCCATTACTTGGAGGTTGTATGAGTAACCACAATAAATTCGCTAGTACGCTCTCCTGCCATTAATGCCATTGAACTCTTAAGGGACATGATAAAAAGAAGAATAGAGTATGGGAGACTTTCTTGACGTGGCATTAGGATCTCTTGTACAAATTAAAACATGCCCATCCAAATACCATCAATTTAACATTTATTTAACAGAACGGAGAATTTGGATCCGATAAGGATCGGATTACTCCGAATACTGCTCTCTGGCCACGGGAGTTCTACAGGGCTGTCTTCCTGAACCCGTCATCTTTATCTTTTATATTGCAGATGTTCCCACTAAACCTACAACCGTTCTTGCATCTTCTGCCGACGGCACAGCTGTACTTTGACTCGATCCTGGAGGTGCTTCGGAAGATCTTCACATTGTACATAGCAGTTTGGTGTAGACAATGGAAAATAAAGATAAATAAAAGAGAGTGCGTCCATGTAACATTTAAACTCCGAAGCAAATCTCCTCTCACACAATCTATTGCAACCCTGTGAATGACTTGGTTCGTTAACTTGGGTTATACCAAGACTCACGCTTAACGTGGAATCAACGTCTGTAATCCTTTCAGTCTAATGTCCTAAGATCAATTGTAGTTTCAAATAAACTATAAACAACAAAATACAAGTGTCCGATTTGAGCGGATAGCTTCAATCCGTCTCAACTGTTCGAAAGATGAAATCTTGAGCCAAAACACGTTTTACATAAAGCTTGTTTATGAAAACTGAGGTTTATTATAAATTATTATGCAAAGTTTGGTTGAGTTGAAAAATTAGTGTCACAGTACTCCAGCGCTTCTACTTCAGCCGTGACTTCTGTCCTCGTGGCCTCAACTAACTTTTTTGCATGCCTCTCTTTTTTGCCAATATTCAAATACTAATTTTTCAACTCAACCGAACTTTGCATAATAATTAAAGTAATTACTTTAGTCAATAGGACCAACTAAAACGCACAAATTACTTTATCATAAAGTACATACATGTTGTACAAAAGAGTCCCACATAAAGTAAATAACAACTTTCAATTAATTAAGGTTTTTAGTTGAGATAAAAAAGTCAGTGTCACGAGCGGGATTCGAACCCACGATCTTCGGCTAGATACGCCGCTGCTCTACCACTTGAGCTATCGTGACCTCGATCCACTCAGACACTAACTTCCCATCTTAATCCCATCTTTTGGATTTTCTCTCTTTTTTCCCATTTTTCAAATGTCGTGTAATCTATTTGACTCTCGGCGACAAATGAGATGGTCACGGAGAGCTTTAGTGAAGATATACTTCATTTTACTTATTAAATTCACTAGTTTTCGTAGTTCGCTTGACCAATTAATATCTTTCATTAATTAAGAAGAAAAAATTCAAAAGGTGGGGTTGGGATGGGAGGTTGGTGTCCGAGTGGATCGTAGTCCCGATAGCTCAAGTGGTAGAGCAGCGGCGTATCTAGCCGAAGGTCGTGGGTTCGATTCCCGCTCGTGACACTGACTTTTTTATCTCAACTAAAAACCTTAATTAATTGAAAGATATTAATTGGTCAAGCGGACCACGAAAACTAGTGAATTTGGAAGTAAATAACAACATGGCAAACATCTATACATTAACTTTTGGAATCCATTATGGTAAGTGTCCATCCACGATAGGTCTTTAATATTATAACATCCAGAAAAATTATCCAGTTTAATAGAGACAATTTCAAGTGATTTCACTCTCAACAAGCGTATTTTAACATTAAACTACATTCTATTACGATGGGCATAAAATGCCACTTCGCTGTTATTACCGAGCATCATGTCGACCGTCTTACTACCAACATTTTATTCCCCTTCATTCCTTCTGTTGTTAATCTTACGGCTTAATCCACATTGAATTTATACTCAGCAGAAGCTTTAGTGTGAATTCCTTTCGGTCAAATTCCAAGCCTGATCAGTTGGGTTTTTATTGTTTCAGGAAGTATAGGTGCTTCGGTACATCCGATGCTTACCGTCACACATACGTCCTATTCTTGTCATGAGGTGCTGGAGAAAAAAAGCACGGATTCGTCGCCCAGCCACAGCCAAGTGTCGAGGAATTCTTCCCGAAAGTCAAATAACTCTCTCCTCGTCACCAACGGGCGAATCAATGACGGTAAATTCAATATTATGTACAACTCAGTAATAAACTAACAAAAAATTTATGTTTGTTATCAGTTAAAAGGTTAAAATCATAACCTTCTGGTTACTACATGAAAGAATTCAATTAAAACAATTAGGCCGAGCACTGAGTTTGTTCAAATATATTTTGTAAATGGTCGTGCATATAAACTTATTATAGAAAAAAAATGGTCATTTCAGTTCACTCAGTTTAATCTTAAAAGTTATAAGTGCATGTTCCTTAATGGTAAATGTTGTGATGATTTTTGCTTTTTTTTTCAAGAAGATATGTAGGTATATAAGTAAACATGAAAATTAGAAATTGGATAACTGTCATGGAAAGATTATCGCTATACATTAAGACATATTATAGTTAGACGTGACATAAACCAGAGTTTGAAACATGCATCCTTCGACTTACAGGCCATCAACCATGAACCAAGGTACACATTTTTTCCATCCATAAAAATGAAAAGAGTGGAGAGAAAATTAGGTAGATGGCGATTTGCAATTGCCAATATTATCGTATACAAATGTTACTAAATTCTGTACCATATCTGTACTTTTAACTGCACTGTAATTTTAAATCATTATATCGTCACAATTACAATCTAACGCATGTACCTATTCATTATGATCAACAGGTGTTTGTTTAAAAAAAAGATAAATTGCAAGATGTTTCTTTCTCGATTAATGTTCATGATGACACTCACCAGCCGGCGGAGGTCGACCCGACAGAGTAAGTTTATGTTAATTTATGATGATATAACATAAGTGAGGCATTTTATCATCAGTGGTAGGCATAAATTTATCTATCACTTTTTCAACAAACGGGCGATAAAAATTTAATATCGCTGACAGTTTTGTAACGAAGGCTGGAATAAAGGACGTATTCGCTCCGGGGTCCCGAAGGAAAGAAAGCGGCGAAATTATCCTTCCGTCAAAGCCGCCTCCCTGGAATGGGATTTCTCAATTAAATAATAACCAAACATCCCAACCCCCCTGCTGTCAGAATAATGAAAATTCTTGAGCACTGTTTTAATTCGGGCCGCTGGCCCTTCACGATTTGATGGCCGTTCATCAGAGGAAAATTAAATACAAAACGACGACTCTCTACTTTATCCCATCAAGGGAGAGAAATAACAAATAAACGAGCAACACCGGCTAATAAACGTTGTTTAATACACTTCACAGGGAAATATTAAGTAAAACTGGAGCCTCTAACCGGAATACACGAAGTATGCAATATCTGCCAGTTCCTCCTACTTAAACGTTACTCATTTGTCATTAGTGATAACCTTGTTAATTTAAGAAGGGAGAATGTTATATAAAAGTTTATTTGTACACAAACTCCCTTCCGTTCAATACCGTCATGTTCAAATTCCCGTTGGCTTTGAGTGTTTACTTATACGAAGTTTTTCTTAGCACGTTATTGCATAAAGTTGAGCAATAACCTTTAAAAAAAGTATAAATACGGTAGGGTTCTATGAAACCGTTTCGTTTGAAATGTTCGATTTTTATACAGTCTAAAGATCAGAGGTCAAACTCTGTACTTTGGTCAAAAACTGAAGACAACCTCAAAAAACCGTATTCCAAACCGCCTAAGCTGAAATTTTACAGTTTCCGATCACCTTGATCCACCATTCCGCACTTGTTTAGACCGTCTGATCCGTTGCGGCATTTCGGCATCTTCAGCAGTGGATTGTGAACACAAAGTCTTACAAAAAACCAACACTGTACACTTGTTAAAGTGATAATACAAAATAAAAGCACAGACCATATTTAGTAATTAGGCCTAAGATGTTTAATTTCGAAACAAATGCAAGATTGGAGCCAAAATTTATGTTATTATCTGAACAACCTTCATCTCAACAAAGCTGACATAAGTGCGTTGATTCAACATTATAACATCCCGGGTTCGAATCCAACGTATCTTAATTCGGCCCCAACATTTTTTTATTTAAAAAATACCGGAACCCGGGGGTGACACTAATCGGTGAAAAAGTCTTATGCAATAGTTAAAAAATTGTCGTACAACATGCACTCAGGTTAGAGTTGAAGCAGGATGTTGGTCTGAATTATTCAAACGCGTTTCGGCATTACGCCATCTTCAGTGAGGAATAGAATACAGATTGGAATGTGTAAGCCTTTATGGATGTAATAAATAAATAAAAATAGAAATGATTATGGCACAATGGTCAAAAACATAGCTTTCATAAGTAGTAGGATAGTTATCTTCTGTAAAATCAAATGAAATAAATTAATGTAAAACTAATTAACTCAGTACGTAATTTTAACTGTAATATACGTGCAAACAAGAATATTTTTCTTCAAGTAACTCACTGAAGATGGCGCAATGCCGAAACGTGTTTAAATAGTTCAATAAACCCATCCAAAGCCTGTTCAGCATACATCCCAAGTTACCAAAGATCGTTTCTCTAGAAGTATAATTTGTTTGCGAATTTATTGAAAAATTTTATTCAAATTCTAATGTTTACACGCCCTTTCTAATTACTAAAACATACATTAAACATAGTCTTGACACATCAATATAACTTGTTAATAAACAGAGTGTACAAAGAAACTTGATTAAACTGAAACTTAAATTAATTGTCGAAAAAACATATATGCAAGCCGAAGTTTAGAAAAAAATTAATTACTATAAACAGAGTCAATGAAGGAAGGAACTGTTTTCAAAGCGAGAATGAAAACTTCCGAATAAAAAGCGAAATATCAAATATTATGCTGTACTAGGAGATAAAATAGCACGGAAAGAAAAAGAAATAAACACACAAAATATAAAATTACTATCATAACGTTCAACCTTGGAAATGTGATCAAGAAGTTTAACGATAATAAAAATGTTCTAAATTTTTAATTATTAGTGACAAAAGTAACTTATATTATTTATTTTTCTCAATCATCACCCTTAGTAATTATTATATCATTTATTTTTTTAGAAATTGTGTAATAGCATTATAATTGTCTATTGATAAATGTGTTTCTGTATTGGTTTAACACCGGACACGTAATGAGAATGCAGGGGTATGTTATCATCCTGATCACTACCAAGTGGACATAGCCGAGGCGAAATTTGGCTTTACAATTTATGTAATTTTGAAATGACTGTTTGTAAATCTTTCCCCAATTGTAAAAAAAATTCCGCTATTGCCTAATCAATCAATTTAATGACTGTGAAGGGGCTGAAAATGGGAGGGTATGTATTTTTGATGGTAAGTGAATTTGGGTCACTTATTGGGTCCGTCTTCACTCGCAACTTTAAACGGTATTTGGTGACAACTACTTTTTCCATTTTTTAATAACAAGGCATTATGATTTTCCCTAATCATTTTTAAATTCTCCGATGCCCAAACATCATAAATAGTGTCGCATTAGTACCAACTGTATCATTTAGTCTAATAGTACCTTTCAATCCATGTTCAATCATTTTAGCAGCTGACTCAACATTATTTTGTTTAATCTTTGATATGAATTAGATCAGTAATAAGTCTAACAGAGTAATTTGGTACGTGCAGAAGATATTTGATAATCTGGGCTTTAGCCGGTAGAGCTGCGTAAATGGATACTCTGACATGTACATAATTTCCCTCTAGGGTCGCATCGCCCGTAGGCTATGAGGTTTTTTCTCGACCACACCTGGTGCATGGCCTTATCAATCGTTCGTTTCTCATGGTAGAAGGATTTCTACTTATAGTAGTTATTATTTATTATTAAATACGTTCTAGTTCAATCTGTAAATTCATGTGTAGAAACCCGCCAGGATCCATGAGGGCCAAGCCGAATTTCTTCCCCACTTGCTCCTTCCGAAGGGGTGGGTCATCTTGGCATCCGACCGTGCACCGCACGTCGAGAAGCTCAAAGGGCTGAAATGAGTTCTGCCCTGATTTAAAAAAAATACAAATTACCCCTAGTGGAGCGCGTGTGTTCCGATACAGGAACAACTGAACGAATGCGTCACCCTAAGTACCGGCCAGGAGTCTCAGCACGTACCACTAGGGATCCAACCTCAATAGCAACCAAATTGACCCTAGAAGATGCTTGATTCGTAGTTCAGTGGATCGGGCTCCTCCACCATCGTTTCCGACAGGATGACAACCGCGCAGAGCATAAGGACGGATGCCTCCGTCGATGCACTCGACTTGTGATTCAGAGTCGCCATACGCTCTAGACTAGACCATTATTTTGGGCCTGGAAACCCCTATTTTGCATCCAACGGTTAAGAATACGATTGTGGGATCCCTAAAAAAAAATTAATATGTTTGACTGTTTTCAAAAGCTACAAGAAATTTGGGCGATGAGATAGCCAATAAGTACACTCTGATATGTAAAGGAGAGCTGATTGAAAAAATAGACGTGAAATTTTTAATCTGCCCAGTTGTCAGATTTGCTTTTAATCGGTGAATTTCTTACCCTAGTTAGATTCGTTTTTGCAAGAAAATACCGATTTTATAAAACTGGCATAGGAGAAGTTCTTTGTACTGTAGCTTTTGCATATGTTTCTTTTGACGTGGTCCTTTAGAAAAAGGAACGACTTCACGTTTATCTACATTGTCTCTAAAATACAGCAAGGAGATTAAAATTGAAAACCTTAATTCGGGGCTTATTAGAAAGGATTGATGAGTGCTAAGAAAATATGAACAGGCAAGGATATTCCTTGAGCTCTATCATTCAAAAGTGCCCTCCTTCGACAAATAATTTTTCTTATGAAAACGAAGTTTTTAAACAACTCCTGGCGTTTATTTCCCCCTTGACTTTACTTTGCCAGCCGGCCTTTTTTCCTCGTCCGCTCGTCACACTGCCCTATTTCCGTACGATATTATTTCATTTATTTATTTTGAACGTCGAGCTGGTTTCGGGTTAATCGTAACATTCTAATCTCGACTAACTTGTAAACAGAGGCTGCCCACTCGGCCAATTCTAGGGTTATCGCACTCAACTGCTGCTTGTTAAGATCGTTAAATAACAACTGTTCAACAAGGCGGTTTAGTCCTTTTTTCAAGTAACCAGATTTTTTAAAAACGAAAACAAATTTTTTATAAGAGTGACGTAGTCTTTTTATTAAATTAAATATTGAGTAACTTTTCGCTTGAAGCTTTAAATTATGGTGACTATTCATTGTAACTTTTAGATCTCAGCAGAGCTTTTGATACTATTTCCTATAAATTTTTTAAAGAAACTACTATTGAACAATTTTAGTGAAGGTTCAATACAATTGATTGAGCCTTAATTTAAAAATAGTAGCCAGGTTGTAAAAGTAATGAGCAATTTGGTCCTTTATTGTACATAATTTTTTACAAATTACCTTTACAAGTACTTCTCAATAGTTCATTTTACTGCGTTTGTTGATGCCAATACTTTTCAATTAAAAGAAGCATCTAAAACAGAGCTTATTAAGATAAACGATAAATTAAAATTTGACCTGGAAAAGTGGTACAGAGAAAATGGTCTATGGTTAAATAAAGAAAAGTCTAAATGTTTATGTGTACATCTAAAACCAAAAATAGTGAAGAAATTTGTTCATAAAGAACTTAGGGGTGTATATTGATCTATATCTCATTTGGGATGTACATCGTAGATTCTTGGCATATAAACTCAGCAGATATTTGTATTTGTCAAGAAGTTTGTGTCTCCTAAAGTGCTGGTAAATGTTTATTTTTCATGTATTCAATTAAATGTTTACATTACGTACGCATTATTAATCTGGGACATTCTAGTCATGCAGAGTTGGTTATTAAACAACAGTAAAAAGCAATTATGATACTTACGATACTAAGAAATTTAAGGTTAAAAAATGCTGTAAAAAATCGTTAATTAAACATAGGATTTTGCTTTTACTTTTTTTGTATTATATTGGTATGTGTGATAAATTGCGAACAGAGAGACCCTCTTAGAACATTTACGGTGTACACAGTCATTTAACTAGAAAAAGTAGTACAATTGAACCTGAGAGGTTGAAACTAAAAAGAGTTCGTCAATATTACATTTTATTCACTAGTTTTCGTGGTCTGCTTGACAATCAATATCTTTCAATTAATTAAGGTTTTTAGTTGAGATAAAAAAATTGAAAAATGGCAAAAAGGAGGGAAAATTCAAAAGGTGTGGTTGAGATGGGAAATTATTGCCGAGTGGATCGAGGTCACGATAGCTCAAGTGGTAGAGCAGAGGCATATCTAGCCGAAGATCGTGGGTTCGAATACCGCTCGTGACACTGACTTTTTTTATCTCAACTAAAAACCTTAATTGATTGAAAGATTAAATGGTCAAGCAGATCACGAAAACTAGTGAATTTAATAAGTTAAAATGAAGTATATATTCACTAAAGCTCTCCGTGGCCATTTCCTTTGTCGCCGAGACTCAAATGGATTACACGACATTTGAAAAATGGCAAAACGAGGGAAAATCCAAAATATGGGATTGAGATGGGAAGTTAGTGTCTGAGTGGATCGAGGTCACGATAGCTCAAATGGTAGAGCAGCGGCGTATCTAGCCGAAGATCGTGGGTTCGAATCCCACTCGTGACGCTGACTTTTTTATCTCAACTAAAAACCTTAATTGATTAAATTGTATAATTTAATACAAGAAAAGATTTTTAAAAATTGCCTGAAAAACTATTTAAAAACAAAATCTGTACTACCTGATTTCAAATGCTTTTTTAGGTTTATCGAGAGATATGTTAATGATTGATGAGTAGAATGCTAACCTAATCTTAACTGTAGATATAGTGATATTAAGACAAGAAAAAAAGTAGTAAAATATTTTGACAACATTTATGTGACGATTGTAATGACTATTTCGATTATTTTTCAACAAATAGATTCTTCCATTCTTGTATTATAAGTTTTTTATATTTCACTGTTGACAAGCCTAGATTTCAAAATCGCTGGATATCGAATAGTTCATAAACCGGAATAGGTATCCACGAAATAGTGATTACAGTACAAAATTGATCCCACGCCATTAAACCAGTGAGAAAATCCTTGAAAGTGTTTAGTTTCTTAAATCGGTTTTGGAAATTTTTACAGAAAGCAAATCGGGCCGACGGTTGAGCACGTCGGACCTGGCATCGCTCAGAGTCCCGCTCAAAGACATCGTCTGCTATTTGTCTCTCATCGAGGCTGGCCGGCCGGAAGACAAGCTAGAATGTAATCGTAAAAAAGCAATAACATAACAAAAATAATAAATAACCTGAGTTTTGTATTTCAGTCATGTTCCGGCTTTACGACACCGACGGAAATGGAGTTCTGGATACCAATGTAAGTTGTTCTCTACGTCCAATAAATTTAACATTTAATATATGCTTTAAAATTAAATAAGTTTATTAACTAAAGCGTCCTAGTCACGTTGAAACCGGGTGACCTTTGAAATTGGGCCGGCTGGATTTCTCTTGAACCAATGCCGCTATAAAAAAAATACGTTTAATTTTATTTAGTCCACTATCAAATTTTTACTTTTTTTGAAAAAAGTTATACAGGGTAAATCTGCACAGTTCAACTTCAAAATTTCAAATACGACCCTTTACATCCTGACACTACTTTAAAGGATTTTTTACTCTGAAAATAATGGTGCAATCGGATTTTGAATTAGGCAAAAATGACAAAATTATGGCAAAAAGATTGATAAAGAGAATTTCATTTGTTTCGTTGTTAATTCCAATAATTTGATTCTTCACTAAAGTCAACTTTAATTGCCTTTATTGTTTGTTTACATTCTGTCACTGTTTTTCAAAATCGCAATATTGGAGGAAATCTTAATTCCTAAATGTAAATAAATTTTACAATAGTACCTAATAGTTACATTCAGTATTCCATTCAAAATGAATCGAAGAGCACATTTTTCCGATCAACAGCAAGTTGATATGTGTGACTGCTTTATAAATAGTAGCAATATGAGGAGAAACGGATCAGTTGCTGTTCCATCACAAAGAAACCGGGAACGTAATTTCGACGAGGAGCTGAATATTTTACTGTATTCTTTGTATGTAAGTTCTTGATTGAAATGATAAAGCGTCACGAGCGGGATTCGAACCCACGACCTTCGGCTCAATACGCCGCTGTAAACCACTTCAGCTATCGTGACTTCGACCCACTTGTACACCAACTCTCAACCTTTCGAATTTTCCTCTTTTTTGCCATTTTTCAAATGTCGTGAAATCAGGATTCCATTCTCGGCGACAAATGAAGTGGCCACGAGTAGCTGTTAGTGAAGTTATACTTCGTTTTACTTATTAAATCCATTATGTTTAGTAGCCTGACATACCAAATTACTTACTAGGATACATCCCTAACCATACTTTACAAAAAAAAAAAGAAAAAATACTTTTTTAATATTTTTTAGTCTAGTTTCAAATTTTTACCTTGTTTTGAACAAAATTATACAGGGTACTTCAGGCCCAGTTTAACTTCAAAATTTCAAATACGGCCCTACACATCCTGACAAATAAATTGAAAATATATTTTTGCGCTGAAAACAATGGTGCAATCCAATTTTAAATTGGTCAAAAAATTAAGGCCAATTATTGACCAAATTAAGGCAAAAAGTTTGAAAAAAAAAACAGTTATTTCGTTTGCTATCTATTAATCACAGTTCATGTTCGAACTGCCTGCCTTGCGTAAAGGTGCAATGATTTGCTCTTTGGAACCACTCTTCACCGGTGCTCAGAGTGATAGAGTCAGGGGAGATGGATTGACAATCGTGTTGTATCCTTCAACTAAGGATGCTGGGCTCCTTTGCCTCAGACACAGCTTTTTTTAAATGGCCAACGGATCGGGCCATGAGATCCTCTCCATCTATCCCGGAAGTGACTATTCAAAGAACGTCTCATGTGCAAAGAATTGTGTGCCGGGCATCCATAAAGCTGGAGAATATTCTTTGTCGTTATTTGGAGAGGACATCTAATATCTAATAGTATTCGTAAAACCTCCCTCAAAACATTGAGGAAGTGAACACCATTTAAATAATTATCGTAGAAATAAGGCAATTAATTTATTTCCGAGAAGTCTACATCAAACTTTAATACTGTGAACCACCTGATGATTACAAGAATACAAAATTCACGGATTTTCCTTTGCCCGTACGAAAATTTCAACGACTTAGTATGCCATAGAGGTGAACTTCGGTTCATCACTCCTTAGGATGTACGGAAGAACTTTTCTTCAGCCTCCCAAATCGACATTTGTGCAAGGAAAGTTAGACGCCTGTCATAGAGCCCAGAAGGATAAGACGAGAGCGGTACGGCTTAAAATTTAAGTCCAGAATACATCTTTTTTTTACGTGTGCGTGAAATGTTGGAGATAGTGAGGTGCGGTCTGGTGTGACGCAGCTTTTAGCAAAACATTTTCTTTATCGTGCCAACGTTTCGATCTTTATTGAGATCATCTTTAGGGCTTGGGATTTGTAAACATAGTATAAATTTTGATGTGAAAAAATGAATTTACACGATTCTAGAAATTATAGATTCAATCAAAGTATTTGTACTCACTCAAAAAATTTAATTTTTGAAAAACCAACATTTCGGAGAGAGGAATTCGGATTTTTGCGAACATATAGTAAAATTCACTAGTTTTAGTTGAGTGAAGAAGAATTTGAAGCAAAATTCATAAGGTGGGGTTGAGATGGGAATTTAGTGTCCGAGTGGATCGAGGTCACCATAGCTCAAGTGGTAGAGCAGCGGCCCAAAGATCGTGGGTTCGAATCCCGCTCGTGACACTCACTTTTTTATCTCATCTAAAAACCTTAATTAATTGAAATACAGTAAAATATTGAGCTCCTCGTCGAAATTACGCTGCCGGTTTCGTGGTGATGGAGCAGAAACTGATCCGTATCTCCTCATATTGCGAGCAACGCGAATAAACGCGGTTTACTCCGGGGCGATCAGGAAATTTCTGGAAGTACAACAGGACTGCACGACGGGCAAACCACCACTATCAATAAAACAGTCGTACATATCAACTCGCAGGTGATCGGATGTGCTCTTGCGCATTTTGAATGGAATACTGATGTAACGAATAGGTACTATTGTAAAATTTATTTACTTCCAGTAATTAAAATTTGCTCTCAAAATGCGAGTTTGGCAAACAATGACAAAATGTAAACACAACGGCAATTAATTGCAATTAGAATGTAAATTCTTTAGTAAAGAAGCAAATTATTGGAATTAACAATGAAATGCGTTTTTCAAACTTTTTGCCATAACACTGTCATTTTTTGACCAATTTAAAATCGGATTGTACCATTGTTTTCAGCGTAAAAAATACTTTAAAATGGTGTGAGGGTGTATAAGGTCGTATTTGAAATTTTGAAGTTGAACTGGGCAGAGGTACCCTGTATAATTTTTTTCCAAAAAAGGTAAAAAAGTTGAAACGACTAAAAAATAACATACTTTTTTTGTAGCGTCATTGGTTTAAGATAAATTCAGCCAGACTATCTAAAAAGGACGCCCTGTATACTGCAAATTATACTTTTATGTATCTGCTGATAACTGATATTTTGCCCACTATTTTCTTCCCTTGTTATAATCGAATTTAAAATAATGTCGAAAGCTGTCGAGGAGGAATACCTGTCCCACTGGGTCACAATAAAGAAAGTGTTGAGAAAAATGCATTTTATTACCTGGTACTCACCAAGACAGAAAATGAAGCTCAGTGTGCTAATTTTCCAATTGAATTACACGTTTATTCAACGTAAATGGCGGGATGTCAGGATAGTGTCATTGATGATTTTTTTTTTCATTTTGCGTCAATAAATTACTCGTATTACGTCTTGATTTGTTTCTTGAAATATTTGATTGAAATTTCGAGCTAATTTATTTATAATCTAAAGTAAAGCTTCAAAATGTGATTTTGTCGGATGTTACAAATATTTACTAAGTAACGTCTGTAAATTTCAGCAAACCTTATTAATAAGTCTATAAGACGTGTTTCTACTATATTTCATTTGGCGGTGCTTCTTCTGAATTTTTAAGTTATTTAAGTTTTCAATAGCTTCTTTTTTAACAGACCGGCTCTGTAGTGGAAAAGTTTTTTCTCGTGATTTATATTATTTCTAACAATTAATTAAGGTTTTTAGTTGAGATAGAAAAGTCAATGGCACGAGCGGGATTCGAACCCACGATCTTCGGCTAGATACGCCGCTGCTCTACCACTTGAGCTATCGTGACCTCGATCCACTCGGACTCCAACTTCCTATCTCAACCCCATCTTTTGAATTTTTCCCTCCTTTTTGACATTTTTCGAACCCCGCTCGTGCCATTGCCTTTTTTATCTCAACTAAAAACCTTAATTAATTGTAATGTATTAATTGGTCAAGCGGACCACGAAATTAGTGAATTTAATTATTTCTAACCTAGGATACGCACATATATTTTTAAAAAAGCCAATTTTATGGAAGGTAAAGTAAGCAATTTTTTTCTTTCAAAACGTCACTTTGGCTCCTAAACCTACGCAAACATTGTTCCGTCTCGTTGTTGGTATTTTAAACTTCATCAAAAACTTCTTCATTTTCAAGACTCGACTCTGACAAGCTTCCAAACTCGCACTTTCTCTGATCAGTTTCCGATATCGGACCGCTATTTACGTCGAAACGTCGCTAATTGTTAAATTTAAAGTTAAACATTTTACCAAATATGCAACCCGAGCTGCAAACAGAGCTACCGCGGAAATCATTAAGAGGCCTTGATATAGAGCACCTTGGGCGTATCGCATTACGCTGAAATGTCAATAAACCTTCAAAGATTCAGTTTCTCCCCATTGTCAGAGGGCCGGCGAAATCCTTTTCCGGTCGAGTCCCCTTCGGCGAATGAATTTGCCATGAATCTTTTCACCGTGTACTGCTTTCTGCTTCCAGGAGACTGATTGCATTGTCAACCAGATGATGAGCGTGGCTGAATACCTCGGGTGGGACGTCTCGGAGCTGAAGCCGGTAAACAAATACCTTTTGGCATTTCATCTAATGTTGGATTTGTATTTTTGTTTGACTGTTTAATAAAGGTTTGTCGACAATAAAATAAAAAGAAAACGTTACACGTAAACTTCCATGGATTTTCATTATGGAACATAAAACGTTGAGAAAATTTTCAATACAAAATCCACTTTAACCTACAGAAATCAACAAAATACAACAACTCGCACTGATTCATTTTTTTTCCATTTTAACATTGACATTAATAACACGTGACTTGTGAAAAGATACTTCTAGAGATGACAATATTGAAAATTAAACCGTTTTAATAATGATTAACTTCATATTAGCTGAAGCCCGTCAATCCTTGCTCGAAGGACCGACCTATGTTCGTCTATGCTCAAAATATTGCATGATTGAACAGGACCGTCAGCTAGAAAGAAGCTCGAACGTCTATCGTCTGCAAACTGAGGGGGGAACATTCATTGTTGTCATTAATTTAGCGGGAAGTCCAAATTATCGATTCGCATACCAATTCGAATCTGCGCAGAAATTACTGAAACATTTCATGCTTCATGAATAACATATCCAAACCAGTTGTTGTTGTTGTTTAACAAGTATAGACGCGTTTCTTTGTTTGGGTGTGTTTTCAGAATGAATAAACTTGTGAGCTGTTTTTGTTTAATAGAGTAACAGCTAAGTAAGCTTTAAAAACCAAATCAAAACGTACATATACGGTCTGCATTACTCTAGTTAACTAAATTGATTATACTTTTAATCTAAGGACTTGGCTGAGATGAAAAAGCAAGTGTCTCCAGCGGGATTCGAACCCAAGACCTTCGCCTCAATATGCGACTGTTCCAGCCACTTGAGCTATAGCAGTGGCGTATTGAGCCATAGGTCGTGGGTTCAAATCTCGCTCGTGACAATTGCTTTTTCATCTCAACCTTAGATTAAAAGTATAATTAATTTAAATAATTATACGGTCAGTTATGACTACTAAATAGATGTATGAATTCTAGTTAATCTTAAAATTATCAAAATTTATCCAAAGGAGGAAAATTGAGCCTTCACTAAAGTTGAGATAATACAATTCAAAGCTAAAATCATAACCGGAAAACCGAATCATTTATCCAAACACACACCAAGGAACTTCTATGCCATTAAATGGCAACAAACCTCCCATTGATATATTTTGATAGAAAAACGATAATTAACATAACGTGAGACGTGTTCGATAGCAAACTCCAAAAATAGACAAACGTGTAAAGACCTAAAATACCTATCTTTTTAACATACATTAACCATTATAATTATAAATATTGGTGACACGCACTTACAAGTTTCATAGTCGATTCCGCCTACCATTTGTTCGATTTTTTGGACTCAACCGGTTTTTCAATTGTAATAACCTCGTAAAGAAAACTGCAGAACCTGAACAAAAAAGCAAAGTATTTTTAAACTTTTTCTCTGCAGGAAAGTCTTTTCATTTAAATTGTTGAAATATCAAGTTTCTTGAGTTTTATCCAAGAAGTTTTACTTCTTGACACCTTTGTTTTTAATGATTTCTAGTTACTTGTCATGTTGGTCTGCCTACCCTCCTTGATTTTTATTGTTCCAGTTGCGTCTCGGCATTTCGCCATCTTCAGTGTTTGGGTATTTTTGTTTAATGAAGATATAATTATGAGGTCGTGGATGGTGTGGGGAAGGGCTTTGTATGAGTGTTGTTTGTCGGTTGATTAAGACGGGGTCTTTTTGCTTCTTCTAGTTTGACGTTTTGATGTTGGGTCCTTTTTATTTTTATTAATTTGTATAATGCTTTAAATGGTGTAATATTTCTTCTTTATTGTTAATTTGTGTATATATGAGTTTTTTTTTAGTCCTGAATGTGTTGTGTTCCATCATGACAATTGTACTTACAAACTGTAATGACTTCGGTGCGAGCGACCGTGCCGTAATTTGGCAATTAGTTTCAAACAACTTGATATGGAATGAATGTCTATTATAATAATGGCCTCGGCATGCGTTGGGCTTTGTGGCAAAAAGTTCAATTCTTGACACTTGATCATTTAGTGGGAAGTTCGTTTGAGGTTAATATTACTGAACACGTATTTAATTAAAGTTGTAAAAATTGTCTTCGTCTTTTAAGGCTGAGATTTTACAAAATAAATTGACAAAATATTTCACAAAAAGGGTTCTTTTTCTATAGAAAAACAAAAATATGACAGAAACATTCTTTTTTCTGTTCATTTTTCTTTCTGTTTTCTTCATACGTTAGAGAACACAGGATTATGCCTAAATTAAGTTTCTATGTATATGTTGTCTTATCTAAAATTTTGTTTTTATATTATTTTTATTAATTTATTTAACACAATGTTTATACTAAGATATAAAATAAGATATAAATGGTTCATTTTTGAACAACATAAAAATAAATTTGTAATTTAATATGGAAATTACAATACAAAAAACTTACTTTTCAATTTTTTTTGTTTAATCAAGAGCACTGTTGATAGGTCCTTGGAGGATCTGACTAGCGATTAAGGATAGGCCATGCGAAATTGACACACTGGCAATTACTTTTGTGTCAAAGCCGTGTAAATATCTGACATGTAGAGAAAGGTTGTTCGATGTGTTCCACCTGATTAACAGGTCAACTCTTCGGCTCTATATAGAGAGCGTGTAGGATTGCCATCTGATATGAGAATCGTGCTTGAGCGAGTATCTAAGTTCCTGTTTCAATTTGTAGTGGACATAGGGTGTTTTATTGTATATAATAATGATAGATTTGTGTCCCTAGCGTTGAGAGTGAATGTATTTATAGGCGTGAATGTTTAGTGTGAGAAGGCAGAATATTGAATACCCCCTTCGACCCTCAATCAGGTTAGTTACTCAAAGTCAAAAACGGTCATCTTGTGGTTCTTTTACCCAGGGGCATCCAGAACCGGGCCTTCTATGGTTGGACCCAGTTTCTCGAAAACGCCTAATGGCGTCTTGCACTTTCGTAGGGAACTCCGATGGCAATAGCTGCATACTTGATGGAACGTCCATTAACAAAAGTGACACACCACGCGCAACATCCTCAGCTCTAAGAGGCATTTTTATGTTTAAAAATTGAAATTAAAAAACAAAAGTTAAAACTAAACAGTTTATTGCTTCACAGTTCAAATAACACTGAATAAACATTTTAAATTCCGTTAAAAGTAAACATTGAAAAATCCTTTATCCTTGTTTTGGATTAAGGATTAAGTGTTTTACCTCTAATTGAATTTCTCAATTTAAAACATAGCATAATCAAATATTTATTGGTAAAAACACTGAAAAAATCAAGGGCGGAATTTTCTTTTATCGAGAAAAAAAATCAATTGAGTAGAATTGATTTTGCCTGTCAGTGGCGTAAAGGGTGATGGATGAAAATCGAATCCACTATACAATTGAGTGAATGGTATGTAATTAGGAGAGAATGTAATTTAACAACTAGTGAGAGTGTAAATGGGTTTAGATCTAGGAACTGCATGCGTCGGGTCCTGAAGTGACCCGGAGTCCAACCTCGATGGCTGTACGTTTAAGACCTAGGTCTGACCCCGGAAGACCAACACCCGAGATGGGTGATTTTCAAGGCGTGCCGGCAAATTATTGTAAATTACAAAAGCTGGAATTGCCGGTGAACTGCGAGAAGTGTTAGGCTCAACACTGTACAAGTGCAGATTTGAGCTCACAAAAATTCCAATCAAAATTAACATTTTTATAAAGACCATTTGGAAGCTTTGTTGTAATTTAAATTATGGGCTGATAGATCCTTCAAGACATGATGGTCGAAATCGACTATGACGCAGATGGGACTGTCTCTTTATCCGAGTGGAAAAGGGGTGGAATGACGACCATACCTCTACTCGTTCTTCTTGGCCTGGACGCGGTGAGTTACATTTCGGTTTTTCTTTGTGTTTTTCTCTCTTCCGGAAGGAAAGTTAATCTTTTTTTCGTCCGTAGCACGTAAAAGAGGACGGAAATCACCTTTGGCGTTTGAAGCACTTCAGCAAACCGGCGTACTGCAACCTCTGCCTCAACATGCTAGTCGGCTTGGGGAAAAAAGGGCTGTGTTGTATATGTAAGTAGATTCGTTCTGTCGCGATCCCATCGTTAGATGAGGAAAAGGTACTCTTGGAATATAAATAATTCATAAGGATATACTTCATAAGAATCACGTTTTCGGGTTTTCAGACGGAACGCCACCTATTTTCTTACTTCAAAGTTAACCAATTTTTTTAAATAATTATCAACACTTTTGTCTGAGAATGTAGGGAGGCATAAAATTATGTTTGTTTTTTTTTAAGATTCACTTGTAATTTGACAATTCGTTTTAACCAATCCACAACAATAGTGTATAAGTAACAAACATGATAATGTACATACAAAAATAATACAATAAATAATAAGCAACATTTTACATAAAAACTAAATCATGTTTTAGTAAAGAACAGTTTCCGCCGATGAAAAATTTTTTTTTTTTTAAAATGGGTCTAAACAAATCCACCACAGCGGTTCACGTTTTTTTATCAACAGTGGTGTGAGTGTAAAATTGAATTCTTTCAATAACAATCAATGTGGAATAAAAAAAATATAGCCGTTAGTTTTATGACAAAGATGAGCATGCATTTCTGCTCACATTTTATGTTAAATATATATTGTTTCAATTACAAATTGTGTATATTGGTTTTAATATCTAAACAAAAGCTTAAAATAATAAATATCCAATATGAAACCTGAATGTTCTTTAATCTCACTGGACTTTTTATTTTTTCTTTGCCATTCTGTTTTAATGTAGCGATTTCTGTGATCTGAATTATTTCCCTGGCATTTCCTCCTGTAATTACTCTCATTTTACAAGTGGAAAATAAGTGAAATTCTTTTGAACTGGGGCGACCAGATTCAGATGGATGCAAGGGTGTTCTCAGTAAAGTTGAGCGAGGCGTAAGACAGGCGGGCAGTCTTGGGGGCTGGGACTGAACAAGGACATCTACGAGGAGTGGTTCCAGGCCTGCAAAGACAGGTGAAGCTCGAGCGCGAACGGGTCAAAGTAAACAAGTCGGAGTGCGAAAAAAATGATCTTTTTTGTGGGGGGGAGAACGTTTCCACTTTGTCTCTACTTTTGAGGTTCGGTCTTTTATTTTATTTTACGCTATTTTGTTTTCTGGCCATGTTTTACTATTTTGGAAGAGAACTTGTTTTGTTTCCCTTTTGTTTTTAATACCGAGGACATTGTTATTTAATTTTTATTTTTTATTTACTTTTTTTTTAAATCCCGAGGGTTCACTTTTTCCCGGAGAATAGTCAACGGTCCGAGGAGGAATCGGTAACACCCGTTATGTTTAGGTGGGCTTTTAAATATCTCAAATTTCCAATGATCATATTACAAGCATGATCTGTCTAGTTACGTTTTGTAAAAAAAAAAATAGATAATAATAATAATATATAATAAAATAAAAAATGGTGAAGACCATTATTTTTATAATTAAACATGCTTCACAATTAGTGATGAAAATAATGATCTTAATAAAAAATTAAATTATTACAGCTTTTTTAAGAATGCTAACACTAAACAACCAATTTTTTTTTCAAAATTAAAAAATATATGTTTTGTTCAAAAGTAAAAAAGTAAATTTATTTATTAAAAAATATTATTTTTTTAAATGAAGTGCCAGCAAGTGCTCTTTGCTGTTTTATAATGAACAAGACAATCATAATTTGTTATTTATATCGATAAATAAATAATAAACGTACTATAGCGACGTCATCAACATAGAAAAATTGATTAAAATGTACAAATTGAAAAATTGTGTGCAAATATATGTATGTAAATGTTTTAAAAAAACACGGTAAGAATATTTGCCTCGGGATATGTCTTTTTCCCCTATGCGATTTTTTATAATTAATTATTATAATCATTAGAGTTCGTAGTCCGATTGAAAACGTTATTCAATTAATTAATCTTTATATAAGGCAATGGTTGAGATAAAAGATTAAAAAAATTTGCAAAAAGGAGGAAAATTCGAAAGGTGGGGTTGGGAAGGGAAGTTGGTGTCCGAGTGGATCGTGGGTTCGAATCCCGCTCGTGACACTGACTTTTTTATCTCAACCAATGCCTTATATAAAGATTAATTAATTGAAATTAATTATTGTATGCATTAATGAAACAAACAGAAGCAATTAATTTATAATTTATTTTAAGAAACAGTGCAAACATTTCAAGCTGTATTAATGTTTGAAGTAAGACTATCATTGCGTTTGCTTTTACTATTTAATTTATCTTTTAATTTCAATAAGAAAAACTGAGTTATTCAAACGTTTAATAAGGATTATTAAATAAAGTAAAATTTAAAAGCAAGAAATAATTTATTTTCGCTCTAACATTAACATAAAATTGTATAAAAACACGGAAACACAAATCGTTTTGTTATTGTGAATTATTGTTGGGCGGAAGATTTAGATCACAATATCGAATAGCAGGATGTCACGTAATTCCACTACATCCACCGACATCATATCGACATAACGCATATGTTGCATTCTAATGAACAGTAGCGAAACGTTTTTGTTAAATTCAACAAAGGTGAGCTTAAGTTCTTGGAATTAAAAAGCAACTTTAAATGACAAGTTTATACATTAGGCCATTACATACTTTAAACCTTAATTCTCTCTTTAAATAGCTATTACGTTACAGTTTTCATTTTAAAAAAATGTATCAAAGGTAATAATGAAATAATAGGACTTACACTAACATAAATGACGCAAAAATCAGTTCACAAAACAATGTAATACTGTAATATTTTGTTTATAGGATTTTTTTACAATCGCATTTTTAAACAAGGTTTGAATAAAAAAAAAATATCCGTATCTTCTCTTTCCGATGGTCAAATTTTAGAGAAAGGACTGAATGAAGTCATCGGACAGTGATTTCAGTTCCCCAGCCTACTTGGCCTATAAACCACCCTTTCGCCGGATCAATCGGAATGAAACGGATTCAACCAATGCGAAAAGAAGTGTATATTGTCCCGCTAAAAAAAACCACCGGCGGAATTCTTAAAAGAACCCCGCAAAAAGAAACCTTGCTGTCATTTACTTATAAAACGGTTATCTAAGGATTATTTTTATCGGTTTCAGTCCCATTACATGTAAGTTAATGTTTAAACACGAAATTTAAGATAAAAACGCCAATGGCATAGATGAGATTCGAACCCACGGTCTTCAAAATGTGTTAAAGCGGCTAACCACCGCATAAAACAATTTCATACGACTCGATTTAATATAAGCTATTTTTTCTCGACCATATTGTTAATCTATCATATGTGTCAAATAAAGTAATTGTTATACAATTTTAAAAAATCACTAGCAAAATATAAATATAATGAATGAAACTGTTTTGATTTGTAAATAATTTATCCGAATTGTTGCTAAATAAATAAAGAAATCTAAAAAAGTTTTAATCAGATCTTAAATACTTCCAGTTTTCTTACGAATTAGATTACACTTTAAAAAAAAAATTTTAAATCAACATCCTCAGATTTCAAAATATAAAAACAAAACGTAGTATTTTGTTTTTACTTAGCTCATATTTCCAAACTTCTATTTTTTGCTCTATGAAAAAATAGACTTATAGTAAAAGTGTGGAATTTAAAATGGTTTAACAGCCCCTAAAATAATTCTTAACGTCCATATCAGCATTAAATTTATTTTTTCAAATTTGAGCATTTATTAAGGTTCTTAATTAAAAATTATTTCACATGAAAATATTGCAAAGGAAATTTAATACTGAGTCCAAAATTTAAACTGTACCCCAGATTGTCAACTACAAAATAGACTCAAACATAGTATACAATTATACATCACCACTGATAAATACACGTAAGCTTACATTCACTTCCCCAGAGTACTCGATATTACTCGAGGCGAGGTTAAACAACCTCTTCCTTTCACACTAATAAATTGCTTAATCTTTATATAAGGTATTGGTTGATATAAAAAAAGCCAGGGTCACGAGCGGGATTCGAACCCACGACCTTCGGCTAAATACGCCGCTGCTCTACCACTTGAGCTATCGTGACTTCGATCCACTTGGACACCAATTTATTACCAAGTTATTTGGTCAATCGGACCACGAAATTTAATGAATTTAATAAGTTAAATGAAGTATATCTTCACTAAAGCTCCCATTTGTGAGTGTCGAGTTCGAATGCAGAGCCGATGGATTCGAACCCGGGGCCTTTACCTTACAGTGATGAGCGCCGTGTCAACGCCTAAACCGTTGCGATTAGTTAATTGAAAGATGTTATTTGGTCAATCGGACCACGAAATTTAATGAATCTAATAAATTGCATTCATTCCAATATGTAAATATAACACAAACCCAATTACACACAAACACAGAGCTGTTATATAAGGAATAATTTTAGAATTATATAAAACAAATATGTATGTATTATAATAATGTATATGCATAATTATAACATTTAATAGCTCTCGTGTGTTTTGTTCAAACGGGCATTAACAGTCTAAAACGGCGTTACAGATGTTAAACCTAACGTGCCGGCCGGTCGTGCGGTGAGGTATTCCATTGCGCCGTTCATTTCATTTAATCACTCGACGACAATTTGAATCCTAACTGTCCGTATTTGTGCAGTTACGATTATCATTTATTTCTTTAAATCATAGAACTATGTTTAGCCTTGACATGACACAATTAATTTATAATTGCGTTTTATAAAATATAAAGGACAGGCCAAAGAAAATGAAACTAATCTGACTATTAACTTTAATTTAAGATCTATTACGTTTCGTGGTCCGATTGACCAAATAAATTCTTTTCAATTAATTAAGGCTTTGGTTGAGATAAAAAGTCAGTGTCACGAGCGGGATTCGAACCCACGTCCTTCGGTTAATTTAAGAGTACATATATATTTAATACATCAAACACCAACAAAAAAAAAACCCTCGTATTAGAGATTCATTCCAGCCCGATCGATCTGCATATTTATAAACAGGCATAATAAATTTGATGGCTGATAAATAAAAAGTGAGTTAGGGTCTCCTCCGGATTTTCATTGCTTAGGATATCCAACCAATAAACACGTTTGATATCGGTATTCAGTAAGTTATTCACTGACAAGTACAGGCCGGGAAAATGACATTGCATAATATAGAAGAGTAGCGTCGGTTTTTCATTTCATACGACATCTATTCAGTACAAAACATGTTGGGTATTAGGTAACTTTATGGGCTGCCAAGTACCGGCGAGGTGCATGATTATAATATGTAACTTAGAGGATTTTGCTTCCACGGCAACTGTATTTAGCCGACCCTGGCGATATCAGTAGAAGCTACTGATAATAAAATTAATTTTTACAAAGAAAATTAATATCCTTTAAAAAAAGATTATAGTTATAAACATATTTGTAATTAATATATCAATGTTATAAAAGAGGTGATTACTTTTCAAATCTCGTCTTTATGGCTGGACACATAAATTTTATAAGCTTAAAAATACTTTAAAAAACATTACGAGTGCCTTTATTACCTATACGGCATTTTATTATATTCAACAAGACCAGTTATATGGCAGGATAAAATAAAAACTCGATCTTTGTTTGTTCTTTTAGATTTAATGGATTTCACGTCCCAATTTTTCAACAATAATTCAAAAGTATTCTTCGATCTCACAACTAAAAATGAATCCTGTTGAAATGCTATAATTAACAGATTTTAAGTGTTAGATATGTCAATCTTTCTTACTCACGAATAATCTGGATCACGGTATGGCGATAAAAAATTGTTGTTTGTTGTAAAAAAACAAAATTTCAATTGTTACTGCAAAGCTTTCGAATTTTTTAAGATTACCAACAGGGCGATACAATTTTAAATATGTCTACAAATTGACATAATTGAGTTTTTAATAAACATTTTTAAGTTTCTTTGAAGTCTGACTCCCATCTTGCCAAGGACTGTAAAAGTCTCAAAAAATTAAAAACTTAATTGTCAATTTTTAGTCATATTTAAAATTATTTTGTCCTGATGATGATATTCTTGGCTTAAGTTGAATACTCCAAAATTTATATATATTTTTTTTTAGTTAAGTAGTAACCTGCTTTCAGTAAATAAGAAGACAAAGAAGATTAAAAACACGTGAATAGTTGCTCAATTTACCAGAAAATATACGGTTTTTTTTTCAGCCGGCAGACATTAAAGACTTTCCGTTTGTTTCGCGTTCACCTCTCAAACTGTTATTATTCTCGAAAGCTCATCACGTTTTCCCAGGAATGATTACAATCACGGTCCCTATTTTCGTGTCGTGAGGAATGAAATGAATTGTCAAGTCGGGACAAACGAGAAACAATGCGGTTGAAAAGCTCGGTGGATCGATCCTTGTTACTTTCCTCAAGTTTTCACCATACTCTCATGTTCTCGAAAGGGGGGAAACGGTGAGGACACTTCTAAAGGTTTTGAAAGACTCTTGGCGTATTGATTCTCTCAGCCATCTTAATTAACAGGGCTCTGACTGTCAAAAAGAGATTTAACTTTTTTTTATTAAATATTTTTATGGATAGTTTCGTTTAATAATCGTTTTATTCAACGACCGGCAAAGCAATTTGTGCGTCATAATTCATTAGCTTATAACTTTATAAAATTTAAGCCCTTACCGGACTGGCTTATTTCTGCATTACCCATTTCAACACAAGACCCCCACTAACGTTTACATCTCATATTGAACATTCTTGAAAAATAGCGGAAATTTGTATTATGATTTGTTTATGTATGAAGTAATTTTGTTTCGGTACAATCAGATATTGTTTGTCTTATAGTTCAAAATATGCCATCTGATTTAGAACACTTTCAGATCACAGAAATACGGAAAATTTAACTACTGCAATATTTATAAAACAAAATCGTTATTTGTACAAATCATTTGTATAATGGTCTAATTATTATTATTGATATCAGTATCATTTAAAAACTATCAATATAAACATCAAACTGAAATACAGTTATTTCTTTTTTTCATACTAGAAAATTTGCATTAAAAGTTGTACTAAGTAGTCGTAAAATTATCTTAAAATGGTAAATAATTAATATAAATCAAAGGTAAAACAGGACCTTTTAATATGCATGACTCGGTGCATACTGTTTTTCTGAATTTTAAGCGTATATTTTAATTTTCAGTCTGTAAGTACACTGTTCATGAGAGGTGTGTTCAGAGAGCGCCAGCCTCGTGCATAGCGACGTACGTCAAATCGAAAAAGACCTCCCAGGTGATGGCACACCACTGGGTCGAGGGAAACCGCCACGGCAAATGCCACAAGTGTAAAAAGACTATCAAAAGCTACAACGGGATCACGGGACTGCACTGCCGGTGGTGCCAGATAACTGTGAGTTTCTCGGACTCGAAAAACTTCCCGCTGGTAATTGTGCGACTTCTTTCAGCTTCACAACAGGTGCGCCTCCCAGGTGAAGCCAGAGTGCAATTTAGGAGAAAACAGGGTCCACATCCTCCCGCCGACGGCCATCTGCCCGGTAGTGCTCGACCGGCAGCGTTCCATAACAAGAGACAAACAACGGTCCGAGAGCCATACTCCGGATTCCAACAGCTCGTCCGTGAGTATTTTCCAAACCCAAAACGCTGGAACAAATGGTTTGAAACAAAAGGTTTTCAGGGATTTTCCTTCGGCAGCGGCTCCCAGCAAGCCGCCGTCTCCTTTCAAATAATGCCTCCGGACGGCGTCAAGCCCCTGGTCGTCTTCATCAACCCCAAGTCGGGCGGTAGGCAAGGCGCGAGGATGTTGAGAAAGCTCCAGTACGTCCTCAACCCCAGGCAGGTGTACAACCTGGCCAAAGGAGGGCCACTGCACGGCCTCACTCTCTTCAAAGACGTACCGAATTTTCGAGTGATATGCTGTGGCGGCGACGGAACCGTTGGATGGGTTCTGGAAACAATGGGTAAAGACTCTTTAAAATAACAGCCGTTATTTCGGAAAACGGTAAGTCTTTGGAAAAGTGACTGCAACATCAAAACCGACATTATGTTTTACAGACCAAGTTCAATTTGAGAACCAACCTAGTGTCGGGGTGATACCGTTGGGCACCGGGAACGATTTAGCCAGATGCCTCAGGTGGGGTGGTGGCTACGAAGGTGAAGCTGTTACCAAGCTGCTAAAGGTAAGTCACCGACGTAACCGGTATTATTTTATTCATTATCTTCATTAATTTTTACATCCTACGGTTAGAAAATTGAAAAATCTACAACGGTCATGATGGACAGATGGCTAGTTGAAGTGCTTAACCAGAACGACACGACGCCATCCGGTGACCCGATACCATACAATATCATAAACAACTACTTCTCCGTCGGTGTGGTAAGTCCTATCGCTTGAAACTAAAATCAAAGACATAATACCATTTTTTTTATCTTGGAACAGGATGCAGCCATATGCGTGAAATTTCACCTCGAAAGGGAAAAGAATCCTGAAAAGTTCAATAGCAGAATGAAGAACAAGCTGTGGTACTTCGAGTACGCAACGTCGGAACAGTTTGCGGCTTCCTGTAAGAATCTTCACGAGAACATCGAAATCACGGTGTGCTTGCCAGTTTGTCAAAAATGTCACTTTGCATATTGTCAATTAGATGTGTAGATAAGTTTGCTATTATGACCGATAGAATCAATCCTTCGTTGTAATTTTTCCTAAACTCAGCATAGGTGTAAAAAATACTAAATTCAATGGGTTCTCTCACAGCAAAACGAATAATCTATAAAATCCAAAGGAAAGCCTTTGATTAACCCGTAGAGGTGGAAATTGCATATCTGAGAATGGCGTTTCGCCTCTTACATGAATATCCAGAGAAATTCATTTAACTTTTTAAAAATTACGTACTATTTAACATGTATGTTCAGCTAATTTTAGTCGTTCATCGCTATTATTATTATTTTATAGTGTGACGGTGTCAGTTTAGACTTGGCAAACGGTCAGGCCCTTCAAGGGATAGCTTTACTCAATATCCCGTATACACACGGAGGTTCGAATCTCTGGGGAGACAACAACCATAGGAAAAAGTCTATGAGGAAAAAAAGAAAGAAGCACAGGGAAAAAGACATTTCGACTGGTTCCTTCAACTCTGTCGACCTGAGCGCTGCGATTCAAGGTAAATTGTTCAATGTCAATCAATTAAATTGACACTTCTGATTTTTTTTTTTTTTTAATCCAGATATCGGAGACAAACTGATCGAGGTGATCGGCCTGGAAAATTGTCTCCACATGGGCCAAGTGAGGACGGGATTGAGGGCCTCGGGTCGAAGGCTCGCCCAATGCTCGTCGGTCGTCATTACCACGACTAGGACTTTCCCCATGCAGATCGACGGAGAGCCGTGGATGCAGCCGGCTTGCACAGTGAGTCAAAACCGAAACCGTCACAGTTTAACTCAATTTAACTCATCCTTTCTTGTAACAGATAAGAATTACTCATAAGAATCAAGTGCCCATGCTGATGGCGCCACCACCTGAAAAGGGTAAGGGTTTCTTCAGCTTTCTGCGGAAATGAAAATTCTACCGTCCTGTGATGACAAAACCCAAATATGCAGTTTTAACATTTTGAAATCATCCTTTCGTTCTCCTTGGATATTTTTGATAACATTTAAAAGAATCTTCGATTTACAGTTGTGATGAAAAGTTTCTAGTGTACCATCCAATGATATGGGTCCACTAAGCGCAAAACCTCAGTTCATAACGTTCTTTGAATGATCAAAAGCCGTCTGCTGCTGATTTTCCTTTTTTTTAACTGTTTGTTTCACAAAACTTATGCCACTTTTAGAAATTATTAATATAAGAAATCTCGTTTGAAAAAGTAGTTGGCGAAGTACTTAGTAAATGACTTGTATTATGTACTATTTTAAATTAGTGGAAGATACAAACATTTTATAATGTAGAATCTTGTCATGTATCGTTTTGTTTTTATCGAATTGGTTTTTAATTTTTATAAGGCTGATTATCGTGATAAATCGGACGGCGTAGGGATATTTTTATTTTAATCCTTTTTGCGGATTAGGTGTTTTAATTTCGAAGTATATCAATGCAGAATTTATGGTACTGGCATTAAGTACAACTGTCGTTAGTAGGACGAGTTTAAAGGAAGACGACTATATTTTCAATTTTCAATACAACCTGTTCGTTGGATATTTTGATGATACTGCAAATTGCTAACCTAAGCTGCTGTCTAGAAATTAAGGTAGTAATCTACTGAGTTGTATAAAAGCTGTTATTAAAAATATATCTGGAGAATGATATTCAGAACCCCTAAGCAGAGTATTCCATGCTCAATGGTCCCACTAGATGTAAGACCGTCCGCTAATTTTACTAGAAGAACTGAGAACCGGCTCGAACGACCATCAAAGCTTTTATCACTAATGTAAAATAATAAGTTTCTTACTTTTAAAATAATAAGTTCAGCTTTAAACTAAAAACTAAAACGGTTTTTGTTTTAAATGTCGTACAACTGCGCAAAAGTTCCAAAAACCTGTCAGATTTTTCTTTTCCAAATCGTCGGCATTCTGGCATGACGAATAATTTCTAAGCAGATGTAATTTTGTTTTGATAAATGTTTAAAAAAAGCGAAATTAAATTGCTTTAATAACCTATCAAATTTGACTTCTACGAATTTCAAATATTACCCCTGTTGTTATTTGCCAATACTTTTAGGAGTTACTGTACAAAGTTTGTGTAATTACGTTATCGTGATTTATTTGTAAATGTTGAATATATTTATTACTTTTTGTAATTATGCATAAGTTACCTGATAAGCTAAGTATTAGTTTTTAAGTTGAATTCAGTTAAGAACAAAATATCATCCCAGATTTTTTTTAATTGTATACTTCACCTGATTAGAAAATTTTCATCAAGAAAATGACTTCCCTAATTAACAATAATAGGTAAGATAAATAATTTAAGATTTTATAATCTGTAACTGTCCATTAGTAGATTTCTTATGAAAGCATAATAAATGAAATGTGCATTTAATGTTGAACATGGCTGTATAATGAATCCTATACTCTTGGAAAAATATAAATTACTTGTGATAGACAAAAACATAAACGATATTTAATAAACGATTAGGTAAAGTTTCTATTAATTCACTCGTACAGATAAACTCTCAAAGATTACGATTCAGCAAATATTAGCTATAATTAATTTTTTCAAAAAAAATAACAGTCATACATGTATTTTTTTAACTATTTGCAAACTATTAACTTTCGTATATCGTGTATTTCAAACTATACGTGTGTTACAAATTGTTGACATGCCTGAGTATTTTGGTTGTGTTTTATTTATTTACAAACTATGGAAGAAGAAGAAAATATCATTTATTCAAGTAAGAGTTGTTAACATTTTATCACAAAAATAAACCTTGTCGTGGTTATCAAAGCAAAAAACAAAACTCAAAGAGGTTAAAACTAAAACAAGTTACTCTGGAAATTAACATAGAAAATAATTATTATTAAGTAAATTTATACAGTAGTTAAATAGACTCTGTTTTTAGGGAGAGGAATTGCATGTATAAGAGATGTTTAAAAGAGGTCAGGGAAGCTGCTTTGCGGGTAGTTAGAGGGAGTTCCAAAATTTTGATGCTCGGACAAGGAAAGACCGTTTTAAGGTGGAAGTTTTATGCCGGGAAAAGATTAGGTTACAGGGAGATAAGCGAGTATTGCAGGAGTGGAAAGAGGATTGGAATCGGATGGATGGATAATGTAATGAGGACGAATTGTTGAAATTCCAGAGTATTTTGGTTGTTGTTTCATTTATCTTTTTGGAAATTAATGATGGCCAATGGTAGTTCAAGGGATAGGAGGACAGGTAAATTTGGAAGTCGTCAGCATAGAAATGATAGTTGCAATTCTGGATGGAATCGGACAGGTCATTAATGTAGATGCTGAAAAGGATGGGAGAGATGCTAGAGCTTGAGGAACGCCATATTTTAATGGAAGGAAGGAAGAAGTGGAGCCGTGAGGGAAAGCGACGGCTTGAAGTCGATTGGTAAGGTAGGAGTGGAACCGTCGGATGGTGCTGTTGGAGAAAGAAACGGATTCGAGTTTGCACATGAATAACGATTGAACGACGGACTCAAAGGCTTTGGTGAAGAAGGATTAGAATAGTAACTTTTTGTTCGTTCATTGTTGTGTAAAGATCGCTGGAAATTTTGACTAGGGCAGACTGTGTGGAGAAACCATTTGGGAAGCCGGATTGGAAAGGGTTAATAACATTGGAATATTCTATGTGATTGGAGAATTGGATTTGAACTAACCTCTCAAAGGGGTTTGGACAGATTGGATAGCTTAGATATAGGGCGGTAGTCATTAGGAGTAGATGGATTTGGAATTTCGTTGATGGGGTGGACATGAGCTTTTTACAAGGATGAGGGAAAACGGAGTTCTGAAGTGAGTAGTTATAGATGTGAAGTAGGACCGGAAGTATAACTGGGAGGCAGGGTTTCAGGAATTTAGCGGGTATGCCATCACCTCTTACGGTTACGGGATTTGGATATTGCTTCGAGGAGTTCGTTACGAGTTAAGTACGAAAATGAAAGTTAGATGGGCTGTAATATGACCTGAGGGAGCTTTTAGGGAAATGGGATTGGGAACCGGAAGAGTTATGGACGGCAGAAATAAAGTGAGAATTTAGTTCACACTGGGTGACCGGAAAAGAAGAGGATGTGCTGACAGGATGACAAAGACCGAATTTTCGGAATAGGTTCCACATTGCTCTAGCATCTGGGATGGTGGAGAAAGTTGGCTTATTATGATTGGAGTATATTGGTTGTCATTAAACTATTTCTATATTGGATAGTGCCAAAATCAATTATTTTTAAATAGCATTACTAATAGTTTAATTTATTATGAATTTTCAAGTGTATTTGTGCGAATAATATGTGGGAAGCTTTGTTTATACTGAATGACTTATTCAACAGATTTTATCTAATAGTTTTTGTCATTCATCTATAAACCAGGGATTTTATATAAACATTGCACAAAAAAACTACCCTTTAACATTTAAATCTGTTTTTTATCCTACTCAATATAATATTTTTTTGTAAAGGTTTCTAAATAAATGTCTTCTATACAACAATTTCCAGACTTTTGTAAACTACTTTGCGTTTTAAAAAAATCCGCTGCTTTTGGAATTTCTCTATCTATCTCTCTCGTGTACGTTTTAAATGTGCTGTAAAATAAATAATTTAAAAATATTAGAACTGAGTATCGAAATATAAGGATTGAGGATTAAATCTTTACCCAAGTGAATTTGTATAAAATGACGCACCATTAAGCCTTTTATTATAGACAGCAGTGTAACTGAACCATATTATGTAAGTGTACAATGCCTTTTAGACGTGAGCAAGTATTTTAGCAATACAAAAAAATAAATAAAAATAAATTATCATAGGTTATCATAAAAGTTTGGAAAAACAATATGTCTTAATCTAGAATAATAATATTAATTGAAATATAAAAGAACACCACATTTTTGTCTAAATATTGAAACAATTAATTAGGTTTAAGAGACATAGGTTTATTTAAATAGAGACGTGAAAACGCTTACAACATTAAATGGACATTTCTACCCGATCTGAAAATTTTGTTTTCTAAATCTAAAACTTCGGCGCTCAATTTTATAGTTGTTTTAGTTTTAGCTTCCATCGACTTTTTTTTATTCTCGTGTTTTTAGTTGGTGTCAAATGAAAACATATCTAATTTTTTAGTACCTGAAAATTTGCAAAAAAAAATATTTATTACTAGATAACTGTGTACAAAATGTGAGTTTTCTCTTTTAACGGGAGCAAAGCCCGACAAATGTTTTTTGCAACTGTTAATAAAAATGAGTTGTAAAACACAAAAGCCGCTGCAAACGCCACAATGGTTTAATGTTAAGACGTGTAGCGAGTTAGAGCAGCTTGGCCTAACATTTATTCGGCTCTTTTTTGTTTTGAGTGTGCGTGTGTGTGTCTTTGTTCAAAATTGTAGCGGAATTTCATGTTAGTTTGTTTCATTTTGCGATATTTGTTATTGCCATTCTGTTCGTTCCTAATTTCTAGCTGTAAAAAAAGTGTACAGAAACAACTTTGTCATTGTTTTGCCTGTTTGGACTTTTTTTTAGAAGATTAGTTAAATCACTGCCTTGGATTTCTTGCTTGGAAAACTGGAAATTTATCAAATGTCGTTATATCATAATTTAAGGTCCGTCGGTATGATCTCGCCGTAGGCGCTTTGTCGTTCAATTTAGAAGTTGCAACATTTCAAAAAGAGACATTGACATGTTCGCATTTGGTACACAGTTGGACGTCTGAACTTGGGTAATTCAGAGAAATGTATATAAAGAATGTTATTATTTCAGACCGAACTTCCGTGAAATTTGAAGGTCTAAGAATAATTATTTATATATACTATTCTAAATAGAAGAAAAAGGAATTATTAAAGTAAAGAGCGATATTTTAAAAGAATATATAAAATTCATATCTTTATCATATGAAACACTTTTGTAGTGACAGTAGATGAAGGGAATATTTAAATTTTGGACGTGCCGAATAATGACTATTCTTTAAACGATGTAAAAGAAATTTTATTAGGGCATTTTTAGATAACAGAACTTTGAGAACTGCAACGGAAAACAACTTGTAAATTTACATAAGTAAATTAGGTAAGGCGCCGCATAATTTTTGTAATATCAGTTGACAGCCACTCACTTGCTACAATACGATAAAATAGAACTTAATATATAAAGTACCAATTTTAAAACTATTTTATGTACAAAATAATTATTACTATTAATATAAAAGTATTACGGCAATGTGTAGATAGATATCTCTACGTTAGAGAAAAACTTTAATCCTGCAAACTTGGCTTTGTGTATTGCTTCTGATTGTTTAATGTTCAAAAATTATATTAAGTATATGTATTTGTTGTATGAATGTCTGAATTCCAAATCATAATTGTAAAATCGGTCTTTGCTATTGTAATCGTTCATGACTAAATGTGAAATTTAAAAGCTTAAAACTATATCTGTTGTGGAAATTAATTGTCTAAATTACTGTCTAAATCTCTGTTTTCAAGCTAAGCAGTTGCGAAAAGGCGAAGAAATTTCATTCGCAAATTGGTTTCAATCGACAGAACAAATATTTCAAAAAATAAAAACGAAATATCTAATAAAAAAACGGACTAATGAAAACAATGAACAAAATTATTATCAGCAATATATTTATTTAAAAATAGGCATATCCAATAATCTAATCTGTGGTGCTATACGTATTTATTAAATTTACGATATCTGATTATAATAATTATCATTTATAATATCTGATAATTATTACCCTGAAACGTTATATGTGATACGTTGAAAATAATCCTTTTTCCTTTATTCTTTTGATAAGACATGACCAAATCGTTTAGACTGCTCAGCTAGAAAAAAAAATTATATGACCCCAATTGTTACGAAATCTTTTGACCTATGTTTCGCCTTTACAAGTTGAATAATAACATATATTTGTAAATTCAAATTAAATTCAGTTGAAACATTGTTACATATTTATTAAAAGTTAATAAATAAAATAGAATTTTATCAAATTCAAAATGCTTCATTCTTTTATTACCTGAATACCTCTTTCCGGCTGATTTCTCCAAGGTAAGATTTAAAATATTATCAAATATAAATTCTGCGTGTATGTCTTAGTAAATTGTACCGTAGATAATACTAAATGAGTTTTTAAATTAAGAAAAAACAAAAAGATATATTAATTTTTTTTAAATACTGCATTCCCAAATGCAAGGTATTGTTTATTATTATGGACTGCCAAAATAATGTTGTTGTTTTGTTCATGAGGTTACCTCGCTTAGTTGTTTTTAAAAAAAGCCCATTCGTAAGTACGTTCGGTTCCAATTCAGGGCCGCTGGGATTCGAACCCGGGCATTTACTTTACGCCTGATAAGAGCCGAATCATCCGTTGCGGCCTCCGACGTCCCCAATGTTTAGTTTTATTGAGTGATGATTTCAACCATGATGATATGATACAATAAACTTTCATATCATATGGATACCTGCTCATAAGGGGCACTATGGCAAAGAACAAGCAAACAGCCTGGCCAAGGAAGGATCAAATACTGAGTTCGTCGGACCACAACCGGTATTACCCCACTCTTTAAGCACAGCAAAAGAGAGTATAGGTAGCTGGGGCATGAAACAATTCCTTAAGGAATGGAATATGTCCCCAGGATGCAGGCAATCGAAGGAGTTTCTGAAGGAAATCAAACCTAAAGAATCGAAATGGCTATTCTCTAACTCTAGGAGGGGAATAAGGAGGCTGATAGGTATCCTAACGGGCCATTGCCCCTTGAGAAGACACCTCTTCATAATGGGTACTCTACCAGACCCCTTCTGCCGCTTCTGCGAAACAAAAGAAGAAACGGCCCGACACTACCTCGCAGAATGCGATAGGTATGCTAGGGAAAGATTTAATACTTTCGAAGGAGAGGACATAACCAAAACACTCCCCAGGATAAAATGGTCCACAATCCTGGGGTTTGTGAATAGGTCCAATAGGTTTATGCAGGACTCGTGAGCCGACCAGGTCCCGGACCTTTTAGGGATGGGGTACGGGCCTACTCAGGCTTTTAACCCCTCGGGTCCTGGTCGCCCGCCCTGTGTAATATATATACAATAAACTTTAAGAAAACTATCGGAACGAGGAACCAGACAGGTTTGGCTGTTAAAAACATTTACCGCCCGGTGGTAAATGGAAAATTTAAATTCCCTCATTTATCGTGTTTTAAACGAATACGATTTCCACAATTACACCCAAACGGCGAAATGCGCCTGACAGACCAGTTCGGCGATGTTTGGCGACCATGATGATAACATGATGAATATCTTTGTTATTTTGTTAAAACTGAAAGTATAATTATACCACAACTTCCTTTCACATTACCCTTTCTCACTAAATACGCAGATGATATATTAACAGCAGTTCCCACAGGAAATCGAAAGAGTTTGTTAAGGCGATCAAACCAGCTGAATCGAAATGGCTATTCTCTATCTCAAGGAAGAGAATTAGGAGGCTGAGAGGTATTCTGACGGGCCACTGCCCACTGAGAAGACACCTCTTCGTAATGGATATTCTACCACATCCCTTTTGCCGTTTTTGCGAAATAAAAGAAGAAACGGCAAGGCACTACCTCGCAGAGTGTGATAGGTATGCTAGGTCTAGATTTAAAATCTTTGAAGGAGAGGACATCACCAAATCACTCCCCGAGATTAAATGGTTCAAAATCTTGGGATTTGTGAACAGGTCTAAGAGGTTTATGCAAGACACCAAGTCCCGGACCTTTTGGGGATGGGGTACGAGTCTACCTAGGCATTTAATCCCTCGGGTCTTGTTCGCCCACCCTGCATAATATATACATATCCCACAGATCAAATTTAAACTACATTAGATACATTTAATAGCTTTCACCCACGCCTACAATCTACACATGAAATCGAAAATATCAAAACAATACCATTTTTAGATATACTCGTCATAAAACAACCAGTTGGCACATTAATCACAGATTGGTATCCAAAAACAAAAAACACAGATCGCTACCTCAACTTTACATCCTTTTCATACAATAATAAGCACGGCCAAAGAGCTGCTTCACAAAATTATTACCCTAAGCCATGAATCTTTTCACCACAAGAACATAAATATATACAAACATATCCTACATAACAATCACTACCCTAAACACATAATCAACATAATAATCAAAAACTACAAATCAACACTAACACCATCTGCTATTACTAATAATACCACATCAAATCTATCAAATACAGACAAACCAATATACACATCCATGGCATTCATTCACGGCCTATCACAGAAATTAAACACATTTCTCTCTACTGATAACTTTAAAATAGCTTTCAAAAACAATTGACACACTTTTTCCAAAATTAAAGATCCTACACCACTAGCAAATAAGTCTTACGTAATTTACAAAATCAATTGTTTAAACTGTCCGGCAAGTTACATCGGAGTTACACCCCAATATCTGGATAAGCGAGTAAAGCAACATATCTATTACTGCAAAAAACCGAAACAAAATCCTAGAGCACTGGCTACCCACCATTTTGAACACCAGTATACCATAATTAATGTTTTAATTAAAAATATGACGTGTACGAGGTTCTGGTGATGCTGCTCTCCTTCAATTCGATATCTCGCTTTCAACCTTGCAATGAGGGGCGTCGGTGGCCGCAACGGTTTAGGCGTTGACACGGTGCTCATCACTATAAGGTAAAGGTCCCGGGTTCGAATCCAGCTGCCCTGCATCCGAACCTGACATACTTACAAATGGGCTTTTTGCGAACCCTCTTTAAATAAAAAAATAAAAAATAAAAAGTTCTAAAAAATATAAAAGAGAGTAGTCCTCTTATTAAGGAAATTTTGGGGAAATCCCCAAACCTTTTGATGGAAAAGTCATAGTACGAGCCATAATTGAGTATTTTCAAAAATACATGGGTTTTGCCATTTGTTATCCTTTGAGCGGCTACTGTGTATTCGGAAGCGCGAATTTGTCAACGGAAATGTTCTTATTTTATGGAAAATTTAATGTGCGAAATAAAGATCAGATTTGATTTTGATTTTAGGCTACCATCACAAAAATATTAATATTTCAGGTAAGAGTCAAGAGAGAAATCTCGTTCTGGTGGCACTGAACTACGTTTTATTTAGTGAATCCACCATGACAGATTGACACTTAACCCTGTAACACCCTGTATAACAACTTCCATTTTGCACAAATTTAAGTTATATAATATGTTCGCTATTTACATCAATGGTTTTGTGTTCAAACATGTTCAGTGGTATTTTGTGTTTTATTTTTACCCAAATTTGAATGAAAGTTTTACCCAAGAAAATTAGAAGGTTGCTGTTTGTATGTGTATGTATTCTTTGACGATTTTCTCTTTAAAAAAATCACTTTTATTTATTTAAATAAATGAATGTCAAAATATTTGTGAAAATACAATTTGATACTTTGTGATAAATTGCTACTCGACTAGAAAAGATTAGTAACGTATTTTCAAATGTAGTAAATTCAAAAGAAGGTAAATATTCACCTCTTATTTCATGTCCAACGTATAAATAATTTTAAAAAATTTTGTTTAATCACGCGATCACCTGTTTTCAAGATTTAGTTAATGTGTAAATAGAAGTAAAAATACCGAGTGGAGATTAGCTGGAGGGTGGTCTAATACGCAGTAAGTACCCAGCTTGTGCCTCTAATCGCACCTGACAACTTGAGGACCGCGGTGTTTATTTAATTCTATCTACCCAAAGAGAAAGCCTCGTTTCTAGGTCACAAATCGGCATATCACATGTTTGGTAATTCAATGTTAACATGAGAAAATTATCGAGTGTGTCAAAATTTATTGCAAACAGAGGAAAACCTTGCCCGCGTTTTTGTATTTATCAATTTCTGCCTTAATTGTAAAAATTATCGTCCTTTTTGGATTAACATCTGTTAATTTTCACACACGGATCAACACTGCCAACATATCACTAAACGATATTTATCGATATCCGCTAATCTCATGTAAAATAGGATTTTCAGCATAAACGCCCGATCATAATAAATAAACCATCATACAAAATATTGTTGATCATGTTCAACGGCATTAAAAATTTAATTACGGAAATTGTGGTTAAATTGTTACAATGTTAAAAATGATTGTGAAAAATTAATTTTATAGGGTAAATACATATAGGGTAAGAGTCTTAAACAGGTCAATTAAAAAGAAATATCAAACGTACTCAAATTGTTCTTGTGTGTTATTTGTTTAGTGATGAATACGTTCTTTTAAAAGTGTCCTTATTAAAATGTCATTTTCATTTTTTTTTTCTGGGAAGGTGTGATTCATGACTCTGTAAAGATTTGAACATCCTCATTGAACAAAAAGCACTTCTGTTCAATTTGGATCAGATAGCTCGAGATTTCTATGTAGAGTTGAGAAATCGATTTTTTCCCAGAATATTGATTAGAATTGCAAGCACCAGCTTTCTTTGAAAATACATTTCATAATCCTTAAAACTTAAATTGTGTAATTAACTCGATCAATGTTGTTAGACCTTAAGGGTATTTTTTATGAAAAAATAAAATACAATTTTACTAATAACAATAATAATTTATAATTATTTTTATTACTATTTATATTATTTTAATAAAAGGAAAAAATATAAATAAAAGGCATTGTAAGGGATACAGAATTTATTCAATCCAATTATTTCTTTTTAAAATTATATTTACACCCTTCTTTCTTTTAAATTGTAATCTTTGAACTTAAATTTTTACAAAAAAATAAAATCAATTCTTCTTGAAACAATATTAAAAAAACTTAAAATATAATTAAGAAGTATTTAACCTATTGTTAAAAATAAATGAATTAATATTTATGTATGCGCAATCCCCAAGGAATAAAATTAAGGAAATATGGAATGGGAAAAAACTCACACGATGAATGCTGTTTTCCTGTTGTTTTCTGATAAGATGATTCTTCACAAGCAAAGTTGAAGCAGCCAAGTTAGAGGTGGTTGTTCGCAGTCTCCCAATGGAATGAATCCTGTCCTCCGCCTTTCAGCCATGCTGCACTCTTGTCTCCCACGAGTTGCAAAGTCCATCGCTTCCTTCACGTTCATTTCGATTTGTTTGTTACAATGTTTGAAGTAATTTTTTCAAGCATTTCAACCGTATCTGCATACCGACATTTAAGAAATGGCAAGTCTGCTGGTAATTGTTGCTTATAAATTTCCAATATGCCGTGTCGTTTTGTAACAAGTTACTAACAAAAGAAAGGAAAATGAAATCTGCCAAACAGAAATACTACCAAAATAAAATTGAAGAAGTTGAATTAATGAAAGTTTTTAGTCACAAACACGATCTAATAAATACAGCTATCAAGAGAAAATGGCATGAATAGCAGTTAAGTCGTTTTCATCCAAGGCAATCTGCTATTTTTCCTTGCGTTGCGGCAAAACGTCTAGCACAAATGTACCACACATTTTTGCTACTTACCGTTACTTATAATAATATCAAATAAAATGTAAAAACAAAGAACAACTTTTGGCTTAATAAAACAGGAAATGATTTTATCATCTTCAAACTTGGCATAAGAAAGTATTAAGAAATAAAAAAAATTAAAAATCGACATTCCTTGATTTCCCTTATAACCTCCAATTGTAACTTTATAGAAATATTATAATAATTAAATATTAATAATTATTAATATTTAGTTTATAACTAACCTTTATATTACGGCTATCTTCATATAGGCAACATGCAATTCTTTCGGAGGACACGGGGTATTGAAAGTTACAACCCATGAAAAAGATATCCTACCATCTTTTCTTTTTAATCGATGAAGGTTTGTAACATTAGAACCTTTTAATTCTTCAAGAAGTTCTTCATCGGGACACTCTTTCAAGTCCCAGCAAGAAATTACACCTTTTCAGGTGTTCAATTTAACATTTCTTTCGACCTTTACCGGTATATTTTCTATACTTTTAATTTTCAATATTTTATCCCCTTGTTCCTTATTGAACGCTTCAATATAAATTAAACCGTCACGGCCTTTTTTGACGTTTACTACTTTCCCTACTTCTCTATTTATTACTCTACATATCTTAATTGGCGATAGTGAGTGAAGGCCGCCATTATCTTTCCTATCCAATCGACAAATGATAAAATGTCTTGCCGCAGAAGTACAAACAACAGGAGAAGGAGTCCTATTTAGAGGAGGTAATCGATTTCGAAAACCTTCTCGGCCCACTGGGCCGAGAGGGCCTTTGAATTGATTTTGGGAAATTTTGAAAAATTGAAAAACAGATGGCGTTTAAATAAAAAGAGAAAAATTAAATAAATAAATCTTGCCCAACCCTGAAACCAGGTTTCTAGAGAGATTCAGGCCCCACACTTCCCAACACTTCCCAATAGGGAATGCGAGCTACAAACTAGCACCCATCAGACTTGTCTAATCGTCAAAAAACTTATCCAGAACATTCACTCGTAAACTAATTTATCCTATTGCCATCCAGCTTTAATTTTTCTTTTTTTTCCTTTTAAAATTCTTAATTTGGAAGGCAAATGTATGCAAAATTCTCATTTTAAATTACATATAAAATTTATTTCTGTTTCTTTTTTGATTAGAATTGTGAATTTTTGTTCCATAATTTAAACATTTCCCATAGGCTTGTATGACTAATAATAATAATGGAGTCAGACTAGCAACAGTCTTAGCATGAGCTCATCCTTATCCTTTTATTCTTCCATTCAAATATGATACATAAACTAATTCTACATAACAATAATAAGAAACAAAACAATAACACTTCTTTTTCTTTATCTTTTTTTTTTTTTTGAGGGAGCTATTTTTCTTATTTAAATTGCGATTTTAGGCATTGCAGTTTATTACCCCGCAATTTGTATTTTCTTCCATTTCATTTTTCCGCTCCGGCAGCCTCAAAAACTTCTGAAAAAAGAAATCTTGCAACTCTCATTCAAACATTAGCAGGCATTCAATGGTATAACAATTTGGGAAAAGGCCTAAATCTCATTATAAATTCCAATAAATTTGAGAAAGCTGAAAAGTGCTTTTCGAAAGAAACACTGGGGACCCAGTAACTCTTGTAAATCACTCGAAAGGTTGAGCCTTTGCCTAAAGGGTTGTAAAGTGGGTCAGTCGACCAAAATATGTTTTACTGTCAAAATGGTGCGTTCTCCACTTCGCGTACATCGAGGACAAGTTGGAAGGTTGTTGCCTATTAAAAGCCTATTATGGATTAGCCTGATATGACCTATTCGCAATCTAGAGAGAATCACAAGTTCTTTTCTCTCAAGTTCCTCAGTTGGCCATTTATGTACAACTGGCTTAATTTCTATCATACTATCTCTACTGACATTCCATCTTGCCGCCCACTTTCGTTTGATAATGTTTTTAACATAAACGACTATATCATCTGGACGGAGAGGAAATTGATCTGTTCTTTGTGGATGGTTTGCGGCGTTCCTTGCCTGTTGATCAGCTTTTTCATTTCCAGAAATTCCGACATGACTAGGAACCCAAACAAATACCACATGTTTGTTGAGTGTTCTGATTTCATAGAAATATTTGTGAATTTCTAAGATGTAAGGGTCAACCGAGAAATTATTTTTGATTGCTTCGAGACCACTTTTCGAATCAAAGAAAATAATGGCATTACAAATTCCTGGCGATTCCTTTATAATGCTCAATGATCTTCTGATTGCATGAAGTTCAGCTATATGCTAGCCTCATTCGATAGAGACCAGCTGAGGTTATACTCATCACAAAATATCCCACACCCTACACCAATTTCATTTTTAGACCCATCGGTATTAATCGGGATAGTTATTTAAAATTCGCAAGAATTCTGCCTTGATCATCAGAGAAGGTGTTTCTCTTTTGTTCAATAGGCCAGATATTATTATTATTATTATTATTATGGTCTTTGGTTGTAATATTTAACCACATTGTTACAATTGTATTATTTCTTTAGAATAATTTGGGATTTGCTTAAATAATTTTAACTATTTTGAATTCGATTTTTCTCTATTCATCAATGAACTTATTTTTTAAGGTCAAATGTAATTCCCATGATTCTGCCAATTAAGGATTGAGAGTATCTGCGAATTGATTATCTTAATTGTAATAAAAACTAGGAATATTATATAAATATTCAGTCATAATCACAAGGAAAATATATGCAAAAATAATGAGAAATTTGAACATTCTGTCCTAATCACCAGCCAAATTTCATTTAATATATTTTTGAGCAAGTAGAGTTGGTAATCAAAAATTTTGGGACTTCCTCTTGAGGCCTGCAGAACGATGAACAACACAATTTAGTCGATTCCGATCATCTTGGTATGCCTTTACCCTCACTGTCTTACTGGGAAGGCGCTAATATTACTTGGCAACAGGAGGAGCAAAGTGCGAGCAATCGACCGTTAGACGCTCTTCGTAACGAAGAGGCAATTTAGGACCTACTGCATATTTCTTCACTCAACCTCCGGGCTAACCACCACGATCTTGCCCGCAGACACAGATTCAATAAAAAACATGATTAAAAGAAGGTGGCAGCGTCAATGGGCCGGATCGACAGAAAACTTTCTCGTTTCAAGAGCAATGTCGACAGGAGGCCCTCGGAGGGTCTGGCTCGTAGAAGAAGGGTCATCCTCACCCGATTAAGAATAGGCCATGCGAGATTGACACACTGACGATTACTGTTGTGCCAAAGCCCGTGTATATATCTGGTATGTAGAGAAAGATCGCTCGATGTGTTCCACCTGAAACAGGTCACCTCTTTGGCTCTATATAGAGAGCGTGTACGATTGCCATGTAATATGAGAATCGTGCTTGAGCGAGTATCTAAGCTCCCGTTTCAATTTGTAGTGGAAAGAGGGTGTTTTATTGTATATAGTGAAGATAGTTTTGTCCCCCTAGCGTTGAGAGTGAATGTATTTATAGGCGTGAATGTGTAGTGTGAGAGGGTGGATGGCGCAATATTGAATAGCCCTTCGACCCTCAATTACGTTAGTTACTCAAAGTCAAAAACTCCTGTGGTATTGTATATAATAATAATAGTTAGGTGACCCTGATGAGTGTGATGGCAATAGTGTCCATCATCAATAAGTGCCACACCTCGCGCAACATCCTCAGCACTAAGTGGCATTTTTAAGTTTAAAAATTGAAATTAAGAAAACAAAGATGAAATCTAAACAGTTTATTGCTTCAGAATTCAAATGAGACTGAATAAACATTTTAAATTCCGTAAAAAGTAAACATTGAGAGATCCTTTATCCTTGTTTTGGATTAAGGATTAAGTGTTTTATCTCTAATTTCCAAATTAAAACATAGCATAAACAAATATTTATTGGTAAAAACACTGAAATAAATTAAGGGCAGAATTTTCTTTAATCGCGAAAATGAAAAATTCATTGTGTAGAATTGTATGCCTGTCAGTGTATAATAGGTGTAAAGGGATGGATGGATATCGAGTCCACCATACAATTGAGTGAATGGTGCCTAATTAGGAGAGAATGTATTTAAGAATGAGTGAGAGTTAAATTGGTTTGGATCTAGGAACTGCACGCGTTGGGTCCTGAATTGACCGCCGTACGTATAAGACCTCTGACCCCGGAAGCCCAACACCCGAGGTGGGTGACGGACACTTTTGGATCAAAGGCCGCGCATGTGTTCGGTATGCAGAGTAATGTCGATTTTTCCCATCTAATTGAAGGGTGTCATTCCTTGGCTCCGTACAGAGGAGCGCGCAGGAATGCCACCCGATTTGAAAATTGTACTTGAACACGGCGGCGAGTATTTTGGTTCTTGGAGGAAACGGAGATATTCTATTGTATACAGTAACAAGTGTATACTGGTAAACTGCAACCCGGGGTGAGTGATTCTCTAGTCTGCCGGCAATTTTCTGTAAATACCAAAAGCTGGTTGGGCTATGAGAAGCGAATAGGCTCAACTGAGCACACGTTTGTATGTACGTACTTGCGCGGATTTCTTATATAAATCCAAATCAAAAAAAAAAAAAATTCAATTTCACTTTTATATCATGGTATTTAATAGCAATATTTAACCACATTCTTACGATTATCTTATTTCTTTTTTTTAATTAGAATTCGTTTACATAATTTTAACTATTTTCAAATCATTTGTCTTGTTCATATTCATTTTTTAAGGTCAAATGTAATTCCCATGATTCTGCCAATTGATTTGAGAGTATCTGGGAGTCGACGAGGATGGTTATTAACATCAATCTGGAATCCATTCAAGTAAGGTAGGTCTTTATGGATTGGATAAAACAATCTTTATTGACAATGATGACAATACAACGTATCTAAAGTTTTGTTTAGAAAAAATAGTTGTTTTTGTATAAAACAAAATTTTATCAAGGAGAAAAGAAAGAAGATAGAACCAGTAAAGAAAAGTCTATTATTGCTTTCATAGTCATTAATCTTTTGTAGTCATGATATAGAATCGGCCATTTTCTCAAAACTTTTAACTGAATGCTGAACTTTTTATATTAATCTAGTGCGTTACTACCCTAATGACCACAAAGCTCACCAGTTAAACAACTTTCTTTCATCTAGACCATTTAATTGTTCCGATTTAATTGAATCTGCAAAATATTTACAAACAAAATTAAGTCACATTCGAAGCACAATTTAATTACATTATTTAATTACAAATACAAATTTTGTGATATATTACAACACAGAAATTTTATAATCAATTTCTTAAGCCATCTGACTTTTAATCTGTTCCCAGAAAATGAGGGAGAACGAACGATCCCTCACAGAAGTGTGCCGATGGAGTACTGATGGATGAGATTGAAAAAAACGACTTAAATCGAGGTTTGTCTCCATTTGTACTGATTATTTTGTTTTTTGAAGTAGAACATAGTCTCTTTCTGAATATCTCTGAATACATATGAAACTTGCTGGGTTTTGCATTGTGACTAGTCAGGATTTATCTTCGCTGGAACCATCCTCACAACATCAAAAACTTGGTTGATTTTTGTTTACAATGATTAGTTGTAATAAGGAACACTACATAATAAAGAGTCACTACTTTCTGAATTACACTTTCTTATCACCTTATGCATTGACAGACTTGACTACCCCATTACTTAAGTTATTTCTTGGGTAACATGTCACAGATACTGTGACTACCTAATGAAACTTTTAGACAATTAAAATAAAAAAACAGATACTAACTGCAGAATTGTTCCTCCAGCAACCAATAGAGTGTCCATCCGTACGTCTGTTCCTCAAGTAACCCGAAGCAAGCCTCAACTCTCAGAAAATGATCAACCAGGGTCAATGGCGCGTTTTTTATCGCTGGCGCAGACGAAAGAAAATATCGGCACGTGTCAACAGACAAGTTGCGAAAGCACACTTCGCCTAGAAGACAAAGTACACTCGGAAGTGAAACCAATAAAAAGCACCATCCTCAAAGGCAAACCTGCTCATGCCAATAGTTCTGCTGATAACACGTCGAAAAATTCGCAGGATGTGAGTCGATCAAAATCTGAAGACACTTATACTCCCACATCAGTCAATCATTCAGAGTCTTACGAAGTGCTAGAATTTTTAATAGACGATAACGTATCTCTAGGATCGAATGGAAGCAAAGAACAAACTACAAGGTTTGTAAAATAATGTTAATGTTAGATAAAAATGGAAAATTTTATCAAGTTTAACATTTTTGATGCAGGTTGATTATAAAAGAAGAAAGCCGAGGGTAAGAAATCAAAGTTTTTTTTAAATTAGTTGCATTCATAAATGAGTTCATTGATTGCACAATTGACGTAATAATTTAAAATACTAAACAGTAATATTTATCCATATTTGTTTAGTGGTCATAATTGACCATATTAATTATTCCAATTAATTATTCTTTTTATCTAAGGTTTTTTTGGTTGAGATAAAAAAATTAGTGTCGCGGGCGGGATTCGAACGCACGACCTTCGGCTGAATTCCCCGCTTCTCTAACCACTTGAGCTATCGTGACTTCGATCCTCTCGCCGAAGGTCATGGGTTCGAAGCCCGCTCATGACAATAATTTTTCATCTCAACCAAAAAACCTTAGATAAAAAGAATAATTAATTGGAATATGTAATATTTATTAACAATAATTTTATTATTATGAAACATTTTTTGTTTGGTGATGAATCGTATCTTTGCTTTTATGAATGAACTACATTTTCACAAAAAAAAGACAAACAAGTCAACAAAAATCAAGATGCTGAAACAGCATGAATAGTTGCTAAAAGAGTGCATAAAAGTGAGTCCCAAATCAATAAGAAGAAAAATACAGAGTGAGATTGAAACGTTTAGGCCATACATCATCATAAAAAATGCAGGTGGCAAGTCTGAACTCCTATAAGGGAAACAATAAAATTACTTGGCTTGTCCGGAAAATAATACAGGATTACGGTTATAAAATAAAAACAATTAAATGATTTTACACATTTTTTGTTAATTAAAATACCTCGATCACTCTCAATGCATTTCTCCCAACGTGATGACAAATTCTCTATACCCTCTGAATAGAATTTACAGTTTTTATTATTAACAAATTCTGTAAAGGCATTTTCTAACTACGTTTGATCAATAAATTTGTTATGTTATAAAGCGTTGTCCAGGTGTCAGAAAAATCTGGAGAAGAGGGAGGATGAAGTAGAACCTCGTAACCAAGTTGTAACAGTTTTTGTGTTGTCACTTTTGAGACATGGGGTAGAGCGTTATTGTGTAACAGAATCGGCCTTTTACGATTGACCAAACATGGCTTCAATAATGCCAATTTCTGGTGCATTGCTTCAATTTGAGAGCAAAATAATTTCGGCATTGCTAGTTTCACCAGGAATCAAAAAGCTTTAGTAAATCAACCTAATGAAGCTCACCGAAGAGTCGCCATCACCTTTTTTTATGAGTTAGGAGCTTTGGAAAACGTCTCGTTTGTCGAGCCACTTTCAGAACGTCTGCTGTTACCGTAGAGAAACCACTTTTATGTTATATATTTTATCACAAGTAACAATTCTATCAAGAAAAACTATGTTTCTGTTTCGGCATAAGAAGTCTTTCGCAAACTTCATAACGATAATTTTTTTGGCTGTCGTTTAATACGGTCGATTTGCTAACTGAATGATGATTCTTTGCAAGTTTTCGAACAATTTATCTGGGATTTTATTCGACCGAAACTCGCAGAACATCATCATCATCGTCTTCAAAGCGAAGATCTTTCTTCTGTTCTCGAGATTTTTTAAACCATCTCTGAACAGTCACTCACACTGCCTTCGCTCTAGACTTCATTAATGTTTCTGGCCGTTTGGAAACCGTTCCGATTGAGTTTAAACTCGTAAAACGAAATTACTCGAAAATCACGCGTTGACATCTTAGTAAAGACTAAATTATTCTAAAGTAACGAAATGCTACAGAGACAAACAAACATTTTTATTCGGAAGAGGATTAAAAAGTGTTGATATTAAATAAGTAATCAAATAAGATAATTAAAAAGTGATAAAAAGAATAATTCATCGAATATAAATAGTTTATTATATACAGGGGTAATTGAAAGAAAACATGATAACCTGCATTATTTTCCGGACAACCTAATATATAAGTATAAATTATGTTGAGAAAATAACCATTGCATGTTGTAGATATTTGTAGATAATCAAATGAGGTTTAATAATCTGAATTAGATCCTATCCAGATGGGAAGTTGTTGTCCGAGTGGATCGAAGTCACGATAGCTCAAGTGGTAGAGCAGCGGCGTATTTAGCCGAAGGTCGTGGGTTCGAATCCCGCTCCTGACACTAACTTTTTCATTTCAACCAATACCTTTAAAGATTAATTAATCTGAATTAGGAAAGCAGTCTGAGCCAAAACAAGGTATAAAATAGTTATACTCACTTGCTCAGATTCAAACGTAGCCATTTTGTTATTGGCTGCAAACGTGCAGTACATTATGTAGAAGATTTATGTTTTTGTCTTTAATGCATGTGATCTTCCCATATATATATATATATGTCTCTTGCGTAAACTTGCGGGACACCATGGCCATTCTTTACACATCCTAGTTTAATTTATGTTTCTAGCTTTTATATTTTATCGACTGTACTCTAGTAGGACCAGAGAATGATAGATAAACTCACCTTCTCTCCTTTATTCCGGAGAAAATTGTTTGGTGCTTTAAAAATGTAAAATTAATTCACAGAGGTGAAACATTCTGTCGAATATGCCATGAGTTGGATCAAGATGAGGCGCTGATTTCGCCCTGCAAATGTAAAGGTTCTATGTCTCTCGTGCATACCTCCTGCTTGGAGCACTGGCTTGCCGAGAGTGACAGCAGCCACTGTGAATTGTGTGGATTCAAGTACAAAACCACACGACGGCCTAAGTACTGCTTAATACTACTTTGTATTAAACAATATGAAAGATGTTTTCGTTTATTTTTAGATATAGCATGATTGGTTCAGTTGTCGCATGGTTCAAAAGTTCAAGGAGGGACAGAAGGGAAGTAATCCTTGACATTTTGGCGACAATCACCCTCGCACCTATGGCCGGGATTGGTACCTACGTTGGACTTCTGATGGCAGAAGCATTAAATATAGACGACGACGTTCAGAATGTTGTAAGTATCAAATTGCAATTGAAAAGTATATAAAAGAAAAATGTGTTTGGGATCTGGTTTCTGGTCAGTTAGAGAAAAAAGTAGACTCTGTGATCACTTGCCAAGCTTTCGGCCTGTATAAGACCATCATCAGGGCAGCATCCTATTTTTCATATTAATATTACAGAGTGACGAAAAAACCCGACGACATCGACTATGAGGTCTCGAAGTACATGAGGATGGTTAAGTTGAAATTAAGACATGTTTTTTTCTGTGATAGTGGTCTCCCCAAAATGCAGGTCCAGACGATAAAGATAACGTTATGCGTAGGAGGTAATTCTCCTCGCACAGTTCCTATCCACTGTTAATCATCCTCATGTACTTCGAGACCTCGTAGTCGATGTCGTCGGGGATTTTCGTCACTGTTAATTTGAGAATTAGGCTACTGCGCTAATGATGGTCTTATAAAGGCCGAAAACTTGGCAAGTCTACTTCCTTCTCTAACTGACCAGAAACCAGATCCCAAACGCATTAATTCGTCGTGGTCGATTTCTTCTTCACCAACATAAGATAAACTGATATTCCTGCCGTTTTCAGACGATGGGAACATTAACAGGAAGGGTCGCAGCATTGAGTGTCATTTCGCTCATGACAACTCTTGATGTCGCCTACGCCACTTGGGCCGCCATCAGGCTCCAATGCCATGTAAATAGCTGGTATTCATGGTATCGTCGTAACAGTGAAGTCACATTAATCAGGACTCCCAATGAAATCTCAAAATGACCACAACATGATCATTAAATACACCTCCAGGAATTGAAAATAGTTTCATTCGTGTTAAACGTTTATAAAGTGGACAAGTTAAACAACTACTTCTTTGGTTACATTTTATATTACATTTAATTTAGACATTTGTTTTGATTGTAAGAAAAATATTGACATAAGGGAGTCAGACTAGCAAAAAGTCTCAGCATGAATAGAGGCTCATCGTTCTCCTTTTATTTTTCCATTCAAATACACTAATGCTACTTAACAACAATAATAAAACAAAAACACAATACTACTGCTTTTTCTCCCGCCCCCCCTATTTAAATTGCGATTTTGGACGTTGTAGTTTATTACCCCCCAATTTTTTGCTTTCTTTTATTCCATTTGCCGCTCCGGCAGCCTCAAAACATCCCAAAAAATGAAATCTTGCACGCAGAACTCTCATTCAAACACTCAGAAAAGCATTCAAAGGTATAAAAATTTGGGAAAAGGGAAACGTTTATAAAGATTGATGTAAGAAACAGGATGCCTTAAAGGAAATGGATGAATAATTCAAAATAACAGCATAAGAGATACAACGAAAACTTCACAACTTGATAAATTAATAGCGAATTCAAAAAGATCTAGAAAGATGTCCGGCCTGGGGACTGATGATTTGCAATTATCTAAATGGTCATATTATTATTTACTGTTATTTCTGCAACTAAATTTATTTCTAATATATGTGCTTATAAGGGGGCTTAAAGCCATATTTGTACCTTTAAAATAAAGAAAATAACATATTGATATTATATTCATTAAAATATAACAGTTCTATCTATTATATTTCATAAAGCAGACATTACAATTAATTGTTAAAAACCACTTTTTGACAAGTCAACTTTGTTTTTACGTTTTGAGATGGTGTTTCTTAATGAACACGCACTTCTAAAAGCTACACTAAAACTTCGAGTTTATTAAGAATTTTACCTACTTTTTTCTGATAATTCTCAATGTATGGCAAGCAACGAAAAAGATTCATTTTTTGGTGAAGTGGCTGAGTTCGATTGTTACTTTTTTTAAATTAATTCAAAGTTAATGTATATAAGTAAGACACCATAAGGAAATTAAAAAAGGGTTTACCAACTTAATTGTAATGATTCGTTTTCTCTAACGAGCTGTACTCGTCGGCCTCGGGTCGGCATGGGGCGGCGGGTGCCTTATCAGAGGCACACGAGGGTTAGGGTACCAGATCCTGTCTGCATAGACGGGGGAGGGTGCAAAACCATCTGTACTACGGGGTAACAGAAATGTTCCATGGTTCAGCCCCTGTTACACTGGGAATGGAGTGAGTCTTCAATTATCCTTTCGTTCATTATTTATTCCTTCATTTAACCATTCCTAAACTAACATCCCTCTTAAAATCGGGAATCTTCCATTCCCGTTGGTGCCGAAACAATCCTTTTATTAATTTCGATTCCTCTCTCCCGGTGGTGTTCGTCGGCGCCATTTAAAACTTGGCTGCTGGCGAACAGAACGGGTTGAATGTTTTCATACAGTCGCTGGAGGCAACTGCGTTAATTATAATTGACATGGTCGTATTACTTCGTTAAACAGTTTTACGATAAGTTATCGAATTGTGTCATCCATCCTTTTATTATTTTAACAGTCATATTAATTTATAAAATTGGTCAATACTTCAAGACAATAAAACATATGCATGCATTAGTTAAATATTATATTTTCAGTAAAGTTTTTGCTTATCACTAGTAAACGTAGTTATCGTAAAAGATTATTATAGATATAGTTATCTCTTGAAAAATTATCCTTGAAAATTTAATGAAAATGGTCTCGATTCCTCAAAGTAAATTAATGTCCAAGTATCGCTTTTTGGAAGGGTACAACGACGTCAAAACGTGCCGCGATGCACGCCAGGCAGCGTCGAACGTGGTCAACAAGACTATGGCATTCGCAGAAATGTGCTTCAACGAGGAAATCGGATTCAAATCGTGCCAATCCACTCTGCTCCTTCATGACGACAGCTGGCCGACGGTGGCCGAATTCAACATATTCGCCGCTTTACCAAAAATCGACGCTTTCATGAAGTACACGTACCCCTGGCTTAGTAACTGGCCGCACTCGACGAGGCACCTGAAAGAAATTATTGTTTCCAAGTATGTTCAATTTAAATCTAGCCACCCGCAACACCCTACTGCAACAGTAAAATGCATATTTAAGAAATCGAAGAGCTGTGCAATAGTGCGGAGAGAATAATATAAAATTCAACTACCTCCACATTGGTTGGTCTTTTGCTCTCGCCCTTGATCCGCATGTCCTCGCTATTTTAGTATTATCAGATGCGTTTCGGCATTTCGCCACCTTCAGTGTTAAGTCTGTGTGATTTTGTGTGTACATTTGTAAAGTAGTTTGTCTGCGCTCTTGTCATAGTGGTCCTCAGCCAGAATTGAATGTTTATTTATGTCGAGTTAATGGCTTGACGACTGACCAGACCATTAATTACGTAGTTTTATCGTTTCTGATTATCCTGGCATACCTATTTTCTATGGATAGGTGATTTCGGTATATACTTATAAAAGTTATTATTGACATAAGTACATAACGCACCCTAACCCACCACTGACGATCTCGAAATGCCGAAACGCATCTAATGAACCAAAACATAGGCGGACGAGTTTGTTCGCCAACGACCAAACTAGAGGTTCATCTCCCTCAGCTGTCAAGAATAAATCCAAATTTTCGATGTCTGCAAGATGAACTTGTAGTTCTGTAATCCGACAGTAGCGACCAAAATTAACTTCACCCGAGTTCATTCCTATGTGTAATTGCTAGCATGAATAATCTTGTTTAAACTAGAAGATGATGGAATCTTTTCTTATGTGCAATAATTTCCATAAATTTATACTCTTTTTATAAACACTTGCACCTCAAATAACAATCCTAAAATCCCAAAACCACAGCATTCGGATCTGCCTCCTATTTCTCATGCCTCATGAAAAGGTTTTACAATCTAAGATTCTTAATAGAATATTAAATGTGTTGGGCCTGCAACACTTTGCAATATGCAAAATTGTGGATTCATTTATTTACAATTGGTTTTAATTTTTCATGTAAAGAAACCTTTCCTTCCACGTCTTCGAGGTATGCTACGGCGCGGCACGGATTTCTTACCCGGTGGTACAGACCACTTTCTCCGTGTATTTCGTTTTTGAGATCAACCGGTTGGTGGACCAAGGGTCGGACTGCATCGTCAAGTACTTCTTGGAGGGTTCGGACGAAGAGCTCATCCCTTACGTGAACGACAATATAACACAGCCACGGGTGAAAGCTCTCCTCAAAGTGAAGCTGGCCCTCTCGTCGACAATCAACCTCGGCTCGACCGTCCAAATGTCCGACGACACCATCAGGCAGCTCATTCATATGAAGAAACAGATGCTGAAAGATTTCCGGTTCGTGACCAACACTGCCGCGTCCCACGAGACGATCCCGTTTCCTTACACGGTTCACATCCAACTGAACGAAAAATGCTCAGTGCACGGGAAGAACTGCCCCATCTTCCGCGTAAAGTCACAGTCGTACTGTACTGGTACTACTCACCTAGAGGAAGACGAAGAAGAAGACATCTGGACACTATCTTCGGATTCGCTCTCGAGGGAAAGCTTTGAACGATACTCGTTTTATGACAGCCTCGACACTGCGGACCTTGTAAAAGACGCTGTCGACGAGAGTAAAACCAAGAACCGTTCTCGCACGGTGTCGATTCGAACTTTGAGCCCCGGTGTTTATGAATATGATTATGACTATGACAATGACAATGACAATGCGGTCGTCTTCGACAAAAAGAATGAAGACGAATTCGACTTGGAATACGATTTCGATGATGATGACGACAAAGAATAAGCGGTTGGAGCTTTCTTCTCGAGTGCTAATTCGAGATGCTTCAAATTGAAGGACTGAATTGATGTCATATCGAGAACTAGAATTCAGGAGGGAAGAATTTGCACCTTGACTCCTTCAATTCTTCTTGATTATACTCAAATGAAAATAAGTTTTCGTATTATTTCATTTTGAACATTTTCTTCATTGAAAGTGTCTGTGAGTTTCGATTTGCCACGACGGCGTAGTCATATCGACTGGCTTTCATATAGTTAGTTCATAGCCTTTAATCTATTTTTTTCTTTTTTCTTTTTGTTTACACATTTGTAACTTCTTAACTATTTCATCTCCCAATTTTTTTATAAAACATATGTTTAAACCACAGCATGCAGGAGCAGACAAATTAAAAATAACTTTTTTAAAAGTGTGAATTTAACTGAATTGAAAAACATAATTTTTTACTGGGGTATTTTCACCACGAAATCATATTACTCCCGTGGTTCCCGTGTATTTGGAAAAAGCCCACTTGTAAGTATTACAAAAATCCCAGCAGCCCTGTATTCGAACCCGGGGCCCATATAGTGATGAGTCGCCATGTTAGCGCATGGATCCCCCCAAACTAACGCGAAATATTCGCAGTCGCAGCAAATTTCTCGCGGAGAATAAAATTGCGACCGCGAAATTTGAGTAGATAATTAACATGACAATTTTTGATTCCACCTACGTGACAATGTATTCCTAATCGGACGAATAAGAAGCAATTCTATTTATTGTTTTAAAAGACGAGGAAAAAATAATTGTCTTTCTAGTAAAGAGGAGGTCTTGTCTTGTGCGCACTTTTCCTTATCGCCAATCCAGAAACGATCCTCGTAGAGAAAATTATTACACACGTGGTTGTATAAAGCAGGAAGAGTTGTAGAAAATTACTTCTGAATTCTGGTTAAAATCCTGAGAATATTTTTAGACCAATTGCATCTAAAGTTGAAGCGGCAATTCTTATTGTTAAAACATATTTTCTTGTATAACTTTTTACGTACTAAACAAACTGACAGTGAAAATTTGATTTTTTAAGACATCGGCTTACTAATTCAAGTAGTTTTTCAGAAAATGTCATAGTGTTCACTTGATAAGAACAGTGCATGCTGCGACTGGAAATAAGTCGTTGGAGTAGGCTCGACCATTTAATAGACTTCAAACAGCTATAAAAAATTCTGACTTTCTATTTTTAAATTACCAATATCCAAACTAATAAGAATGTACCGAAACCCCCAATGTTATACGGTACGGTCAAAATTAACAAAGAAGAGAAACCTATACGACCAGTGGTGTCCTTTTATAATTATCCATACCACAAACTCGCAATAGCAATAGTAAAATAATTAAAATTCATATCCAATTTCAAGCCTACTTTCTATATTAACAATTCTTTAGAAGTGATAAAACAGCTGAAGAACATAAATATATCTAACAACGTATAGAAATGTGTGGTGATCAGTGACGTTAGTCGATGATTATTCGGAAATCGTGAGGTGCGGTTTGGTCTTATGATTCTTCCATCTTGAAGGTGAGATAATAGGTCATGACCTATTATCCCACCTTCAAGAAGGAAGAATCATAAGATTAACTGTTGAGGTCAAAATATAAGAAAACATCGTGCGGTTTGGTGTAGGTTTCAGAAAAGCATTTTCTTTATCGTGCCAACGTTTCGATCTTATTGGGATCATCTTCAGGGCCAGAGGTTTACAAACATTGTTTAAATTTAACAAATACATGTAGTATGTGGAAAAAATTGAATTTATACAATGCAAAAAATATATATTTTTTATATTCAATCAAAGTATTTCTACTAACTCAACGTGTTTGTTTTCTGCGTAATTGTGCCATTCTTGCGTGTCGTGTTGAGACTACCAGTGAGCTATTGCTGTTTTATGTTTATATACGTTGGATTTTAAAGGGGTGGGGAGGGAAGTCGGTATAGAAAGATATTTTTACATGAGGAGTCGGCTGCTTTGAAGTGAAATTTTCTCGCATTGCATTGTTTTTTTAACAAAATATTTTCTAGGATTGTATAAATTCATTTTATTTATTTATTTTTTATTTTATTACATGCAAGAATGGCACAATTACGCAGAAAACGAAACACTGAGTGAGTAGAAATACTTTGAACGAATATAAAAAATATTTTTTAATATTCAATTTTTTCCACATCCTACATGCATTTGTTAAATTTAAACAATGTTTGAAAATCCCAGGCTCTGAAGATGATCTCAATAAAGATGGAAACGTTGGCACGATAAAGAAAATGTTTTTCTGAAACCTATATCACACATCTCACGATTTCCGAATAATCATATCTAACAACTGTGTTTTAGTGCCATTTGATGTTACTCATTTATTTACAAATATCCCTGTTAAAGACTAATAAAACAAAAACTTATGGATAACAATATTAAAGAATTTGTAAAAAAATTATATAGACCTCTTAAATACATGCCTACAAATTATTGTAAATTTGATAATAAATTTAATGAAATGAAAAAGTTACCAATTGGGGTCTCAATTATCCCCCTTTGTGTCGAAATATTCATGAATGACAGGGAAAAAATTCTTTTATACAAAGATGATATTTTATGTGTGTGGTCGGGAACACTAGAGAATCTAAAGCAAATTCTCAACTTAGTTAATTCTTTACACCCTAGTATAAATTTTACATTGGAAATGAATAAAGTTGATTCTTTAAATTTTTAGACTTAAAACTGTCCATAATTAATTAAGGTTTTTAGTTGAGATAAAAAAGTCAGTGTCACGAGCGAGATTCGAACCCACGATCTTCGGCTAAATACGCCGCTACTCTACCACTTGAGCTATCGTGACTTCCATCCATTCGAACACCAATCTCCCATCTCAACCCCAACTTTTGAATTTAACCTCCTTCTGCCATTTTTCAAATGTCGTGTAATCTATTTGATTTTGAAACAACTACAACTAAAAACTACAAATGAAATGGCCACGGAGAGCTTTAGTGAAGAAAAAATTCAAAAGGTGGAGTTGAGATGGGAGGTTGGTGTCCGAGTGGATCGAAGTCACGATAGCTCAAGTGGTAGAGTAGCGGCGTATTTAGCCGAAGGTCGTGGGTTCGAATCCCGCTCGTGACACTGACTTTTTTATCTCAACTAAAAAACCTTAGTTAATTGAAAAATATTAATTGGTCAAGCGGACCACGAAAACTAGTGAACTGTCCATAATAAGTAACCTATTTGAAATAGGCTAGTTATGGTTTTGCGTAAATCGAAATAGTGTTTAAAAAGAGCACTATTTATAAGACGACAATAAAATACAATACAATAGGGATTCTTCGGTCTTAACTCGATAAAAGTACGATATGGATTGATTTAAAAATATTAATGTTAGCAAGGCTTAAGGGATGTATCGAAGGAAGGGGTTTCTTGGTAATCTGTGGCAATCTGGCAATCAGATGTGATAAATAAAGAATGTAAAGGATTGCAATAGACAAGAGTACAATACTAGCAGATTCTTCTCACTATGGACCCAAAAAGCTGTAGGGTTCATTTGGCTCATAGACTTATGTTGACATTAACATGTGCTAAGTATGAAAAATATTACAAACAATTGAAATCTTGGCTAAAAACAAAGGATATCAAGAAATATTTAGCAATAGGTATAAAGGGGGCATCGGTGGCCGCAACGGTTTAGGCGTTGACATGGCGCTCATATAAGGTATAGGTCCCGGGTTCGAATCCATCGGCCCTGCATTCAATCCCGACATACTTTCAAATGGGCTTTCAAAAACACCTGCACCCTGAGGGTAAAAAAAGCAACAAACGGACTTAAGCTCTGAGTCTTTAGGTTTTCGTTGCTTGCCATACATTGGTGAACTATCAGAAAAAGAAAGTAAAAATCCTTAAACGAGAAGGATTTACTGTAGTTTTTAGAGGTGCGTGTTCACTTAGAAACATCATCTCAAATCCTAAAGACAAGGTTGACAACTTGTCAAAAAGCGGGCTTTACCTTCTTCATTGTAATGATTGCGGTATTAAATATATAGAACAAAGCGGCAGAGAAATTAAAACGAGAGTTAAAAAACACTTTCCTAATTCGAGCATATTTTCTGATTATTTGGAGATAGTGAGATGCGGTCTGGTTTGACGAATGTTTTAGAAAAACATTTTCTTTATCGTGTCAACGTTTCGATCTTTATTGAGATCATCTTCAGGGCCTGGAATTTATGAACATTGTTTAAATTATACAAATACAAATTGGATGTGAAAAAATGAATTTATACAATGCTAGAGATTTTAGACTTAATCAAAATATTTGTACTCACTCAATGTGTTTGTTTTCTGTGCAGATGTCATTATTGTATGTCGTGTTGAGAGTGTCAGTTAGATATTGATGTTTTATGTTTATATACGTTAGATTTTGAAAGGGTGGAGAAGGAAGTAGGGATACAAAGACTTTTTATATCCGGAGTTTAAATTTTATTAATGATATTAGTGTAGGTGCGATTGAGTCAATTACAGAACGGACACATGTAAATCAGTCGCAGCTACGCTAATATTAACCAAATTCAATATCAGTAACATACATCATCATCACATCACAGAAAACATAATAAAACATATAAAACAATCATTACATTCCTCACATCAAACATTTCTACATAGTCTAATTTTTCAACAATTTGTCTTTCCTTTCCCTAATTATCCCCGTCTATGTAATCCCGAAAGGATAATCAGGCCAAACCATTATCCATTTTTTCCCATTATCGGCTCCTTTCACCTCGAAGAAGCCGACTCCTTATACAAAAATGACTTTCTATCCTGACTTCCTTCCCCGCCCCTTCAAAATCCAACGTATATAAATATAAACAACAATATCTCACTGGCACTCTCAATACGACACACAATAATGACATATCTACACAGAAAACTAACTAACAACAACAGAAAAAATCAAATTCTTTGAGTCTAAAATTTCTAGCATTGTATAAATTCATTGCTTCACATCCTACGTGTTTTCGTATAATTTAAACAATTTTTATAAATCCCTGGCCCTGAAGATGATCTCAATAAAGATCGAAACGTTGGCACGATAAAGAAAATGTTTTTCTAAACCCATGTCACACCAGACCGCATCTCACGATCTCCACATAATTACTAACTGACGGTCACTAAACACCACACATATTTTCTGAATTTAAGGGCCAACTAAATGAAACATAACACAATGTCAATTACAATTTAAGTACAACAGTGTTACTCTGTTTTTCGCATGCATTAAAAATCAGCTTCTCATTGGATCGTCGTGTTGGAGGTGGATCGGCGAGTTCACTTTTTCAATTCATGTCGAGAAACGTGTTTGTAACTCCTTCAACCTGATGACGAGCGTTTAATGCTTGAAATCCGGATCGTTATAAATAACAAATAGGAGAATAGAACCATCGTTTACAAAAGGTGAATATACATACTCAACTTATCCTTCATCATTTCTAAACATTTGTACCAAATATCACGTTTCTACCTATACGGGAAGTGCCTTATAATTTTGTTGATGAAACTACCACCTCACCCCTATAATGACGCTGATTTTGAGACTTCAATTTTCAAATTCTTACCTTTAGTTATAATATAAGACCTACATTTGTACAAAATACCAAATATCTACTTAAACGGGAAGTGCCTTTAATTTTGACTACACCTTCCCCCCTCCCAAAAAAAGCGGCACCAATTTGCGAAATTCAGATATTTGCTTTACTTGCTATATAAAACCTGCCTTTTATGGAATTTTACGTTCTATTCGGGAAGTACCTTATAATTTTGATGATTAGCGAGTCAGTGAGTAACAAAAATGGAAATTTGAAATTTTCCTCTTTCAAAAAAGCTTAATATTAAGTGCTCAACTTTTATCAATGTCCTATGCGACCTAAGCTTAATATATGTTTCAAATTTCAAAAACTCATCCTAAGAGGAAACAGAGGTGAGAAAAACTGGGTGAATTTGTTCAAGTAAGACACACATGACCACCTTGCGACCACCTTGCTGGAACTTGGTCAGATACCCATTTCAAAAAAGGATTGATAACGAAATATAAATATTTCCTAGGAAAAATATACCGTCTAAGCATCAATGTGCCACTACGTCGTGATCAAAATACATAGTTATGTTAGGTTACAGTTCCTCACTGAAGATGGCGCAATGCCGAAATTAAGGTAGTTGCAACAAAGTACAAACTCACTAGTGAAGTGAAGTTCAGCAACCAGCAGCCATCGTCAACTTTAGGTCCTTAGTTGTTAGAGAATATTTATCTGCATGCAAACTCTTATCTATGTAATACTCATAAATAGAAAAACTACCCAAATCTGGTAAATTATACAGTTTTAAAAATTTGAGATTTTTCGTGCAACATATCGATATTTTATATACTGCGTATCGATACCCATATCTTCTCAATATTGACCTCTGAGATGGTTGTTGCCTGTTTTACGATCGTTAAAACCTTTCCTTGCAAAGTAGGGATTTTGTTTTTTAAGTTTTTTTTTCTTTTAGATTTTTCTTTTGACATTATTCATTCAGAAACTAGTGCAATTTAAATGATATTCCTTATTTTATTTTGAGCCGAACTGTCATGTCTTTAAACAACATCGTGAAAGACTTACGCACTGCCCGTGCTTGTCTAGTTTGTTCCCTTATAAAGGTAAATTGCTTTGAGTCATTTTTTAAAGCTATCCTTTCATAAAATATTTTGCTTTTTAGAATTTTGAACAGTTCGAGTTCGATGGATGTGATAACTGTGAAGAGTTCCTCAAGTTGAAGAACAACAGAGAAAACATCATCGAATGTACCAGTAGTAATTTCAATGGGTGAGTATTTAATTATGTATTATAGCAAAAAGGGTTTATACCTATCCTGAGAAATTGGTGAACCTGAGAAACCTTGGTGAAGTAAAGTATGAAGGCTGCTGGTGTAGGATGGTATTTTCAGTGTATGGCTGTTCCTTTGTCATAGTGGTAGGTGGTTTACTCGATGGCTGTTGCCTTCGATGGATCTACAGCTAACCCTTGTGCACTATACCCAGACTGAAACACTTAAAGTATTCTTTGATCGGTTTACTTAAGGCTCAGCTTGGACGTCAGCCAACGTACCTTGTTGACAACCCAAATATTTTATAATGAAATCATGGTACAAATAACTTGCAAAGTGACAAAAGAGATACCTGGAGCACTGGTAATGGCTCTCTTAGATTATACCAGTCATGAAGGATCATTTTCAAATTGTTCAAACTACTAGGAAGCTTTGCAACTTCCTTTTTTAATTCAGAAATTACATGCAGTTGTATTCTGCCAGTCGCTAACAGTTGAATGTAAACAGCCCAGTTTATTTGTCAGTTTTCCTTTTATGACATCATGTCTGAACAATTAACTAAAGTAACTGTACAATAAAATCTGGCAAAACATCTGGTATTTCTTAAAGTGTACACTTAGGCCTGCCTCAAAAGGTGTGGTTTGGTTTATTCTACTACGTTGCCTGATTAACTCTCAATTAGTTGGCTGACATGTGAAGACTTTTCTTGGCCGGTTTCACACTGGGCAACTGGTGGAATCAATCTTCTCTTCCCAACGAGAGGTCAGTACGATGTTAGACCCTGAGGAAGCAGGAGCATTTCTTCAACAAAAAGAAGCAAAACAGGAGGAAACCCAGTCGTCACTTTCTCACAACTACTGCCACATACCGCTTTAATTTTGCAACTATACTCCTCATTCTTGTCCCATAACATGAGACTAATACGAATTTCTTCAATGAACTGTTCCACATTGAGTTCTATGGTGAACTTAGTTGACTCAACTAAGGCGAATAGTGTGAAAGATGAATGCTGAGTTGTGTCTTTTATATTGAGTCATCTAGTGAGAATGTAAGCGGTTTATTACCATGCCGTATAGTGGAGCTTGTAAACATAAATGTATATTTTATAATTTACTGTTAATAAGAAAAATTTACACAGTAAAAAATGTAAGCTGTTACTGCCAAGCTTTTGACTTGTTTTAAGGTCATCTTTTGGGGGCATTAGTGGCCGCAACGGTTTAGGTGTTGACACGGCACTCATCACTGTAAGGTAAAGGTCCTGGGTTCGAATCCAGCGGCTCTGCACTCAAACCCGGCACACTTACAAATGTGCTTTTTTCCAAAACACCGGCACCCCGAGGGTTCCTATAACCTCTTAGTTGAAACACCCTCATAAAAAAGTTATCATCAGGGCAAAACAATCTTAAATATGTCTATTGATTGCAGATTGTCATATTTAAGTTTTTTACATGCGATCTCAAATTTTTTTGAAAACCGACTCAGCCTTAACTTTGCCAAGGACTGTGGACTAACAGTTCTTGGCGATGTTGGGACTGAGTCAGTATTCAAAATTTGAAATTTAAAAAAAAAAAAACTTAATTATATCAATCTGTAGACATAAACATTGTTTAAATTTTACCAATACATGTAGGATGTGAAGAAAAAAAATGAATTTATAGAATGCTAGAAAATTTTAGACTAAAAAAAATGAATTTATACAATGCTAGAAAATTTTAGCATTGTGTAAATTAATTAAGGTTTTTAGTTGAGATAAAAAAAGTCAATGGCACGAGCGGGATTCAAACCCACAATCTTCGGCTAGATACGCCGCTACTCTACCACTTGAGCTACCGTGACTTCCATCCATTCGGACACCAACTTCCTATCTCAACCCCACCTTTTGAGATAGGAAGTTGGTGTCCGAGTGGATTGAGGTCACGACAGCTCAAGTGGTAGAGCAGCGGCTATCTAGCCGAAAATCTTGGGTTCAAATCCCGCTTGTGCCATTGACTTTTTTATCTCAACTTTTTAACTCAAACCTTAATTAATTGTGATATATTAATTGCGATAGCGGACTACAAAATTAGTGAATTGTGTAAATTCATTTTTTTTTCTTCTTCACTTCCTTTAGTATTTGTAAAATTTAAACAATGTTTATAAATCCCAGGCCCTGAAGATGATCTCAATAATGATGAAAACGTTGGCATGATAAAGCAATGTTTTTCTAAAACCTACACCAGACCGCACCTCATGATCTCCAAATAATCATTGGCTAATTAGGCTAACCTCTAACATTGAAAAACAAATGTGAGTGGCGCTTGTTCCTGCTGGCCAACCGCCTGGGTTAACTAGTTGACTGCAGTGAATGGGTTCTAGTTGTTTCCAATCATTTGTTATAGGACTACGCTATTTGACACCCCTCTGTTCAACTAGTTGAACGAACTAACCACCTGAAAGAGGCCTTACTGATTCTATAGTCACTATCATTATAATCATATCATGTCCTGATGTATTGTAGGCACCTCAGGGCCCATTGCTGAGTAACTTTAATACTTCAAATGTGAGATGGCTGTTAGAGATACGAGAAAAATCATTGGGTTTTTATAGAATTGGGAGTATTGTCGCTTCATTGCTCTGATTTTCTAGCTAATTTTTTAACTAATTTATATGGGCTGATGATATCAGTGTCATAACTAGCCATTTTCTTCATTGATAAAAATGAAAATTTAATTTCTTCCTCGGTGCTTAATAGAGAGAAATTTAAAAATGCTTATTTGTCATTTTGTTGTTGCAGCATAATTGCCGTCATGTCTCCGCAAGATAGCTGGGTTGCCAAATGGCAAGGTATTAGTAAGTAGTTTGTGGTAGTTAATTGTTTCGAATAAATATTTCATTCTATTTGTCATTCCACAGATCGATTTACTAGAGGTATATACGCCATTTCTGTCGCCGGCAAACTTCCCCACAACGTCATCAGAGATATGAAAAGCCGTGGGATTACATACCGAATTCGAGATACCAGCCAAAAATAAACTGTGTTCTTATAAAATTTGTAATTTAAGAGTTTTGAAGCTATATAACAATTCCAGTAAAGGAAAGGTTAATGTTTCAATTTGTAATTTTAAACGATAAAAATTATACATATGGAAACCTCTTCTTTCATCTTTCCAAACTGCAGTAATTCAAGTTAATGAAATTTGACTAAAAATGCAAGCAAATAGATGTTCAGTTTTTACTTTTAAGTGACATTTTTGTTTTATATTTCCCAATTATTTTTATTGTTTTAATACATAGATAAATCAAAATGTCTGTAGAAGTTAATGAATGTTTCTGGTCAAAAGATGAAGAACGCAAGGTGAAAAGAACCTCTAGATATGTATTTATTTTAAACCAATTTTTTATTTAATAAAATAATTTATCAACAACTTTTTTATTTATTTTTTTATTTCCCAATGATTTTTGCTGATAATAAAACACATGTTACAAGACTGCAATTACATTGCTGCACAATAAATACCACACTTGGATTTAATTTTCTTCCACGTTCCCCCAAGGGTATTTCAACTATGATGTTATAAAAACCCTTGGGTGCCTGTTTTTGGAAGAAAAAAAAACATTTGTAAGTATGTCGGGCATGAATGCAGGGCTTAAGCCAGGAACACACTTCCCCGATGCTACGCCATGCGACGCCTTGCCACGTTTTGGTGGGGTGTGCACATCTATCCGACGCAAGCACACGTCGCGTACAGTCCCCAGTGTTTATCACAATAATCACTATCACAATCGCAACGCATCTTTTGTTCTTAATGCACTATTTTGAGCAAAACCTTGTAATAAATTGTTAATTAAATTTTATGAGCACAACCATCTAATAAATTGTTTGTTAAACTTCATTGTTTTAAATAAAGTAGTAACTTGAGTAATGACTAAACAATATTTATAAAAACTTACGCATTTTTAATCTCGTTTAATTTGGTTTACATTAAAATAACATGTATGTAATTAATATAACAACAAAATTACATGTACTTAGTTTGAAATAAACTACAAAAAATATGAGTGTCCTGTTCTGATGCTACCCGACATTAGAAAATGGTGTAATTTTACGAGCAAAAATGAAATAAATTGTTGATAAAATTTTATGAGCAAAACTGTGTAATAAATTGTTCCAATTTTAGTATATGCACCGCCGAAGCGAGTACAATAAATTGTTAGTTAAATTATTATATCAAAAAATCGTATTCCGGTGTTTTGATTAATTTTCTACCAAACCATTAAAATTGATTTTTTAAATAAAAACTAATTAATTTTTAATCACAGTTAATTTGGTTTATATTAAAATAAGTATGTTGTAATTAATATAACGACAATAATACATGTAGTTTGAATAAAAATATGAGTGTCCGGTTCTTTTGTCTTCGACTGTACTCGATGCGACCCGACGAAAATCTGGACAGTGGGGATCGCAGAGCATCGGATAGATGTGCACTGGGGTAATGCAGCCTTATGGAAAATCGGAGTTTTGATTTGCGTTGGGTAGCGCCGCATGGCGTAGCATCGGGTGTGTTTCTGGCTTTAAGCTACAATTTTAAACTCAACTAATTAACTCCCCTCACAGGTGCCAAAGTTATGTACATTTTTCATTTTTCCAACTTGGTGGACTTCAAAAAATCGTAAACCGTAATGGACAATAATTACAATGTCACGTTTGAAGAGATCTGTCAACAAATTTCTGCATTCATAAAAACTGTTATCAAGTCCTGAAGTTGCTAAAAGAGAAAAAAACCTGTTACTGACATTACAACTCAGTTGATATATGACCTGCTTTGGCAAACCATCCAAACCAAAAGCCCAAGATGCCATCATGAAAGCATCCTGTATGCTGTCACTAGCTTAATCTGGGCTTGGAGTCTTGGAGCATATTATTGCCTTATGAAAATATGTGTCACTAGGTACATAAAACCAACATAACTATTGAGTTATCTGAGCATAACCTCACTTACAAACTCTGTTAAACGTGTATACACCATGATGGTCAAAGTAGCAGGCCAAAAGACATGAAGATGGTGTTATATGAAGGGTAGGTGCTATGTTTACAATCCTAAGTTCTCACTAATCTGTGCTTTGCTGTGCAACGTATGGCAGCATTCAAGTCTCAGTCAAGACAGCCTAGGATAGAGAAGCTTTGAGATCAAAGCTTGCATCCACCACATCACGTTTCATGAGCGGAGCTCAATGACACCACATTTTTTACCGTCCTACAGAAAATTCAACTATAGGATGGAACCTGACATTGTCGTGACCGTGACTACCTTTTTGGAAGTCGGACTGGTTGAGAGTGGTTCGTGCCAAAACCCCTCAGGAGTGGGAGAATGAAATATAGACCCAAGAACATAGAGCTTGTTTGGTTTTGAATAGTGGAATACCCCCTCCCTTGTTTTCTTAGCTTTCGAATCCGACACCGAGGACCTAGAGATGTGGAGACCAACCTGGCACGCTGCCCCTAAAGACACCACACCACAGAAAGGGCTCTTCTTTCGTCCTATTCAAGCACCCTGTACATACGTAGATGTATAATAAAATTGTGATAATAGTACAGTAGATAGTAGTTCTCAATATTTCTTTAACCCAAACTTGCTTCCAGGCTCCTGTAAAGAATACACTTGTTTTATTGACATTAGTACAGTTGTTAGTGTAAAGCACTGTATCATCAATCACTGCTGTGATAAAAGACAAAATATATTAAACTCAGTAGATAACTCTGGTGAGACATGGTATTTTTCTATTTTTTGCTCGAGTTTTATGGGGCAAAGCAGTAGAATTGCATGTGTCATGTTTTCCGATAAAAAAAGCAGTCTGACTTTACATGCACATCTTCATCATCTTCACCAATTCTATGTCATAATTGTCTTGTATTATTTATTCTGCTTTTTTGTCACTATAATCCATAAAATCTAAGAGGTTCATCTGAGAATTGTCGGAATACCAATATTTTTTCAGATTCGTAAGTTGCAAATACAATAGAAACCATTTATTGACATAACCATTAATTATGTCCATTTGCAGACATCTTTAAGATTGTTTTGCTCTGATGATGACCTAATAAGGCAAAAGCTTGGCAGATAACAATTGAATTTTATTATTTTGACTCATCTAACACTTTAACTAAAATATAAAAAGGAAAAATAGAAATAAAAAATTAGAAGGAAAAAGTTTACAATTATTTACAAAACAGTCTATATTTTAAATCTAACTTATTCTTCAAAAATGAAATGCATTATTGGAATAGGACAACTACAGAGACTTTTACTTTTCTGAAACAAACTGTTGTACATTTTCTAACAAACTAATATAACTCTTGTGCTCGTAAGCTGTACTGAATTCTGTTAGTTTTTCGACAAACTCATTGCTGATTCCTTTGTCTTCTAGCATATTCATGAGAAGGTCGTAGAGAGTCTGTAATTTTAAAAGTCAAAAGTTATTACCAGCATATGTCAAAAATAATTAAACCAAAAATCATAGATAAGATTAAACTCACTCCATCGATTACTTCACCAGAAACTGCATAATTGGATTCTTTCCATTCACCGTCATACATAACTACTTCATCGATTGAAAATAAATCATCTGTAATGAAAAATTCAATTGAAAACAAATAGGATTCAACAAAATATTACCGAGTCTTACTATAACCAGTTTCTTGTTGTTGATGTGATGTTGCAGACGGAGAGACGATAGAGCAAGTAAATCCAAGTGTCTTTCCTCCCCGTTTAAGTTCTACTTCGAAAGTCGGCCTGGATTTCATTTCGCCCATTTCTGGTTTATCCATTGAAGGATCGACATCAGGCTCGACATCCATGTCGACGGAGTGGTTTACATTGAAATTAACTTCAATTCTACAAATTTTGTTATTAATCAATTGCAATTTTATATTTTCGTCATGTTATACGTACACTTCATTTCCAACTTCCTTGTATAGGGTAACTTCTGCACCTTCAGTTTTAACTTTAAACCCATCGAACTCTGATGGAAGTAATTTAGCTTTTTGTAGTTTTTTCTCTGCAGATATTTCTTCATTTAAGAAATCTGCTAATTCCTTTTCACCTGAAAAGTACAAAAAAACAAAATAAAACTGTAGTTCAAGTAAATGTGACTTGAGAATTGTATTTTGTTACTTTAATATTTTTATAAATAAAACGATTCTCATCAAACTTTTAATTCCACTACTATAAGATAAATGTTGCTGAAAATAATTTAACTGGATCTGTTTGTAGTTCCTTTCTTAATATTCTAATGTCACACATGATATGCTTAAAACATCCACCTATGAGTGACATGAGTGAGGCATTTAAAAAAAATTACAAGCATTGGGAATCTAAAGGCCCTTCTAAACAATGCCCATCCTCGGCCACTACAGGACACACCATTGTGTTGATAATTATTTGGAGGTAGTGAGATGCGTCTGGTGTTGATGTAGGTTTTTGAAAAAAAATTTCTTTGTTGTGCCAACGTCATTCTTGTGTCTCAAGTTGGGCACTCACACTACACATAAGACACGACACATAAGAATGACACATCTACACAGAAAACAAACACTTTGAGCCCTGAAGATGATCTCAATAGAGATCGAAATGTTGGCACATTAAAGAAAATGTTTTTCTAAAACCTACATCACACCACATCTCACCATCTCCAATAATCATTAACAAACTACACATTAACTAACATTAACTAAAAACCACACATTATGTGGATAGTTTGGCGTCAGTGGCCAATGGTGTGATGGTAGTGGCGAGTGTTACAAGTGAACATGAGAGAAAAAAAATTTTTTTGTTTTTGCACTGGTGTGACCAGACTCGGGCAGAGGCGGGGTGCCCTCGTCAAGATTGAGCGAGGTCTGCAAGAGGCCGAAGACGCGTGGGTGGCATTTGGAAGCTAAAGGAAGCCCAGCCAGGGGACGCTGGCGAGGTGGGCCCGACGGGAGTGAACAAGGAGGCCTCGAGCTGAGACTGGTCGGTGTGGACGAGCAAAGCAGAAAAAAGTAAAAAGGAACGTGACAGTGTATTATTTTATTATTTTGGGACTTTTCTCATCGTCATGGAGTGGAGGGTTCGTGTGTGCGAGGGGAGAACCATTCTGGAACGACGAGAAAAAGGACGTACACAAGGTTCGAGCTTTTAAGTTATATTGTAAGATTGGTTTCTGGACAGTTTTGTTTTTTTGTTTTAATTCTGAAAAGACTTGTTTTATTTATTTTAATTTTTTTTTTTAATCTTATTCATAATACAGAGGACATTAATATTTTACTTTCTTGTTTTTTTTGGTTTTTTTTTTTTTTTTTTTTTTTNTTTTTTGTGTTTTTTTAATATTTTATTTGTTATCTTGTTATTTCACCCCGAGGGTTTCACTGTTTTCCTAAAGGAACAAAATAAATTTTTAAAAAAATGGTAAAACAGTATGGCGCTCGATCATTTCCCTTTTGGAGACGAAGCGGCCACAGAAAAAAATCTCCACTGAGCCCCAGGTACCCGGCGACCAACTGTCATAACACGAGGGATGGCTTTGTGGCTTTGGATGTGATTTTTCCTCTCATATCAAAGGGAGCGCATATATGAGGTGCGTAGTTAATTCCAACCCCGAGTTAAAACCCAATGGCCCACTCAGTGTGTGGATGTATACAGATGGCCCAAGATTATCCAGGGATTGGTCACCACTTTAGCGGGCCATTTGTATACAGACAAGGCTGATGCCTATTCACTCAGCTACCAAGGTCACCCATTAACACTGACATATTGTAAATTAAAAAAAAAAATTCATTTCTCACACAACTTAAGCTTTTAGAAGCAGAAAAAACTATAACAGTAAGGTAAAAATGTGTTTAGTCTAATATTATAATTAAGATATGATTAAGGTTTTAATAAAATATTTTCACCCTAACCCACTAGCCCTAACTCTTTCCTCAACATTTCATCCTTACAATCCTCCACGTCGTTTAAAACGATGATGGCCTCGTGACCTTCTATCTAACCCACCGAATTGACTTTAACCCCCCCCCCCCAAATTAAATAAAAATAATAGAGTTTCAGCACTGGTTGGTTCCTCTCCCTACTACCCCCTGGTCTGCCAGGTCAAGAACAAACAGTATGGAGGACAATATTGCGGTTTGCTTATTACTGCCTTCAACTCCAACTGTGCTAAAAACGGGCTATACCAAACGTAACTATATATAAACTAAAATAAAACAAACACTAAAATGTATTTCTAATTTGTAAAAATCAATTTTGTATAGAGTTAAGAAATGGATCGATCTTATTACATTCTCCAATGTACTTATTAAGAAAAAAAAATGGCATTTGAAAAATGGCAAAAAGGAAGAAAAATTGGAAAGAGTGGGTTGAGATGGGAAGTTGGTGTCCGAGTGGATCGAAGTCACGATAGCTCAAGTGGTAGAGCAGCGGCGTATTTAGCCAAAGGTCGTGGGTTCAAATCCCGCTCGTGACACAGACTTTTTTATCTCAGCCAATACCTTACATAAAGATTAATTAACTGAAAGATGTTATTTGGTCAATCGGACCACAAAATCTAATGAACTTATTAGAGATTTGTTTATAACTAAACTATTTGCTCAATGTATATTATGTTCAGATAGCAATTTAAAAAAATAAATAAATATTTTAATGTAACACACTGAGCGAGTAGACAAAAATAAAAACTTTCAAATTTATAAGCCTATCTAGAAGCAAACTAAAAGCGTGCAATATAAACCAGGTTCAATATCAATTCGCTTTCATTATCAAATTCTATGTAAAAAAGTAGTTAAACTGCTTAAAAAAAAAAATCCTTTGCCAGACCAACTATCACTTAGGTTTGATATGCAAATTAAAAAAATATTTGTGATAACAAAATAATTAAGTATATGAAGTCACCATTTTTATTTGGTTGTCTGGAAAATAATGCAGGTTTTCATGTTAAACCTTTCATCTCGCATGTTTCAGATGCAATAATCCTGTTTGCTCCTGCGTAAGGTTTTTTTTGCCGAAATGCCACCAAGGACTCTCAAAACTGGGCGCTCTAGGTTATATTTTCTAGGCGTCCGAACGCACATCCACAGCTTTGGAGGAGTGTATAAAATATAATTGACCATATGACAGAACTTCACCCTCACGTTGCAACAAAAACGATATGAATTGGTGAATCTGTCCTTCTGGGGCAATGGCAGTGTGTGTGAGAGCACCATTCAGAGATGGTTTTAAAATTTCGGGAGGGAAAAATATTTGGGTCTGTGTCAACCTCGCATAGCCTATCCTTAATCAGGTGATCCCTTCTTCTACGAGTCAGTTCCCCTGAAGACTGAAGGAGACGACGCACAGAGAAGAAACTAGTGATTTGGTGCAGACCAGACAAGAAGAGCCGGAATGGCAATTCCTTTCGCTGTACAATTTTATACCAACGTAGATTACGGAAGAAAAGATAGGCCCTCCTCGAATACGATGTAACTCGGCTCTATCTAAGCCTGAAGGGTGTCCAAACTGGAGTCAATTTTTGTTCAGTCTACTCTTGTCTTGCCAGGAGAGTTCTCACCACAGGATTTTTTTAAATGTGGTGTGATGAAGAGGATATTGTCATGTTCTACTGGTACCATCAATGAAAATGAGGTGAAGAAAAGAACGGGTACATCTGTGCAATCAATTACTAAGTGGCAGAAGAAAAACAATTGAATGCACTTTTGGCATGTTGGCAGAAAAATTCAAGTACCCAATAATCTGATACGATGCTTTGGACCTGAATAAGATTAATGACATGATTAAAGCAGTTTTTATTTTACTTCACAACTACGTTAGATAAAAAGATAAACAATACACTCAACAAATATTGGAACCTGATCCTCTTATCCCAAGTGATTTATGCCTAATGGCAAATTCAACTGCAAATGCTTAAAGAGAATATTTATCCCATTATTATGTGGCCCAATGGAATTACTGGGAATGGAACTACTGTTTTTAAATGGCTAAATTTTAAATTAAATTTGTTGTAGTTTGTCTGTATTAAATTAAATATAACTACTGTTTTTAATTTTTAAGTGACTACACTGTAATGTAGCTAGTACCTCCTTTCTTTATTATATATGTATATATGTACATTATGCATTATCTTTATTTACTTTTTGTTCATTCAGAAGTTTCTAATATCATCATTAAATATAGAAAGTTGTAATAATTTCTAAAATAAGTAAAGAGGGTGTTATTGAACAATTCAGGATGCTTTTCCACTTCCTGTACAAATTTGATGTTTGACAACCCCATGGGAAACTAACCCGAAACACGCAACTCAATCGACTATAGCAGTACACCGCAGGTCGTACAAGTCGAATCCAAGTTGCATGACAATTAAGTCGAGAATGGATCCAAATGGTGTTGACCCGTGGTTGCCTGCCTACTTGCACAGGAAGTAGAGTTGTGACAAAAGTTGCATCGACCCGTGTATGGAGGTTCATATTGTAAGATGCCTTTGTAGAGGTGTGTAGGATGATCAACATTTTTTTTCATTCATTTCCAATCATTGGCCAGACAATGTACCAAGTTTTTTCAGACAAGGCATGTTTCAGCAATATGATATGCCATAAGAGTTTTTGTGCCAATCAAGACCTTGTGTAAGAATGTGTAATATTTAGTGACCGTTAATTAATGATTATTTTGATATCGTGAGATGCGGTCATGGTGTGATGTGGGCTAGAAAAACATTTCCTTTATTGTGCCGTTTTGATCTTTATTGAGTTCATCCTCAGGGCTGGGATTTATAAACAATGTTTAAACTAAACAAATCCATATAACATAAGAGTTTGAATTTATAAAATGATTTAGGGACCGACAATGGAAAACAAGAGGTAATGGTCGTTCAAGCCTGGTTAGCCATTCAATACAATAATAGTCAAGATTATTAGGGAAAGCAGAGACAAATTTTTGGAAATTTGGATTATGAAGAATTGTTTGATGTGTCGAGTGAAATGATTATTATTTATGTTACATTCTGTTTTGTGTGTTATAAATATGTTATTGATATTTAATTTATATTATGGAGGGCAACAGGATTTGCCGAATATTAAGCAAAGGGGGATAGGAGCTCAGTAATTCTCAGTTATCCTCCGGCAACAATATTCGGTGCTCGCCTTGCTCAGCTAATCATCAGTTTTGTATCCACTTCAAAGTGCAAGAATATTCGTGAAGTAGCCGAAATTGAAGCATCCACACAATTGGGAATCAATTGTACTGTAAGTAAATCAACTGTAATCATCAATCAACAGTTATTATTTACTTCTATTTATTGCTATTTATTTTTTAATAATAAACAATTCATAACTAGTAAAGATGCATTAATACTACAGAACAACATAGCGTTGTTTCTGTAGGTTAGGAATGGATTGGTCCAACTTAAGTCTTGGAGTTCCTTGATCAAGCTGAACCAATAATTTCGAACACTTCTCTTCTAAATCACAAAAATCAATGCATGGAAACCGATCGAAAGTTAGATGGGCCAACAGTGCTCTGAGTTTGTAGCCACTACACCGCAGTTTCACTGTTGTCTATCATGATTGGTAGTAAATTGGGGACTCAAATAGGGTGGTTATACAAACCCCGCATGTGTGTACATGTAAAGTCGCCATTTGGCAAATGTCAAGAAGAGCATCTCGAGACTTGGCAAATATTGACGGCAACTGGCATTCAGCGAATACCGCAAGTCTGGAGCAACCTTTAGCATAGCTGCGGCTGTGTTTATATCTGTAATTGATGCCGAGTTTATCTCTGTTGATGTAAACCAACCTAAAAAATTACATTTATGTTTGTTTTGTTCTGTGTTTAATAGTTTTGGATTGTTGAAATCGAAATTGTGTTGGTGTTCAAAATGGTGGGTCTTCTTATCCAGATATTGTGATATAATTCCAATGTATGCTGCCGGACAATTTGTACAATTGATTTTGTAAATTACATCAGACTTATTTGTCACTGGTATTAATTTTGCAAAAAAGAGTGTGAATAATTTTTGAAGGCTATTTTAAATTTATTAGAAGAAAGAAATGAGTTTAATTTGTGTGGTAGGCCATAAACATGGAATGGATATGGTTTGTCTGTGTTTGATAAAACTGATGTAGTGTTATTTGTGATGGTAGATGGTGTAAGTGTTGATTTGTAGTTGTTGATTATTCTCTTCATTATGTGTTAGTACTAACTTCTGTAAAGGCTAGTACACAGTCGTAGACAAAATCGCGCAACTCGTGTCTACAGACTAAGTTCTTGCGATTGTCTACAGACAAATCAGGAAGAAATTGCTTGTTCTGCAACTACCTGTAGAAAAAATCGCAAGTCTATGGTCTCACAGCTCAGATGGAAAACTTGAGAAATGTTGCGCAACATTTCCCTCAGTGAGCTCGAACTGCTGCTCTGAATCTTGTTTCATTCTTGAATATTTTATTTCCAACCATAAGTATTTTGAGTATTGATACCAAAGTATCAAATTTTCAAAATACACAGTGGTTAGCCGGGTAAAATTTCTGAAACCTGAACTACCTTCTAATTTTTCCTAAAAGAATCAATCCAAATTAATCGTCTTTTAAAATGTTCCTTGTCCAACAACGTTTACGATTAATTTTCCTTTGATCAAAAATTAAAACTGAACAAGCATCAAAGCCGCAGGCCACTATCTCAATTGTCATGTTATCACAGAGACTAGTTAACCGAGTTGTGCAGATTTGGACGCGTGACAAAGGTCATCTAGATTTTGTTTCGCCACAGTCTAGTCAAAATCAGCGATTTGTCTATATACAGTCGCACAATTTTGCGTCTACGAGTGTTACTAGCTTTAAGTACACACAGGTCCACTACTGAATGTAACACGGCGCAACATCAACGAGAAAAGTAGAACAGTACGATCTTTTCCCAATCTGCCTATCACTGTGCATCTAGTTTTGTCAAGGACTCGGAAGAAGGATCACAAACGAAAACTACAGAACTACATATATTTTTAAAGATATTAATTAAAACTAATAGTGTTTAGTTAATAGTGTAAGAAGTAACAGTCTGTATTGTGTATTTTTTACTCCTCCCTCCAAGGGTAAAGGGTTAAGGCATGCAATCGACTATAAAGAACCATGCAGTTGTGCATTCAATTTCACAGAAGCGAGAAGAAAAAAACAGACCAATCAAACTTATCACTGTCATTACCTGGTGTTAACTCCAAAACTTTGGGAGCAGTAGCTTTCGACCGAACGAAACCACTACCTTAGGAACAATTTTAGTCGTTAAAAGAAGTCATCCAATAAAATAAACACAAACGAATGGAGGTTAATAGTATCACGTGTAAGCTCAGGCACGTTTTAAGGTTTGTTATTCTCACCTTTTGTGCTCGCGTTCCTCACGATGCACGTGCAATCGCTATTTTTCAGGCCGACCGGATTGTTGAAAAGCCGGTTGCCGGCCGGAGAAAACCGCCACGCGTTCCTCGTCCATTGTTTGCCGGGGCGGATGGCGTTGTTGGCCGATTTGAGAACGGAGAGCTTTAAAGCGTTCTTTATAAAGCCGAGACCGCTCATTTCTGAAAGTTAAAAAAAAAGCCGGCTCCCTCGATGAAGAAAGCGTTAACCTAGTGAAACACGGTGGCGTACTAGAACGTAGAGATTGAGAACAGACTGAGACTGAACGGTGAACAGTACGGCCGCTTCCTGTTTCGCTAAAGTCGACTTCCGCCTGCCAATTCCCTCCGCCACTGCCGCCTTTTTAAAAGCGCTTTCTTCTATTTTAAAAGAAATTTTAAAATAAAAACACTGAACATATTTTATAAACTTGAGAAAAAAATCTCTTGTCGTAAATTTGTAAATACATTAAAGTATTCACATTTTCTATACGAGAATTTCCATAGGGAAAACATGTTTAGGAAAAAACGATTAGACACATATTTTTTTTTTAATTTAAGGGAAAGGAACCAAAGGTCATTTCCCTTCCGAATTTTGCCCTAGGGCGCCAATCCATCCAGGCCAGTTATTTTATTTACTTTTTATTAATTTATTTAATTCTTGTTCTTGTCATCAGTATAGTAATCATATTTTATTTATTAAATTAGGCTGCTTTTAAAAAGCTGAATAATTTGTCAATATTTTCTTGGTTGTCTCCTAATATTTCATACAGCGTATTCCGGAGGGAATAAAATTTTCTTAAGTCATGATATATGCGAATATGTGTTTCTTAGTGACCAGTTGTTTTATAGTTAGAAAAACATTTTTTTTATTTTTTTGCCGGTTTCGATCTTTATTCTCGTCATCTTCAAGACATAAAGCGTGGTGCTATTCTTTCTTGTGGCGTCATATTGGTTTTATGTGAAAGTGTTGTCACAAAACCAATATGACACCACAAGAAGAGCACCATGTTTTATGCCTTGAAGATGACCCGAATAAAGATCGAAACGTCGGCAAAAAAATAAAAAAGGTGTTTTTCTAAATTATCACATTCTTGACCGCTTCTCACGACTTCAACAAACTATGAAACAACCGGTCACTATGAGGTTATTTGAACCCTCGGGGTGCCGGCGTTTTTGAAAAAAAGCACATTTGTAAGTGTGTCTGGTTCGAATGCAGGGCAGCTGGATTCGAACCCGGGACCTTTACCTTGCAGTGATGAGCGCAGTGTCAACGCCTAAACCGTTGCGGCCACCGACGCAAAAAATAAAAAAATAGATAAATATAAAAATAAATAAAGTTAATACAGCAGTATCTATCTATCGATGCACATAACGATTCGATGTTACTATTGTCAGTCGGACCGGAACGTCTCCAATCATGCTATCATGCATGGTCTTATTTTTATCAGTATTATCAGTCGTATATAGTGAAGAGTAGCATACTGCTTATTCATTTCTTATGTGGAGTTGTGGACATGGTTCATGGTTGGACATATTAACTGAGAGTTGATTTTTTCCTCGAGTAATGATTTATTAGATTTTTACCATTAATACATCTTTTCTTTTTAAAATACCATGAATCGGCGTGTGGTCGTTACCGGTTTGGGCACTGTTTCGCCGTTGGGCATATCAGTCAGGTCGTCCTGGAACAATTTAATTTCTGGAGGTAGCGGCATCAAGAAGTTGTCTGGTGGTGATTATGAAAAGATCCCTTGCAGAATCGCCGGCCTTGTAAATCAGGGCGAAGGGCCTGAACAGTTAAACGTGTTGAAATACGTCAACAAAGCGGACATGAGGTCTTTGTCCCTTGCAACGATTTTCGCCTTAGTGAGCAGCGCAGAAGCTTTAGAAGATGCAAGATGGTTTCCAGAGGAGGAGAGTAAGAAAGAGATGACTGGTGTTTGCATCGGGATGGGCATGGCAGACTTGAATTCCATTTACGAAACTGCGTTTGCGTTCAAGACGGGTTACAGCAAAGTAAGCCCGTTCTTTGTGCCTAAAATCTTAACGAACATGCCAGCTGGACAAGTTAGCATTAAATACGGCTTCCGAGGGCCAAACCACACCGTTTCGACAGCTTGCGCCACAGGTAGCCATGCCATTGGTGATGCGTTTAAATTTATCCAGAATGGTCAGGCTGATGTGATGGTCTGTGGCGGCACCGAGGCGAGTGTCAATCCACTCGCAATGGCAGGATTCTGTCGCCTACGCGCTCTTTCAACGTCCTTCAACGACACCCCTTCCGAAGCGTCTAGACCCTTCGATCAAAAGCGAGAAGGGTTCGTAATGGGGGAAGGCGCTGCGATTTTAATACTCGAAGAGATGAATCACGCTTTGGAACGGGGTTCGCACATTTATGGGGAAATCTTGGGGTATGGACTGTCAGGCGATGCTTCACATATGACAGCCCCTCATGAAGAAGGGGTGGGTGCAGTACTTGCGATGAAAAGAGCCCTGTCAGACGCCAAGACTTCACCTGCTGACATTTCTTACATCAACGCACATGCGACCTCCACACCTCTAGGAGATGCCATAGAGTTAAAAGCGATATCAAAAATATTCAAAGACAATTTGGACTGTTTGAAAGTTTCTTCTACAAAAGGCGCTCATGGGCATTTGCTAGGCGCTGCTGGAAATTTAGAAACACTTTTTACCGTACTAGCTTGCCAACATGGCACAGTACCTCCCACATTGAATTTGAACGATAAGTGCGTCGAAGGAAATGAAATCAATTGTGTTCCGAATACAAAACAAGAATGGGCAACCAAAAAAAGAATAGCTTTAAAAAACTCATTCGGATTTGGAGGGACTAACGCATCTCTCTGTTTAAGCAATTTCATTTTGTAGTCACCAAATATTTTAAAAGTTCAATACTAAAAAGTAACTACAAGTTATTTTATATTGTACATAATGAATAAAGAAATATTTTTTATACATTAGCTCTTGGCTAGTTTTTAATCAAAAGAAAAAAATTAGAATAAAATCCAATTTATTTCTTGCATGTTTTTTATATTGAACAAACCATTGGGTTTTAGGGACTATCATTAGACAGTAGTCAGCATGAGCGCTTTATTGCTGTTTATTCTTGTATAGGGGAAGGTGAGGTTCTCCAGAGAGTACATTCTTCAAAATTTATTTTAACAGACTGAAATGTCAGCCACAACTCTAAATCTGGGATGAGTCTATTAGCAAAGGAACTTACCTCAGACAATGACATGATCATTGTCCTCAGCGCCTTTACAGTTTCTTGGCCGTCAAATTGATCCAATATGTCGCGACGCTGGTCCTTGCTGGCTGAGTCTTGTTGTTGAGTCCGAGATGAGTGTGGCTGCTTTGTTTCCGGATTGACTACTAGAGCCAACTGTTCACTGCCTGAGGTGAGACTTCGGATGACTGTGTGAGCCCTTGAGCTTGACTCACTTCGTCTAGATTGACTTTTGAATTCCAAATCTTCCCTTTTTATACCAGTTTCTCTACCGGAGAAGAGGTGGAAAGGAAAATCAAAAGTATGGGAGTCCCCATGACATAGGTGGACTGGGTGCGTAGATGGGTGTCGCACACCTGGTTGACACGACCCCCCCCATTCTTATTTATTTGGTCAACTGTGTAATTATCGCAGAGCTACATTCCCCTGAGGTTGTGAGGAACGTCACGTCGCCCTCATCTGTGATGTGAAACCCTTCGACCAATTGCTTAACTATCGCAAAGTTGTTTCCCAAATTTGTAGGGCTTCATATTGTTCCTGTCCGGGCGATTAACCCTTCCGATTTACCGCTTATTTTCTATGGTCGTTTATATTATTTTTTATTTCTTACTTAACAACTAAAACTTATTCTAAGACAGGGACTGGCTTACAATATAATTTGTCTTTATTTAACATTGATTATAGCTAATTAATAAATTATAATAGCATGTTGTTTGATTAATTGGTGAAAATTACTTTCTCTGGGTTAACATCCTCTTTAAAAAAAGTTATATTTACTTAAAAAAGGGATTGAAGAAGATGAAAAATACTTTCAGAACAAATATTTTATTCATTATGTACAATAATATTTATTTAATATAACATGTAACATTTAAATATTTCATTATAATATTTTTTATCTTGGGGAGGGATATAAAAAACTATTATAAAATAAAATACAGAATTTTTATTTTCACAAGACAACAGTTTATAATAAAAATAATGGTTGAGTATGTAGATTCACTTTTTGTAGTTATTCTCGCTTACTCAACAGAAATATATACGTCTGTCTTGTAAAAGAATATGGAAGTATATAATAACACAATGTGTGATTATTCAAAATATATTTATATATCCAACAAGTACATCTAAAACAAAAATTTACATGCCAACATCATAAGAAACAAAATACAAAATTATTTTTAAGTAACTATAAAAAAATGAGTTGTATTACAAGCAGGGCATTTATGTTTTAAATGGAATTTAAATAGTAATAAATATGCAATCAAGAGTTTTACTAAATTATAACAGTAAAGAAATAGAAAGGCACTTACATTTAAAACATAAAATTATACCGAGTAAGAATCTGTCCTTTGTAGTTCAAAGCTTTTTCCCAGCAAATGAATATCTATACATCAATATCTTACATCATGTTATTTTATAATTTACATATACTGTTGAAATATTATTAAATTATCCCTGTTTATTAAAAAATAAACCAAAAGCCATAAGATAACATAACTCTTCAAAAAAGAATTAATTTACCAAAGATTTCATGTTTTTGTTTAAAAAATTTTTATTTTCAAAATTGTAAACTGAAATAAAAGATCTTGTGGTCCACACTAATGGACTATACATTTCAGCTCTAAATAAAATGCTTTGATTTGATGCAAGGAGATCTGATCGAACTGCTTTTCTGCGATTCCGTAAATTAGACGATCGAGGAAAACGGGAAGTCGACTGCGTGCGACCCTCGATCTTAGGACAATACAATCTTACAATATCTATAATTTCCCATTTATTATATATTTTTTTAATAATTTTGGTTGTTGGCACATAGTTGAGCGAATCTCATTCTGAGTGTTTGTCTCAGTTCTTCTCGTTTTTGTGGAATATTGTCACGAGCCTGAAATGCCCTCACATCCTCCAGGGGTATGAAACTCTCTTCATCTGAAGAGGCTGTCTCCTAAAAACAAGTGAAATTTTCTATTATATTCATAACACATTCTCTCCAGAATTTATGATAAATAAGAAGTCAGCAATTTATTTTTAGTTGAACGTCATGGGTTTGTGCCTTATTTTATTTATACGAGACCCTTTTAATATGTTTGAGAAAGTTAACACCTTTAGCATGGATGACTGGATCTCATGATAACAAAACCTTATGAGGCCCTGCCATTTCTTTTTAACTTTAGAAAATAAATCAAGCGTCCTACGTCAGTGGATTCATGGTGGTTTAGAGAGGTCGACTTGTTTTTAGACAACATACCAAAAATTATATATGTTAACAAAACGATCAGGATTGTCTTACAGTCTATTGTGTATACTGGGATATCCAATTAAAAAGCTGGGGGGGTCAAGGTTACAAACTTATTTAACTGGAAACCGATTAAACCATAAAAGCAATCCCCCTGAAGTCCTAATGGCTTAAAAGTAGGCAAAGGTGAAATAGTGGAACATGTAAGTGACTACGGTGATTCCTGAAATTATCTACCATGAATGTTTTAAAAAATTAGATGTCATCAAAAGAGAAATGGTGAGAGCCCACAGTAGCTGAGTGGTCAGCATGATCTCTCAGCTCGTAGATCCCGGAGTCAGGTTCAATCTCCACCATTGCCCCTACCCTTCTTTTCACACTGTCCTTCATCCAAAAAACTATATATGATGAAACAATTGTAATAAAAATTAAAAGAATGCACCATGGTCTGAACAAGTTAAGATATATTAGGGCCTATTACAGATTGAGTTGGTGTTTTTGAGGATACTTATTGCTTTTTGTATGTGCAGTCACATACTAATTATTACTCCATTCAAAGAAAACAAAAATAAATGTCTAATGTGAAATTATGAATAACATACCTCTAACATTTGCTCCAGCGACAATGTAAATGTCCTATTTGGAGGTATCACAGGTTCTGGTGTCACCGACGATTTCAAGCTTCTATGGCAAACACCTGTTTAAAAAAATAAAAAATAAAAGAATTTGAAAGAAATCATTGTGTGGTTTGCGCATACCTTCGTTACAGAATTCATCACAGGCTTCTGATCCCTCAGGGGAGCTCGGAGAGGATCCGGCATTGTTGTTACCACTCGAATAACCACAATCGTGGCCATATTCACAAGAGCAACTCCTGTCCTCTTTTTTCACATTTAACTGGAATAAAATGGCGATTGTTAAAAAGAAAACAAGGCCTTTATCAAAAGTTTGGCTTAAAAAAGTTCGAGTTAAAGGTGAACATGCATGATTGTATAAGATCAAAAATAAACAGTGAAAAATTTCAAAACTGAAATAACTATACATTACTATTAACATTTATGGCAAATTCACTACCAATAAGAAAATGCATGACATCTAGATTTGAGAATTTTATTTTAATATAATTTTTGGGTAAATGCTTGTACCTCAACATTAGGATTTTCAGCAGAACACAATGGAGGAATGTTTTCATCTAAAGCACAAGAGCTTGCAGAACAGCTGGTGTCCAAAAATTCATTTGCCTTAAAAAAGAAAATCATACAAAAACCCATTTTATACAAAACCATGTTTGCTTTAAGTAATATATCAATGAGAATAACGAGATTAAGTAAGAAATAACTAAAAAGCATTGTTACTAAATGTACGTTTAGATTTGTATTTGTTATTGTTTATTGGTTCATGAGGTGTGTGTGTATGTGCAATAACTATTTTTAAATTAATGTTTCCAAAAAAATTAAATAGCAATTTTTAATTTTAATTAATTAAATTGTATATTTCTTTATTTCAAAAAGGACCACTGAAAATTGAATTTTCAAATGTTACCTGATCAGCTTTGGTTTCACATGCTTTTCTTTCCTTTCTTTTCTTTTTCTTTAACTTTTTCTGCTCCTTCCTCTGTTGTTTTGCTATTTCCTCTTTGGTAATTTCATTGTAAAGAAGCTCTAACTTTGTTATGCCCCTCTTTGAATCTACTGCACGCTAGAAAATTTTTTAATGTTCAAATCGCCATAAAAGAAAACATATTTACTCTGGTAACTCAGACTGCATAAGTCAACTTTGTAAAAGAATTAATAGTTATAATGTAATTAGTTTTACATGCTTAACCTTTTCAGGACTGATTTTCAAATACTAAAATGTGTTCCCCTGCCTACTAGACTCCCCCAGCATGATTTATTTTGTATTATGTATTGAATTTTTAATCATACACTTTGAATCACTCTTCATCCTTTCATGTTGCACCAATTCCATTCAAAATGTAAAGAGAGAAAAAATAGTATTTAATTTCACCAGATCGCATCTCACGATTTCTGAATAATACTATTTAAATGAAAATTTATTTGACTAAAAAGTCATTTACATTGTAAACCATGTAAAATTAAAACAGGCCACTTGGCAAACAAGGGGTGAGAAATCAAAGATAACAGGGTAGATGGTAGGGAAGGGTAGAGGGTTGGGAAAGGGCTAGAGGTAAATGAAAAATAGGATATTCCCCATGAGACTTAGATATTGTAGCCGAATGATTTTCTGATGTACCACAATTTCACAAGTTTGAGAAAGGGGCCAGATCGTGAACCAAACAGGAAGAAAAGAGTGGTGTGTTGATGATGAGTATGGGAAAGGAAGGGTGTATGAGGTCTCCAATTCACTACTGAGGAGGTCTGCTACACATTGGATACAACCTCAGCCCAATCGATGCTGTGAGTGTCCAGCTAGGGCTCCTAAACGGGGAAAAACCACAAGGGAACCATCCCTAGGACCAGGGACTGCCTGTATGAGATACCTTGTGTCGTTAAGTCTCAAAAAGGTTATGTTCAATCCATAATTTAATTCTTATTCAAAATCATGGTTGCTCAAGTGTCAGAAGACCCAAAGATCATGGATTTGAATCCCACCTGTCACGAATTTTTCATTTCAAAAATTATGTAAATGTATGTATGTATGTTAATAAAATTTGCTTTTATATGAAGCTGCAGTTTGTTTAAAATTAGAATAAACTGGGAATCAAAATGAGAAGTTTGTAGCATGGGCGATTTAAGTAACAAGCTCAAATTGTGGGATCGAATCCTGCCTGTGACGTAAATTTTTGATTTTGAAAAATCATATAATAAATTGAATATACATTAATATTTTAAAAAAGATAAAATAAAAATTAGCATTTATTGATTGAAGAAAAAATGCATATGAACTGCATTATAATTAATTCTGAATATTTATGCATGAATCTACACTCAGTAGGGGTTTATACTCAAATGTACAAAAATTACTGTATTATCAGTACCTGGAAATTCCGGCTAAGTGCATCTACAGCCACAGCTGCAAGCACTTGGCAGGTGGTTTCTTCTTCTTTCATGCGCATCTGTATTCGATTGAGCCTTTCGTGCACTACCAACCCTAGACAGGTGATAATCTCGCCCTGAGCGACTTCCAACGTTTTGGCATGCCTTTCACCGCTAAAACACAATTTCAGAATTTTAAAAATGAACAAAAAAGAAACGTTTAAATTAAATAACACTTAAGCAGAAATTCAAACTATTCTTGCGAATCTTTTGTGTTATCATAAGCTGTGATTGTGTAAAGTATACAATAGAACAATTAAAATATACTATGATTAATTTACAACAAAAAGGTAGGTAAGTAAAGATTATTACAATTTACTTCACAATTTACACACCACAAATTGGCGGTTGAGACACATTGAGAAAAGAAAATTTACACACTGAAAACCTACTTTGTATTTTCCATTATAAAAGTGATTGATGACATAAGAAATCATTTTGCAAATATTATTATTATAAATGTATTTGTTTTTTGAATCACAAATGTTTTCATTTCCATATACTTGGTAATGAATCCAAATATTGACATCAGTATAAAATAATACGACCATTTGTTCTTTCTTGTAATACATATTCATATGTACACGTTTCACTATAGTTGCTAGTTTACAATTTAACTTTTACCTTTTATTTTTAATGAAATACCTGCATTTTATAACATACAGAATAGCTACAATTATTACTGCATTGCGACAATAATTTGCCAAATAATTTTTATCATTTTGGTCAACCATGTTGGTTTAATATAAAAAATTCGGTGAGAGTTCACTGTTACAGGAATTCTAGTTCTGAGGCACAAACTGTTGTTAATTAAAGCAAGAAAACAAGCATTATAAAACTTACATTAAATTTACAATGTGTAATCTCAGGAAATCTGATTGTGTTACCTATAATCTAAACTTATAAATGAGTAATTTTTATTCCCAGTTTAAATTATAATATTTCAAAAATTATTACCTGCTCATCACATCTGGTTGTGCTCTTGCAATAATGGAGCTCACGTAGTCAGTGTTAGATGGTAAATGCAGGTGTTTGTCTGGCATGCAGCGCTTTATACCACTGTAAAGCCCCGGGATGAAACCCTTTTCTCTGGTTGGCTCCGGTTCTTCCACAAGCAACCAGTATGCTTTGAGAACTTTGGTTCTGCAGTCACCACAAAACCTGAACAATATATTTATCAAACCCGGCACTTGACTATGCACTATTTTCAACTTCAAATTCCTGGAGTAGCGCTGGGAATCGAGAATGTGATCCAACAGTCTCGCCTACCACAGCCTCTTCAATACTAGCAAAATGCAAATGGAATAATTTTATTAAACGTGCCTGTGCTTTTGTAGATAGTTTTCAAGTGTAATCATCAATGTTGTCGATGGGATTAGGAGAACCTCTTTTCGGCATTGTGGTCTCATCGAATCCCAGACTTCTTTCCAGGTAGGCCTGGCAATCCTATGATATTCTAGACTATGTAATATGCACCTATGACTTTTTTTTGATCTTAACTGACTTTCTAACAACTGTGTCAATTTCGCACTGAAACAGAAATTAAAAATCATTTCATAAATTAATTTGAAGGAACGTTTACTAAAAGTAAGCTGTATAAAATGCTTGTAAGTGCAATTTGATAAGCTTTAACAATAATTGTGTTATTTTGGAACAAAGCAAATACAACAAATAATTTAAGCCAATTTGTAAAGGAATAATAAATGAAAGACTATGGAATTCCACTCGGCAAACCTGTGTTCATGGAGAAGGCTGCAAATCCTCAGTGGCCAATCTAAATGCTTTTCCTGTATGACCAGATTTCCATTAGATTGTATGACTAGGGGTTCTAGAGTTGGGTGACCAGACCGCTTCAGTTGCTCATACAGTTTTTCCACGCTGAAACAATTTAATAGTTTATGTGTTGGCGACAATGCTGTTATTACCCATCACCTCACCTTCTTCGGCAGCCTACACAAGGAACAGTGTCTTTCAAAAGTGAAAAAAAATCTTTTTCGTTCACGACAAATGCCTCACGGATTTCCTCTCTTGTTAGGGTGTTGAAGGTTTCTAAAAATTTGTCCACTTCCTTTGGACAGACTATGGAATTGCCATATAGACAGCCTAACCAATTTAGATCCATTACCATCTAAAAAAAGTATAATTTCAAATATTAAAATTTTATTCTACGCGATGAAATTATAAATCAACAAAATCATAGTTTAAATATGAGACTGAACGCTTTTTATCAGTTAAAGAAAACTATGAACTTTGATTAACATTGTACTAATAATTGCATAAGTTCTACTTGCCAACCTTACCACTATCTCTACTAAACCTTATAGAACTTTATTTTTACAAGGTTTCCTATCTAACCTTTTTGATGACAGTGTTTAGTTTAAAAATAATAGATTGGCAAAAACAAAATACCAATATTTGCCCCTCTACCCAGATCAACGCATGAAATCATCATGCTTCTAAATTTGCTTATTGTACAAAAAATTTCTTAAATTATTATCCTGATACTGTCAATAAAATAATTCGAAATATCAAAACATAATGAAAAATATGCTTACACTGAAAATTGTAATATTGGGTTGTCCGGAAAATAATGCAGGATTTTGGTATTAAACAAAAAAAAAGAAACTAGTTACTTTAAAGCAATGTTCTTTAATCAAAATAATTTCCCATACTCTCAATACATTTCTCCCAACGTGTTGGTAACTTATTAATTCCGTCTGAGTAGAATTCAGAATTTTTAGAATTGATAAAGTCAATAAATGCATTTTCCAGTTCCGTTTGATTTTTGAATATTATGTGTTGTAAGTAGTGGTCCAGGTGTCTAAAAAAATGGTAGTCAGTAGGCGAGAGGTCCGGAGAGTAGGGTGGGTGAGGCAAAGTTTCATAGCCAAGCTCCAATAATTTTTGTGACGTTACACGTGACACATGTGGTCGAGCGTTGTCATGCAACAAAATGGGCCCTTTCCGATTGACCAAAGAGGGCTTCATTACTGCCAATTTCTGATGCATGGTATTAATTTGGTTACAGTATGATTCAGCATTGATGGTTTCGCCAGGATTTAAGAAGCTGTAGTGTATTAAACCAAATGAAGCCCACCATACCGTAACCATTACCTTTTTTTGATGAGTTGGGGGCTTTGGAAAATGTATTGGAGCTTCTCCTTTGTCGAGCCACTGTCCAGAACGTCTAGTGTTATCGTAGAGAATCCACTTTTCGTCACATGTAACAATTCTGGCCAGAAATGGGTCATTTTTGTTTCGACAAAGAAGTGATGCACAAACATCAAAGCGCTGATTTTTTTGGCGATCGTTTAATGAGTGTGGAACCCAATTTTCGAGTTTTTTCACTTTTCCAATCGCCTTGAGGTGGTCAGCGACGGTCGTTTTACTGACTTTGAGTTGCTCTGCAAGTTCTCGAACAGTTGTTTTGGGGTTTTCTTCCACCACTGATCGCAGAACATCATCATTAAGAGAGGAAGGCCTTCCACGACCTTCTTCATCTTCAAGGCTGAAATCTCCCTCCCGAAATTTTTTAAACCACCTTTGCACAGTGCACTCATTAACACAACCCTCGCCCCAGACTTGGTTAATGTTTCTAGCCGTTTGGGCTCCGCTTCGGCCGAGTTTAAACTCGTAAAAGAAAATCGTACGAAATTCTCGCTTTGACATTATAAGGATGACTGAATTATTTCCAAGTAGCGGAATGCTACAGAGGTAAACAAACAATATCATTTGGAAGAGGATTATAATCCTGTAAACGTAAACAGAATATTTTATATAGATTTTTTTTAATGAAAACTTAAAATCCTGCATTATTTTCCGGACAACCCGATAGAAAATAAATAAAAGGAGTTTTTAGCAAAATATCGTATTTTTGGAAATTTTATATTTTTTAGAGCGAGAATATAGAAAAAGATAATTCACCTTTACATTCTCACTCTAAAAAATATAAAATTTCCAAAAATGCGATATTTTGCTAAAAACAACATCAATTTCAACGAGGTCTTCTATAAAAACCAATTAACAAATATCGTTTATACTTGCATTTATAGGTAAATGGTAATTTCCCAAGGCCTTTTTTTTTAATCAGGGTATTTCAACTACGAGTTTAACTCAAGGTGCTAGTGTATTTTAGGTAAAAAAGTTGTATATTTGGGTATGAATTAGGGCTGGATTCGAACCTGGGACCTCTACTGTCTGACCTTTAATGAGGTGCAATGTCAATGCCTCAACCTTCCACCATCATCCCTAAATGATGATATTTAAAAAAAAAAGTCATGCACTCAATTTTAAATTGTTGAGATTAGTTTATGTTGAGATTTTTATGTAGAATGTGACCAGCAAGAGATTCTTACTGTTTTCTCACTCTCATCTTTTCACCTACAATCATACTAATAATTCTACAGAATAGTTTGGACCCCTATTTCTTGAATCCCCTCTTCTATTTCCAGTCTATTTCCTGAGAACCCACTCAATAGAAGGTGTCCAACTTATTTAATTTGATCATGTAATTCAGAACAAAATTCGAGCACCATCAGATGGTGTTAAAGTTCACTGCTATGATGAGTGTTTGGCTGTCAGATGCCCATTGAGGCAATAGGCAGAAACAATGAATGATGGAGTGAATGCGGTGTTCAATACTTTTTAAAAAAAAGATAGTTCCTACTCACAGTAAGTACTTATTGTGAGTAGGAACCATCTTTAAAAAAAAAAAGGATTGAGTCTGCCTATCTCGCCATAAAATCTGTTTCCATAAGTCTCTTCCTGCTTCCACTAACATATTCTATAATTAGTTGCACTTCCCCAACCGGACATACTAATAAAACAACCACAAACCTTACATTTATAGATTTTTCAATGGAAAAGTCTCTTATAAGCAGACAACAAAAAGTGAAACAACTTAGGATTCCATGAATGACAGATTACTTAGGTTTTATTTGTGGACTGCAATTTTTGGAGGTCTCACAACCAACATGAACCCCTTCAGACTTCCTTGTCCGTTTTAATTTTCGCTATTGTGATTGTACAAACTATTCTGAGATGAGTGTGAAAAAATATTCTTTATGACAGAGAAGGGGTCCATCAAAAAAGAAAATTAGTTCATTTGAATTCAATTAATTGTTTACTTTTTTCTTATCATACCTAATATTTAATATGTAATTTGATCGTTACCAGTTTGCCACCTCCTTCAGTGTGTCCGGCCTCAGGAGGAAATCCCACATGGACCCTTTTAATAAGCAGCTACAATCCCATTCCTGAGTAGTGTCCGCTTTGAAAATTAGACTGAACTTTACTTTCAATTAATTAACTTTAATTTCAATCTCACAATTTTTTTTTATTGCTTGAATCCCGTTGTTTACCATAATGCAAAAAACGTTAAGGTGGCTTATGATGAATTTATGATATTAAATGCAGGACATGTGAGATTAATCGCCAAGCAACATTATTCAATGTTTGGCTTGCTCTGCTAATTGTCAGTTTTCTTATCTGCTAAACAAGTGCACAAATATTTGTGAAGTAGCTGAATTCAAAACATCCACACATTTATTTGGGAATCAATTGTACTGTAGATATATCAACTATAATCATCAATCAACAGTATGTATATAGGTTTCAGAAAAACATTTTCTTTATCGTGCCAACGTTTCGATCTTTAATGAGATCATCTTCAGGGCTCAAAGTGTTTGTCTTCTGTGTAATTGTGCCATTCTTGCCTGTCGTGTTGAGAGTGCCCACACGACATGCAAGAATAGCACAATGCCCTGAAGATGATCTCATTAAAGATAGAAACGTTGGCATGATAAAGAAAATGTTTTTCTGAAACCTACATCACACCAGATCGCATCTCACGATTCTGAATAATTATCGATTAACCACACATTTCTACATGAGAAGTATGTATATATTTCGATCAATTAATATTTATGAAAGGTATTGGTTAAGATAAAAAAGTCTGTGTCACGAGCGGGATTCGAACCCACGATCTTCGGCTGGATATGCCGCTGCTCTACTACTTGAGCTATCGTGTCTTCGATCCGCTCCAACACAAACTTCCCATATCAACCTCACCTCTCAAATTTTCCCGAAGTATGTATATAATTCTATTTACTGCTATTTATTTTTTAATAATAAATGATTCCTAACTAGTAAAAAATGTATTAATGGAAGAACAACATAGTGTTTTCTGTCAATTAGGAATGAAACCTTCGCAAGTTCCTCGATCTGTATCCAGCTGAACCAATAATTTGGAACACTATTCTTCAAAAATCAGAACGAGGTTTTGGATGCATTGAAAAGACGGGGCAACAGTACTCTGTGAGATTTTGTAACCACTACACAAACCAGTAACCGCAGCTGCTGCAATGACTGTTTCACCGTTATCCCTCACAATTGGTAGCAAGTTGAGGTCTCACATGGCAAATACATATTTGCTGTTTCTGTACAAACTAGGTTGTTGTACAAATCCTGAATATGTGTATACATAAGCACGCTATTTGGCGAATGCCAAGATGAGCATTTGAGACTTGTCAAATATTCAGCAGCAATCGGCATTCTACTGCATGACTGGAGTCACCTTTATACTCTTAAGATGGTCTCTTATAGTGATTCCTACCGTGCAAAAGCATCTGAGATATGTCAGCAGTGTGGCTGTCTTACAAGGAACTCCTTCATTTTTTTAATTTCTGCATATTTGAATGCTCTGACAGCTGCGCAACTGATATGACAGCAATGTAAAACATGTGAAGTTTGTAGTCACTGTTCAGATCAAGTATGTGGAATGGCTTAAAATACACTGTTGTTTATGCAATGATGAATGCTGAGTAGCCAATATACATACATGATTTGAGCTGACATACGTGTGTACCTTTGTGCATCAAGGATCAACTGACATACAGATTCCTTCCTTGGCTGGGGGTTTCTTGCTTCATTCCCACTCACTTTTGGTGTTGTGTGTTTGAAGTTAGACTGAAATGTTGATATAAATTCAAATGTGCTACATGTCATCAGAGTCAAGTGTACGTTTTGAGACTTTTCCCTATGAGTGTAATAGTGCGGAAAATGGATTGTTCTATTATGTGTGAAAGAATAAACGTTAGAAATGTAAAGATTTTTTTATTGAATCTCGTGGAATTGTAGTAAAAGGTAGGCCACGACTTTCCCTTTGACCAATTGGCGTTAGGTAGAATATAACTGTAATGGACAATGTTAACGCCGGTCGGGAAATCAATGGAAGCTTACCTTGACGTTCTCGTAGACGACGAGGGGCAGCTGCCGCTTGAGCAGTTCCGTCTTCTCGCCGTAGACTCCGACCAGCTTGGCCATTTCCGAGGTGAGCGGTATTCGACTCTTGGCAGGATTTTCCTTCCGACTCCACGGACGTTAATGCAGCATGATGGCGATAACCGCTGGCTAGCCGTCTTCCTGCGGCTCGGCGGCGATGGACGTGAGAGCCGGTGGAATTTTCATCAATTTCCCAATGGAAGGTGGTCTCCTTTCCAAAACGATCAGTTCCGAAATCGGGAATCAAAGGAGACGACTGTGCCGTCCGAGTCGCTAGCAAGTGTGTCGGATCAAGTCAGAGGTTCCACGCGTTCAGGTTCGCCGGCTTTACAGCGGCCACCGTCCGGATTCGGGCATCGGTCTAGCGGCCTTCAGGTACCAGCGGATTCATTGACATCATTCCATTTTATTGCCAACTCCCCAATAACATTTACAAAAGTGCAAAATTAAAAATTATTTTTAAACTATAACAAATAAGCAACAATTATCCATTACGAGAATACTACGGCCAAACCTCAAGTCCCGCACCAGCACCTTAAAAATAAGAGAAAGGATAAACTACAGATTTTATTAATATTTTTCATAAACACCACTATTGATAAAATTTATTTATATTTTTCAAAAAATTCAAACAGTTTCTACTTTTAATTTTCACCATTCCTATGAACACAAATTTATATTAAAAAAAGATAAAAGATGAAGCCAGCATTTCCTTCGACAAGCTTTCCTAGTCATATTCATCAGTACTTTGAAACTATAGATTATCAATTAAATAATAACAAATATGTATTTTTATTTAATTTATTATTAGTTAATTATTAATTATTATTTTAAATTTTTTATGCAAAGACGGTTGAAAAGAAATTTTAATAAATTGAATTTTCAAAATGAAGTAATTATTGAAAGAGGCTTCAAAGTTGTGAATAGATGTTTTTTTTATATATTTTTTTTTTAACGCAAAGACGGTTGAGAAGAAGTTTCACGAGTGAGATTCGAACCCACGACTTCAGTTTCGAGATTCGAGGATCAATCTGAAGTTCGTGTGCTTGAATCCCTTTCGTGAAACTTCTTCTCAACCGTCTTTGCGTTTAAAAAAGTACATCTATTCACAACCTATTTCAATAATTACTTTCATCTTGAAAATTCAATTTGTTTTACACTGTTTTTTAATTTTTTTAAATTTATTTTATTATAGTAAACCGGGTGTTTACATTCACCAGTGCTTCCCCTTAATTTCCATTGTACATGTTAACAACTAAAATAAAAAATAAAATAAAATACACGTTCCACTATACGGCATGCTAATATGTCTGCCGGATTATTAATTAATAAATTTTATAGAAAAAAGTATAAATTTTAAAAATGCACCATTTTAGACTTGGTGATGTTTCAGAAGTAGACAAAAGCGAGTTATATATTGATAAAGAGCGTGACGATTGAAGAGGTTTTAACATTGTTATCTTTTGTAAGGCATGTTCAACTATTATTTTTACCATAGAGATTATAATATAAATTTGAGATAATTTCTGGGCTTATCAAGTTAAATGACGAATTAACTGTTTATCGCGAGAATTGTTAACTAAATTTATTCGTCATCGTGATGGGTAAAGGCGATTTGCTCGATTCAGAAGATGTGTATGTCTCTTTGGGCATGACATCCGAGAAGAACAACATAAAACAGACTAACGGGATCGAAGAAGTGCTTAAGAAGAGTATACTGAACACTCCGTTAGAAAAGCATACAGTCCTTCCACACAAGGAAAGAACTAGCAAGAGAAAGAAGAAAAAGGTGAGTGTCCATACCGAATTTGTCTTTATTGAACTACAAACCCGTCTGTGTTTCAGCCCAAGCAAGAATTGCCCGAAGAGGTGAAGACGGACGTCGAGGTGCTGAAGATGCGATCGATATTCGATTCGAAGCACTTCTACAAAAAGAACGACTTGAAGAACCTGTCCAAGGATATCCAAGTGGGTAAAGTGCTAGACTCTCCGGCGGATTTCTACCACAGCCGTCTCCCGAAGAAGATGAGAAAGCCGACACTTGTCGATGAGCTTCTCGCAGACGACAAGTTCCAGAAAGAAGTGAAAAAGCGCTATGTCAACATCATTGAACAAAAGCGTACCAAGTTCCGCAAGGAATACAAAAAGCTACAAAACAAATACAGAAGGAAAACACAAAAATCCTGAACTATTTTTATATTCACAGTGTAATTTTATTTTATGTATATGATTTTTTTTTAAATGAAATACAGTTTGTTTTATTTAAATTTGTATTTTTGAACTATTTTAACTAAATCTTATACTTTTAGGAGGATTTCTTGTTATGAGTTAAGAAACTTTTATTATAATAATTTATTCTGTTTATTTTAAACTAGTATTTTTTCTGACTTACTTCAGAGTTTCGTGGTGTGATGCATGCAAAGTATTATATGACAAACTACTTTATCGATTAGAAAATGTTTTGCTTTACTTCTTTATCAATTCATGATATAAAACCAAAAACAGATTCAAACTAGTACGAACAAAATTCAGTTTTTCAAATTATTTGTATGAAATATGCAGGTGGGCATGTTAAAAGTAAACAATGTTAATGTAATACAATGTTTATTTTTTATTGACAAATTCGCCATAAGCTAATTTTTATGGATTTATTCCAGATTTACAGACTAGTTAAACAAGAATTGTAATAGGTGTTCTTTGTTTACAATGCGGTAACCTCCTGATTAAGGTTTGTTAGGTTAATGCCAATATAAAATAATGTTGACACCGTCTTGAAAACACTGGTTGAAACTGATTTCCCTCCAATGAGCATTTCTTCAATTCGTTTATAGCCTTTTGGAACAATACTTCCAAAACTGAGGAAAAATGTTTAAAGTAAGAAATCCTATTATTGGAACGCTTTATTCTATGTTTCTTCGAATATTAAATTCAAGTAGTTTATCATGCATACACACGTTTGCAGACAAGTCTCTAATGAATTTTTAAATAGTCTTTTTTTCTTTCTTAACACCTGCTTTTATGGTTTTATGGATAGTTTTGAAGCCCTTGAGACTAATTTAAGTATTTGAAACCAACCACGTGGACAGTTTAAATAAACAAAACGCATGGTTATTATTACTGATTAACTTTTTTCAGATATGCAAACAATAGTAATATTCGAATCTGAACATAGCCAATGTATACAATTTCCCCTAAAATTGTTGTTACATAATAATATAGTTTGTTATTATTGTTATTTGTTATTGTATTCACTGCAATAAAAAGTGACTGGTTAGCTGATCCATACTGTCTAGGTAAACTGCCTCAGTGTAGCCATTCCTCTCTTGTGTACTGCTTATTTATGTTTTATGAAATAATAAAATTAAGGTAGAAATAGGATATGGTATTAATATTTTGTAACATGGACATAAAATGCATGCCGAAGAAGAGATATGTATGAGTCGACGTGGAGGTTGGTCAATGGTTCGGTGCGATGCATGTACAGTGAATAGAATTAGCGAAAATAAAATAAAAACTTAGTAAAGTCAAGAATATCAAATAGTAAGGTTTGAAATACAAAACAAAGAGAAAAAGAGTAAAGAAGAGTTATTCTTTACTTGTGCGTGTTGTAATTGATACAATAGTTAAATTACCATTAAATGGGATCGTTTTGTGACCCCAAGACCTTCAGCTTAATAGCTGCTGCTATAACCGAAGTCACGATAGCTTAAGTATTGAGCCGAACATCATGGGTTTGACGCTAACATTTTCATCTCAACCAAGATTTTACATAAAAAGAATAATTAATTGAAATAATTAATATGGTCAATTAGACCATTAATTATAAAATGGATCTTTTATTATATTGGGTTGTCCGGAAAATAATGCAGGATTTTGGTATTAAACAAAAAAAAAGAAACTAGTTACTTTAAAGCAATGTTCTTTAATCAAAATAATTTCCCATACNATGAGTAATCCTGTAAACGTAAACAGAATATTTTATATAGATTTTTTTAAATGAAAACTTAAAATCCTGCATTATTTTCCGGACAACCCAATAATTATTATGCAAAGTTTGGTTGAGTTAAAAAATTAGTATCACGAGTGAGAGTTGAACCCAAGACCTCTGGATTAGTACCTTGGTGGTTCTACCATTTGAGCCATCGTGACTTCTGCCCTCAAGACACCAACTAATCATCTCAATCTACAACTTTTTGCATTTACCTCCCTTTTGCCAATATTCAACTCAATCATACTTTGCATAATAATTAAAGTAATTATTTTGATCAATAGGACCAACTAAAAACACATAATAGATTTATTGTCATCTAATATAATAATCATTTAGCATAGCATACTTTATTAATACAGTGACCTCATAGTAATCCGAACCAATTGCTGTAGGTGGTATTAAAACCAAATTACTGACAAATTCATATTACAAAGTGAGTTAAAAAATACTCTAAGCTGGTCTTGGTCTTTTGTATGACCCCCCTCTCCTCACTCTCTCTCTCTCTCCCTCTCTCTCTCTCCCTCTCTCTCCCTCTCCCTCTCCCTNTCTCTCTCTCTCTCTCTCTCTCTCTCTCTCTCTCTCTCTCTCTCTCTCTTTTTTTCTCTCCTATGCTCTTTTTCATTCACAATCTCTTTTTCTCTTTCACCTTCCTTCTCCTGCCCCTTAAAAATGCTTTATTTGTTTCCTTTAAAATTCTTACTGCTTGATTTTTCAAATTAAAACAGTAAAAATGTGTTTTAGGTACTGCAACATTTAAAGCCAGCTGTGGCATTAAATTTTCATAAAAATATTCGAACAATGACAAGAACATTACAAGAGAATGCCATATTAGAAAAAAGTAATGCTTAATTATTAATCCGTGAAATATAATTATTTAATATTTTATTAATATTTTTTAAAGCGATAAACAATGTCACACTTCTGGGACGAGTGGGAAGTGTTCCTGTGAAAAAAGGGACTGATAAAAATTCTGTAGTCATTTTTTCGATTGCTACCCACAATAATTTCAGGCATGAAACCGGTAAAAAAACTATACTACTAAAAAAGAAAAAAGTATCATTAAATTTTTTTATATTTTAAATTTACAGGTGAAATGGTACAAAAAACAGACTGGCATAGAATCTGTGTATTTAAACCATCGTTGCAGGAATTAGTTTTCAATAATTTAAAAAAAGGCCAACGTTTACACGTATCTGGTCGGTTAACGTATGGATCTTCCAAAGAGGAAAATAATTATAAACAAACAGCATCAATTATAGCAGAGGAAATAATATTTTTTCAATCTTTTGAACGAAATGATATGTAATTAGTATATTCTTTGATAAAATGTTGTTTATACTTTATAGTTTGTATTTAATGTAAAATATATAAGTTTTTGTGTTTCTATATCACAAATGTATTTTTTTTCAAATATCATAAATTTCCTTAATCTCCAAATTATTATTATGTTTATTTTTAATATTTAAGTAATTGATTACATAATACAATAGTTTGTGGGGTAAGAACGGTCACCCTCACCCAATTAAGAATAGGCGAGGTGACACATAGTCTCTTTTGACCAGCATGTAGAGAAACGTTGGAGTATCCTACCTAACTGAAGGTAGGAGGATTCCTTGCCTCATGAGGATGTAGGAATGCCACAAAATTGAGAGTTGTGATTGAACAGGCAGGATTTGAGTCCGCTGTTCTAATTTTTGAAGGAAGAAAGTTTGTTTTGCTGTATATAGTATTTAGTAGATCTCATTTTGTGTATATTGAAAATGAATGTATTTATTAGCGTGAATGTGTAATGTAAGATCATTTAGTACCCCTTCAACCTCAATTAGATTAATTATATAATAAGTGTAGAGGGCAATAGAGGAATGCCGAGTACTCCATCACCCTAACTGAGTGAATGGTATGTAAATTACATAAAAGTTGGAATTGCCAGCGAGTTGTGAGAAGTGATAGCCTTTACTCTGTACACTTGTGTGCATTACGTAAATGCATGTGCATATTTGAGCTTATATAAATCTGTGTATATAAATTTATAATTATTCTTAAATATAAATTATTATTAATAGTTATAGTAGTTTAGTTACTTTAAAATTTGTAAAAGTTAAAACTTATTAAACACAACTCAAAATTAATTTATTAAAAAGAAAAATGGATACCATACAGACTAGAAACTTACAATTAGCCCACATTAAATAGTAAAAAGAATAAAAAATAAAAAAAGAGAGAAACAATTTAAAATAACATACATTAATATTTATTTGAACAGATAATTGAACTAGTTTCAGTTTCAATTTTGTACGAGGCTAGACGTATTTATTCTTTCTATTTCCTTTGCGAGCAAATGATGGTTTACTTGGGCTAGTTTGTGGGTTCAGCTTTCCTAGTTTGCTCGAAATTAACATTTTCTTACTATTCTTTAAATTTTTTCTTTTGCCGTACTCTTTCATCGTGCTTGTCAACCTAAACTTGAAACTGTGGAAGTAGTCTTGCATGCGCTTTCCTTTTGGAGTATTTTTATATTTGTCTTGGAGTTCGAGATCTCGTTTGATAGTGGCCAAGGTATTTTTTCTCGAATCTTCAATTTCTTCCATCAACTTTTTTTTGGGCACTTTCCTATACAAGCCCATTTTTTCAAATTTTTTAGAAATATCTTGATAAGCTTGCATACGATCTTTCACTACATTTTTAACTATTTTAGTTCCTTGAGGAAAATCAATCACTCCTTGAAAACTTTCAAAATGGTTTATCATTTTAATAGTGGCACTTTTTCTAATTTTTGAAATTGTTGAAGAATTGGGATCATTTTCTTTCGAACTGTCTTGTGCCGGCAAACTTTCTTTTAATGTAGAGAGTTTCATTCCTTTTGGATGTTCCATTTCTGCTGCCTGGACTTGTTTTTTTGTTGACTGTTCAGTCTGACTCGGATTGTTTCCAACATCACAGTTTTGCACTTTTACAACTGGAGGAGGAAAGGCATCTGTTTTAGATATTTCAGTAATAGTAATTTTGTTGGGTCCCAACTGAAATATTCTCTTGTTGTCAGGAATTGTGGGAACATCTAATTGTGCACTTTTACAATTTGTTACTAAAATTTTATTCTTTTCCTTTGAAATGCCAGGGTTTTTTTTATTTTGTGTAGTACATACACCAGGTTTCATTTTGCGGCCTGGAGTTTTTATTATATCATCTATAAATTCGTTTATTTGAATTATTTCCAGAAGATTAGAGACACTCTTCAAAAAGGGTTTACAGCCAAGTGGATCTGTCTGAAAAGTGTCCAATTGTTTTTCATTTTTTAGCGTTTCTTCATTATGCTTATCTTCCTTATTTATGACTTCAACAGATGGAAAAGATTTATTTTCGGTCATCTTATAACTTGGTGTTTTTTTCTTAACCAACTTTTTAAGTGCATTTGTGTCAGTAAATATTCTTTTATAAAAATTAGCATCATCGTTACTTTCTATTGGCTCTGCAGTTCTAGTTGAATTTATTGTCATAATTCCAATTTCATGAGGGTCGGAAAGTAAGTTTGTAAATTCCAAGTTATTTTCTGAATGACATTTATTTATAGCTTTTAGATTATTTTGTTCTGTTTTCTGTAATGGAATTTTTTTCTTATCAAAATTTTCTTCACCCTGAGAAATTACTTTATTTTCTGTTTCGCTCATTTTTTCTATATTACCATCAAACTTTTGAACTATGACTTTTTCTTTTAAACCTCGTTCCTCCACTTTTCTAGGTTTTGTGCCTTCAACCATGTCTTCTACGGTTTTGATCTTGTCAGGATTACCAGTTATAAAACCACATTGTGGATCACTGTTGAACATTATCAACCTATCTAGACTTTGTTTAGATTTTTCCAATGCGATTCTTGTGGCTGAAGGCGGTAATTTTCTCTTGCTCTTGCTCATAAGTTTGGATTTTTTTATTTTTTTCGGCAGATATTTTACTTTGTGCACATTTGTATTGATTTTATGCATTGTAATATTGTCAACGCACCCGTCTTGATTTTGTGCATGCGTCGTCTCCGCATTAAAGTTGCAAGTTTTTTCAACTTGAAATGTTTCCCTTTTGCTTTCTGGAATTTCAGCAACTGTACTTTCTTGCTCTTGAAGTGTACAACTGTTCATTGTATTGACATTGGAAGCTATGTTACATCCAGAAAAATCATGCGCATCAATAAAAGTATCATTTTTAGTCAATTTATTTTCTGGCTGTGAATTTAATTCAGTGTTTGTTTCTTCCGTGTTTGTCAAAGTGTAAACATTGTCATTATCCTGTTTGGAAGCATCATTTTTAGCCAATATATTACCTACTTTGTTAAATGATTTAGTTTTTGTTGAATGGTTAAAATTTATTTTCATTTTACCTGATTCCAAAGGTTTTGAATTGTCGAAAGAACTTGGCTTCTGGCTATACGTCATATTTTTAAGTAGAGGCTTGAAATATTGGATTATTTTTTGGGGTACGCTACCTTCTAAGAAAATCAAATCATTTTTACTTTTATGTTCTTTTGAACAAACTGTACATTCCTTATCCTTGTTTTGCCTTTCAAGATCAGAATCACGTTCAGAAGATGGAAGAACCGAACTTTTGAACCTTCCTGAATGATTAAATAGTATTTTCACCTTGCCTACATAATCTGTTGGAGCATTTTGACTTTTTGCATTTAAAACTTTGGCCATTTTAATAATGGAAAAATGGTTTTCTTTTTTATCTATACTGTTTCCTTCAGATAACATGCTAGGTGTGCTATTTTCTAAATTTGTTACATTTTCATCTCGAACCAAATTACATAAATTTACCTTAGAACCTGTCGCTTGAATATTAGAATCATTAAAATTAATTGAATTTTTAAAATTGACTGTTTGATTGGTAGATGAACATTCATCACTTTTAAACTTGTACGATTGCTTGAATATAATAGACATTTTTCCATGGACTTGTTTTGAGAAGGTCCTTACCAATTCTAATTTTCTAGTCATAACTTTTTTGTCAGTATAATCAATGCTACGAGTTTCAAATAGATTTTTTGTATTTTCTTTTAACATAGGTTCGTTATTATTTCCAATGGCTTTTCCTTGTGCCATGTATTGCATTTCTGTACATGCTTCTGATGCATTAGGTTGTTTGTCTTTGTTCTTCAATGCTTTATTATGATTTTTTAAGCGTTTTGGGGTGTATAAATGTTCAAAAACTACCACCGTCCTTCCACATGTATTAATAGGGCGGTTATTTCTACTTTCAATGCATCCATATTTCTTTTTTTCGTTTAATTGTGAAATCATCGAAACGAAAGCATTGTTGGAAAAGCTTTTTACAAAAATGTCAGATCTCTCAATTTGAATATTGTTGTTTATCACTTTTAATAGAATACTGCCAAAATTGTTGCCCAAGTTTATCAAACATTTTCCGTGTTTGCAGCTTCTTGCGGGCAATATTGCATTGCTCATCGTATGAATTTTTTTCTTTGGAAAATGTTGAAAATCTCTTCTTTCTAAAAGGAAAAATAAAATCAACTCAGATTACTGGGTTGTAAATGACATTTTTAAACATAAAGAAATATATTTCGATCTCAACAGTTTAACTTATGATTTTTCCTTCTTGAAGGTGGGATAGTCTGAGACGTCATCTCAAAAAAACCGCAACCAGTTTTTATTCCCAATGTTTCGGATTTATTTTAATCCTTCCTCAGGTGAGTCAATGGTTAAAAGCAATAGTCAATAGTCAAGAGCAATGGTTAAAACAGTGGTTGTCAGTCATTAATATTTATTTATTTTTTTTTTTTTTAGATAATCTATTATCCCACCTTCAAGAAGGAAAAATCATAAGATAAAGAAATATAAAAGCTGTCATGCTATCCTATTTTGCAAAAATTGTGGCAATTCCAAGATCTCTTACAATTATTTAATGAGATATTTTAGATTATTGTTCATAAATAACTTAAATAACTTTACTGATAATAAGTCTTATGTTTTAATATAGTAACATAATATACACACTGTAAGAAAGGCATAGAGTGGAAAAATGAATTGAATGACGGGAGGGGGTCGAAAGATGTAATAAGATTATTTATTTGGAGTTTTGTATATGCATTGTATATTATTTTAGACATATATGCAAAAAAGTTGTAATATTTTTTCTTCAAAATAATAACTAATTTAAAAAAGGACAAGATTATATTTCTTATTGGTATTATGAACATATACGTCAACTACTGACTTAAAATATTTTAACATGAAACAGTTAATAAACCAATTACTTGACATAACAAAGAAAAATCCAAATTAAAAAAAAAACAGCTGTCTAGTTGAAAAGAGAACCCACTTTATTTTATTTATTTTATTTTTTTTTCATGTGGGACAAACTTATTTATTATACAAATATATTTTATTATTGTTATTACTACTGAGCGTACATTTCATATAATACTTAACAGATAATTTCCCAATAATAATGAAGATTTAATGAATAGATTAAAGGTTGTACAAATGACTAAATTATAATAATTATTATTAATTTTTATAAAGAAAACTAAGAGTTAAGCGTAAATAGGTCATAAAAAAGTTAAAGACTATTTCTTGAATTCAAGTTAGTAAGAATGGAACATGTGGAGTCATATTGTAACATGTGTGAATGCTTTTTATTTCTTGACGGAGTGTGAAAACTGTTTGACATTATTGAGAATTATGAATTAATTAAATTGACTGGCTTACATACCGCTCTGCGGGTTCTCTTCAACTAGGATTTGAAATAGAAAAATAAATATGGGTACTATGAATTTTGATTGAGTATTCAAGAAAGTAGAATAAAAATAAAAATTTGCCAAATGATTTTATTCAAAACACATTTTTAACTGATCTATTATTGTTTTGATTGGATTATGTAAAATGTAAAAAAACAGTTATACGTTATATTTATGTTTTATTGTCAAAAAAATATTTGAAACAAATTATTGTATTAAATGTAAAATATTTTTGTACGCAGTGAATGTTTGACATTATCCTACCATGGCAAATCGCACTATTCCTGCCATTGTCCAGGCCTAAACTAATGTACAAAAGTGAAAAATGTTTTTGAAAAAAAAAATCGTATTAATGAAACTGGAATAGATGAATATAACAAAATGAAATAATGGAAAAATACAATAAGGAACATTAGTGGATGAGCAACATATTATAAAGGCAATGTTTATTTTCAATTCTTGTATACAACTGAAAGCACTTTTTTGCACAAAAGCTTATTGAATTTAATAATAATACAATACGGCTTAAGGGGGATACTAGTGCCCCAGCCACAAAATGGGGTGGGTGAACTCCCTGATGTAGATAGACCCTAGAGTCAGCACATCGGGGAGTGACAACCCTTTCAGGGAGAAAGTCCAAATAATAAAATACTGAAGTTAAAATTTCCATTTTGTATAATTTATAAAAGTTTAAAACTCAAACTGGTTTTTCAATGATACAGTTGAGCAGTAATCACTCAGTAATCAGATATACAAGTAATCTACGAGTACATTGTACATACTCTACTGTCTACATTGCCTATACTCTGCCTGGAATAGGAACTTAAAATAAAAATTTATTGTTCAAAAAACATAATTAAATTGAAAAGGTATGTGTAGGATATGCAATAATTGCTGATTATTGGCGAAAAGTATTCAAATTGTTAAATAAATTTTTCAAGTGAATGTTATTTTACTACATTTTGTTCAATTTATTTACTGAAGTATGTGATAATTGCAGAAATATACCAATTAACCAGATTTCTTTGTAATATTCAATTTAAATTCAAAGCATACTTTCCAAAGGAAATGTTTGTAAGTGTATACTATGATGTATAAGAAAAAACATGCCATAATTTGATAATGGTAATAAAAGAAATGTATTTAATGTGCAACTGGTTTATAATAATTGGCTACAATTTTCTTTGTGCTTTCCAATTCTGAATTTACCAAATGTGTGGAAAAAAACAAACACTTTTTTCCGAGAGAAATAGAAATTAGATACCTAGGATAATAGTGAACAGAGCAGTCACTGATTATTTTGGGACAGTCATATTGCACTAATGTGCCTAAAAATTGGAAGTTAGAATCCTGAACAATTCTGAAAAAATAATGCTGAAATAGCTGGCATCTGTATGCTGAGCTCAAAAATAAAATAAAATCATATCCCAAGCCTTCAATACTCCTATAAAACAATAGTTTTATCCTTCTGAATTGCAGGGTCAAAACTGTGGGATTTGCTTCCCCTTGTTTCAGGTCCATGACAGTGTTTTTAAAAACTACATGAATCATCTTCTTTTCTTCCTTTCCTATTCCCCATATTTTTATCTTATTACTCTTTCTGATTGTCCTTTTTTAATGTGGTTTCATCATTTGATTATAAATAATAATATTTTAAAGAATATATTATTTTCATTACTTCTTTGTATATTTTATTATTATTGCTAATTGTTGGGTGTAGGCCAGGAGTCGTGGGTTCGAGTCCTGCTCATGGCACTAATTTTTTGTCTCAACCACACTTTACATAAAAATTATAAATCAATTTAAATTATAACTTGGTTAACTAGGACATACTAAAAAACATATAGATTATTGTGCGTTAATAATTTTGTAGTCAACAATTTCACATAACACCAATATGACACCACAAGAATAGCACCACACTTTATGCCCTGAAGATGACCCGAATAAAGGTCGAAACGTCGGCAAAAAAAAATGAAAAAGGTTTTTTTAAAACTACCTCATTCTTGACGATCCTCACGAATCCAGCAAATGTATAGATTATTGCTAATATTATTATGTTTTTAAAACAAAAATTATGTGAGAGCTTAAAGTCCTATTTGTACCTTTACAATAAGAAAGTTTTTGGCGAATTCATATTTTATTGAATTTTTAAAAGCAGATCACACCAATCTAACGCCTTCTGATCAAAAGGAAAGAGCAGTTCGGACTTCGGCGCATGGACTGACAAAATTGACAATTGACGTATCGATACACCGATCGATACATTAATCAGAAGAGATGTCGACACTTGTTCATTTTCTTCTGAAAAACAAGAAGAGCGTAACCTCAAACGAACAAGCTTGCCCGACCGTTTTGTCTGTTTGTTTACTTGTTAAATACACGGGAAAAAGCGCCGTCTCAAACAGTAAATTCATGTTGAATGTCTAGTTTGTTTTTATGGTGTGGAACCGCAAGAAAAGACCATCCCGTTCCTAAATTAATACGAATTGTGTGGTGACAGTTCTGTATTTTGCAATGGAAGTCGACGATGACATTATGCACGAATTGGAGGAAGGAGAATTAATCGACGAACAGACAGCGACCACTAAAATCGTACGTTAAATTTATTTATACATATTTTGAATATAACCCACAAAGCAATTTTGTTTCATGAAAATTTCAATTTTTTCTACACTGATTGTTTTGAACCCAAAAATCACTACAGCTTCTAGAGTCAGTTTTATAATAATACTAATAAATGCATTTTATTAATATTCACAATACAAAACATCTTTTTGTTTCACAAAGCGTTACAACTACATGGACTACATAGTGGGTAGAGCTGCCCTTCCATTGCGTGAAAATCTCTAAACGCGAGAATCACTCACGAAACATTTCGCAACATAGAGGTGAAACAAGGTGTGCCACCAGTTTGCACGGGACAAGCATGTCTACACCTATGACAGAATCAGCGTTTACTATCAAGGCGACTTTATGTTAAGATTGAAAAGAAAAACATACAAAGAAAATAGCAGATTTCCTTCCATGCATCCTCTATCTTGTTTTTATTATGTTTAGCTTCCGAGAAAAATCAATAGCTCCATACAGTTGTATAAGTTGAATGTAGGTTCATTCTGAAGCTCGAGACACGTGTGCGTATACACGGAGAGAAACAGAAAGCCCTTTGACATCCTGTCAGCTCATACCGAAACATCCTCGCGCCAAAAGTTTTGGAGCCCCGGCTACCCCGGCCAAGTTTTGCGAAGCAGTTGCATGAGTGATTTTCACGCATTGGAAACCGAGCTTAAGTGTTGATTCAGATGTGTTTAAAAAACAAAATTTAAAAATAAAAATAGAAATATAAAGTTCCTAACTAAAAGATGAATTCTTTGATTAAAATTTTTCTAAAATTATACGTTTGCAGCAGATACTGACTAAATTTTCCCAGTTGCTACCATTCAAATAATTAATAAATTCTTCCCATTCCAATGTTATTTTTTGAAACAGTAGCAGTTTAAGATTATTCATTATCAGATGACATAATGATAAATAGCTCTGCATGGAGGCCAGATACTATTGTTCGTAGATTGTCTGAGGTTGAAAATCCGGTCTACCGATTCTCTAACTGTTGGCAACAAAGTATAATTGCCCTTAAAACTGAAGTCGTGTTTTTCTTGAGATGGCACATATTTCTAAGTGATAAAGTTATGGTTAGCGATTGTCATGTAGAGTGGTCTGAGAAAACTAAATACCTAGGTATAACCATAGACAAAAAACTTAATTTATCAGTCCGTATAAAGGAAATTTAGCCACGGCATGAGCATAAAAAATAAACTACTTACATACAATCAAATTGTAAAATCCGCTTTACTTTATGCATGCCCTGCCTGAAATGACACATGCACCACAAATATTGAAAAAATCCATGTATTGCAAAATAAATTATTAAGGTTTGTCACCATCTCACCTCGATGCACTACAATCTACATGATGAAACAAGAATGAGCTGGTTAAAATATGAAATCAAACGCCGCACTGAAATTTTTTTTAAATAATGGCATAGCATAAAAATCCCACATGTCGAAATACAGGCATTGACAACCTTTATCATCCCTGGAAGCACAGAAGAATAAAACATATCCTAATGTAATAGCTTTTATATTAACATTTATTAATTTACTTGTCAATTTATTGTTCCTATAGTTTACTTTTTAAGTTTTATTGTGAATTTTTTTATTTACAGTTTGTTACTGAACATATGCCTAGTTTGGCTCTTAAGCTCTTTACGATATTAATTAATTTATTGGACATTAGTTAAGCACACAATGTACCTGATAGCTAAAATTCTAAGTTAAATAAGTTAAAATTTCTTTATTACTCTTTGTTTATAGTTTTTTGTTTAATTTTTCCACAACATGCACTTCCATACTTATTAAGTATTATGGATGTCTTGGTGTTCTAAAAGTTGTTTATTTATTTTTTTAAACTAGGCTATTTCAACCCTCAATGAACCTTTGGAGTGGATTCCATAAATTGGACCTCGGGATCCAATAATCTATTATCCCCAGAACTGGACGGTGGCAATGACATGCACATCTTTCTGTGGTAACCGCCGAAATGCAAAGGCGATCTGCATATGATAAATGAAAAAAGAGAGGATCCGGGTGGTGCATAAGGGCTTCCTCTTGTGGGGTTTGGTGGGGCGTCCTCCAGATGTGGCTGTGGCTTCAGGCCGATGCAAAAAAAAAAAAGTTTACATTACAGTGATGTATGCCATGTCAACGGTTTAGGTGCCTGAACTGTTGCGTCCACTGAAAGTTAGCAAATATTGTTACAGGATGAAATAGTGTCCTGCCATTTTCCCTCCCTTTATACAACAAATCAATCAAATCAAGCTTCCGTATTGCACAAGGTACATTTCTGCTGATCCTGAGGTCTACCAGTGAGTAATTAAGTTGCAATAATTCACTCTTAATCTTAAATATTTTAGCCATAAAATACCCAGCTTGATATGATTGATGATTTAGCGTATCGTCACACTGTTCCCAATGTTGTAATCATCCTGGTATTATCCCAGTAAACAATTTATTGATTGTATCAGAAAACTAAAAATGCCTCGATAATTCTTTGCCAAATTAATATTGCCTTTCTTATGTAGAGGGAGATTTAATTACTGATTTACTGAAGCTTTCTGGTATTACAGAATTTTCAAAAACATGATTAAAAAGTTTTAGCAGTTTATCTTTAAAATTGTCCAGTGAATTAGCAGTTTATTTTAACATTTGAATTGTTAAATAGGATGAAGATAAGAAAATACTCAGGGCAAAGCGTTTTGGAATACCTCAAACAGAAACGACCTCAACCGACCCAGAAGTTGCCGCTATACAGAAAAGGTAAAACAAAAAAATTAAATTAAAAAAAAAAATTGTTTGTATAATTTCTTCTAAATTTTAGAATGGGAGTCGATAAGTACACTAGGACTGAAGCGCTTCACTTGCTTGGAACTGAAACGATGAAGACCGAAGACGTTTTTTCATATTTCTCCAACAACAAACCGGCCTCGATAGAATGGATCTCAGACAACTCATGTAAGATAGTCACACTCTTGTTAAAAGGCTCAAAATAATTTGGTGCATCATTGTAGGCAATGTTTTTTGGCTGGACGATGCAAGTTGCGCCAAAGCTCTACTTGAAAATTCCATCCACATCAAGGGGCAGAGCGGATTTGCAACTGAAACAGTGAGTTTTTCTACATTAAACATGGGCAGGTCGACTGCTTGGAGTTACAGTGGTAAATGTTGATAATGGTTGTCTCCATATTAAAAATTATAGTAGTTTGTATTGGTAAAATTTCAAAGGATGTTTTTGTATGCTTTAAATTAAAAAAAATTAAAAAAATAATTTTCAATAAAGGCAATCACTTTCTCATTGTACGAAAGTTGCAAGTAAAATATTTACATGTTTTTTTATTTGAAGTTTTAAACAAAACATAGCAAAGTAGAACCTCGCAGAACCAATTTAAAAAAATATTGAAATAGTTGGGATTTCCCTCTTTTGCACTTAAACGTTTGTGTCTTGTCTCGTGTCCACTATAAAGGGTTAGAATTCCCTAATTAGATTTAAAATGAATAACGTGCAATTGATTGAATTGAAATTTTATATTAGCTAGCAGCAAAATGCTAATTTATTTTCGGCATTGATTTATGTTAATTTTAAGTGGAAAATGATGCATGGATGAAGAAATATGCATGTACAAGAAACGTCATAATAGGAATGTTTTTCATAAAATTGATTGTACACTTATTTTTACCTGAAAATTGCAATCAGTGGAAAATTTTCAAAATATAGTTCTCTTTATTAATTTTCCTTCTTTAAATTAATGGTTTTAGTTACAGAATCAATTAAAATTTCTAATTAAAAATATTTTAATTTATCAAGGTTGCGCTGTATAATTTTTAAAATTAATTAATCCTCAATGAAAACTCTCTCCCTTACTGTTTATTATTATCACTGATTATTTAACAATGCAAATTTCCTCTGAAGAATTTACTAGCAAAATTGTTTTTACATGAGCAATAGTGAATTAAATGTGTAGAGATTAGTGACGGTTAATCGATAGTTATTCAGATATTGTGAGATGCGGTCGGGTGTGATGTAGGTTTCAGAAAAACATTTTATAAGATAAAGAAAATGTTTTTCTGAAACCTACATCACACCTGACCGCATCTCACAATATCTGAATAACTAGTGAATTAAATTTTTAGCATAGATAAACACAAATACTGCAAGCGGTAAAAATAACAGGAATACTGACTCACATAGTATTTTTCTTCTCCTTCCATTAACCCTGGATATTTATTTACATTTGATTATTCATCCAACATTGGTTAACAAATATTCATTTTTCTATGATACACTGAATGATGAATCTCATAAATCCAATAATAATCTAATTAAATTATTAGTTATTATTATTATTATTATTACATATGATTAAATTAATGAACAAGCACAAAAAGTGGAAGGCAAGACTGAATGAGAAAAATTATCCAATGTACATTTACACTGAAATAACATCTCAACCTCCACTGTTCATCAATAACAATGATCTACCAACTTAGGACTTACCATACTTAGGACTATACCAAAATGGGAGATTGAGGTGGAATCCTCACACTTGACTTAACAGAGGACTTGAACTACTACGATGGATGGAAATCTGTTTTGACCATCAAAACTTAACTAACTCTGTTAACTAATACTGTTACCACTTTGGATATATGGAGTGGAACTGTGGGGTTCCACCAAGGCATTTAGTTCCAGTGCATCCAATCTCTCCAATTAAAAATCTTCAGATTACTAAAGCTCCTTAATATGTCACTAACCTCACTGTTCACAATGACCTCAACATTCCTTTTGACAATGAACTGATCAGATCCCACTTCTGAATGTTCCACACCAGACTCTCAATCCTTTCTAACCCTATTACCCAAGCCTTCTCTGCACTTTTCCTATCCTAAGACACCGAAATGTGGCCTCAAGACCTTGCCATTTAATCCCTCGTATTAATTAAGTGCAAGCATTGGTTGGTTTCTCTTAACTGTTTCCTCCGGGTGAATCACTAGCCATTATGTAAACCCATATTCACATATCTGTAATATGTACAGGCTACATATATTTTTTCTTCTAAATTATACTCAATCACAGTTCCTGTAGTTAAACCTAGAACTACTTAAAGTCTTAGAAAAAATATATATTTATAACTTCTTTAATTCAGCAAATTTCTGTATGATAATGAGTAGATAAACTTGCAGATGATTGTTTATGTTATTAATTGAAAATCTTTGCATAATAAAAAGAAATCAGTAGAACATGATAAAATTAATCTGTATGAACGGATATGCTGTATGTATGGGCAGTCAAGTTAGTTTAATTTGTACATTGTTGGCTGTAAAAGTGTTTGACTCCTCCTCAACCCTCAACTACACTTTAAAAAAAAAAAAAAAAATTGAGTGAAAAGATCATTCATTTAAAACTGAGATTTGCTTGTTTCAGGAAGAGGTGCTGGGAGAAGAGAGTATCCATATTCAGGATATAAGAATGACTCTGCCAGCTGGAATCTGGAGGAAAGGTCATCCGTACCTTCTTGCCAATAATTTATTTATGAGATATGCGAAATACTCTGATAAAAAAACATTTAAACAGGGTATTTTTTAAAAATAATTATGCCTTATTTTGATTCCACATTACTTATTCATTTTGATTTCAGATTTTGCAAGAAAGTCAAAAGTTTTTCTTGACGAGGGTGATGAAGTGGCGAAAAAACTGAGAGTTGAAAGTAGCAATCCTTGGGTCGACATCGCTCTACAATGGGGACATTATGAACACAAAAGTAATATTACAATTTTATTTTATTGTTGCAAGTTCGTATTTTATTATTTGCAAAATCTAAGAATAGTAAATTTGGCATAAAAATTGAAATTACAGAAAATAAATATGTATGCAACTTTAATCATGATTACAAAGTATCATTACAAGACTTCCAGTGATAATAATTAATTATATTTCATTCAAATATGAAATTTTGGCTTGTAATAAAGGTGCAGCTCAGAAAGCAGTTTTCGAGGCGATTCCCATTCTACCAATATGTGATGCCAGGGAACTTATAAGCAATCGGGAAATTGCTAAACCCAAGAGACGCCTTCGTCAGAGAGAGGCGGATAATTCTGACAGGGATAATCCAGTAGAAGAACTGCCACTGGGAAGGATGCAAGCTGATATAGAGGAGGAGAAAATTTTAAGCCAAAAATCTATTGCTAAGTTAGTACATGAGACATGAAGTGTTAAACTTTTTTTTGTCTATTACTAAAACATTTTTTGGTTTCTTTTGTAGCAAGGTGAATACAATTGATTTGAGGGATAAGTTGGGTTGGAAAAGAAAACATAATAACGATATACCGCCCAGCAAATTGATAGACGACATGGAATTAAGATGGAAACATGCAAGAAAGAGACATAGATCGAGAGACTGGTAAATATTTATACATTTATTTACTAGCAGACTAAATAGTTTTTTAAATTATTATTATTTTTATACAGGGAATCGTCATCTGATAGTGAGAGTGACAGTGTTCCAGACGACCGTCTCGATTTAAGGAAAAAGCTTCAACGTCCTTCATCTAAGTGTAAACGACATCATTCAAAAAAAAGGCTGAAAAATTTTGTAACTTCTCCGCTAAGAATAGAAATTGACAATGATGTTTATTATGAAAGTGCGAACCGAGAATGACTAAAGAGTTCTATATGCATTGTATCGACAAAGTATATATTTTCTAATTAAATTTTTGTCCGACTAGTATGATAGAATCTGTACATATGGGTACTAACTTGTTATTGTATAATAAAAGTACAATCATTCTTAAAGCTTATTCATTTATAATTGATACTAAGGCTGTCATGGACGCCTAATGTTTTATGGAAAACTGGAATCGCTCTTGTTTTGTTCTTGGACTTTCTGGAAATTTTCTTCAGACAAACTCTCCAATTTTTTCATACGACTTTGTCTATCAATGTAGGCATTAAGCAGTTTATTCGCATTGGGATTGGCGACTGCCATTTTTTCAAAGCCCTTGTCGTCTATAAAGCAGATTAAATGTGCATCCTGCAAAAATAAATAAAATGAATAACAAAATTTTTAATTATGAAATTAGGAAATACAAGAGTGTGTGAGATTTATCTCCAGAAGCCCAAATTTAATTTATTATTATTTTTATACAGGGAATCGACATCTGATAGTGGGAGTGGGCTCCAGACGACCGTCTCGATTTAAGGAAAAAGCTTAAACGTCCTTCATCGAAGTGTAAACGTTAATACTTTACAATCATACAGCTTAAAAAATATACTTTGGTCTAAATGATGATAATTTTAAAAATTATTATTTATACAATATGACTGCTCTCGCACTAACTACGTCTGATTTTTGGATGGCCGTATACACCCAACTTAGCACAAACATTCTAGGAAATGCAACCAGCCCTTTCACACCGGAACTGACTTAAGCATGCATATATGTTCATTTTGTTTTATCTTGCAACTCAATCCCAGCAATCTGGGATTTTTTTGCTTTTGATGGAAGACTGAAGGCCTCACTTCTAAGAATGGATTTTTCATTGCATAGAAGCTTATATAATCTTTTTACAAAACTTACAGAATTAAATATAAAATATTTATCTTTTTTATATATTTGTTCTTGAAAAAGCGCACACAAAAAAAGGTATGTAATAATTAATTTCCCGTTGGTCCCATAAATCCCTCTCCTGGAAGATAATTTTTTATAGTTCATGCCTCCACTATGGGTTAGGAGGACACATTTTCACCAGTTCACAAAAAAAATCCAACTATTTTAGATCATTTCGCTTCTTGCAACTATATGTTATATTTCTGACAAATGAGATGAGTATGAAAGATGAGGGTATCTACATTCATCTGCCCACCTTTCAAGCGAATTTGCAGATTTCTGGTCCCATAGGATGCAAGTACTTAATAAACTTTTTAATGCGAAGTTTGGATTATTTGTGTCTGTTCCGTTGTAAGAGCTCACATTGTACAACTAAATTGTCCATAGTCGCAGTCAGACATGGTCGGAACCAGTGTGAGAGCAGCCTTATATAATCTTTTACAAAACTTACAGGATCAGAGAGCAGCATGAAATTAACAGCCACTAAATTGTTGACACGAAGGTGCGTAAGCGGCATCGTTATAACATTGTTGCTGGTCTTCATCGCTTCTCCCAACTTTTGAATGAACGAGAGGGGTGCAGCTATTTTTAGATAACCCTTTCCTCGATAGATTTGTTTTGTAGCTGAAATTAATTGTAGTGAGATATCGTAACATTTAATAGAATACATCCTTACCTAAGACGAATTTCAATTTGACTCCCTTAACATTATAACCGACCACAACGGATCTTTTCTTTTTGCTGAATATTAACATCCCCAATTGACAGTGCCAGTAATCGAGAGTTTTTTTAAGATTTGTGCTTCTTAGTGTAATTTTTACTAATGGATCTACAAATTAAAAAAAAAACAACTAACTATCATTAAATTTAATGTCATTTGTTTATTTGTTCTCAAATGTAGTACTAAAATTTTTATTTTGTTATAATTAATCTTTTTTTTTCACATCACAATTTTTTTTTTATAATCTCACACAAGACAACTTGGGGAATTAACTTCTCGTCCCAATGGGAGTTCAGTTATTCAGTACATACAAGAACCCGAGGAAACAGGAGCACTTCTTGCAAGAAGAGAAACAAAAAAGGGAGGAAATGAAGTGAAAGAAAAGTGTGGATTGTGACAAAATTGGGAAACGAGCGATTATCCACAATTATTACTATGCCACTTCTTTCCAAGCTTCACTCTTTTTAATTTTGTCGCTATACCCCTCACCATTTTTGATATAACTACTATCTTACAGGACTAAAGAATTTCTTCAATGAAACTTAAAATGGCAACGCTTTCTGTTTTTCTTAGTTGACTCAACTAGGCGACTGATATGACGGAAGAATACCAAGTTGTGTCTGTTGTGAGCCAACCAGTGGGCATGAGAATGTGTGCGGCATTTGTGCCTGCTGGCTGCTCAACTGGGTGGACAAGTTGACTATGTCTGAAAATGTTCGGCAGTTCAGGCAATCATTTGCTATATGACTACACTCCATGACACCCGTCCATTCAACTAGTTGAAACTGCTTTGTTTGAAAGAGTCCTTTGTCCTTAGACAGTTCTTTCTCACAACTCATCTTTTTTTTTTCTCAGATGCTTGTAGGCCACAAACTTGGCCATAATAATATTAAAATAATTTTAAAAAAATTTGTTATGGACTCAAGTAACAAAACAAAATACTCTACAGAAAAATTTGCCTGATGAGGGGACCAGACAGAGCCCTTGGAAATGTTAGGACTGAGTCGGTCTTCAAAGAAATTTGAAATCGTCAGTGAAAAATTTAATTGTATCAATTTGTAGACATATTTGAGATTGTTTTGTCCTGATGATGGCCTTAAAATAGATCGAAAGCTTGGTAGTAACAACTGAATTTGCTTTTTCATCAAGACCATGCATTATTAAGAGGATTAGAGAGCCACAAAATGCATTTAAGTCCTTTTGTTAATAAAGACTTTAATTAAACAAATTACTGGGGCGTCGGTGGCCGCAATGGTTTAGGCGTTGACACGACGTTCATCACTGTAAGGTAAAGGTCCCGGGTTCGAATCCAGCAGCCCTGCATTTGAACCCAACATACTTACAAATAGGCTTTTTTTTTTCAAAAACACCGGCACCCTGAAGGTTTATATGACCTCTGCTGTTGCGAATTCTCATTAAAAAAAATATAAAAAATAAAACAAAAAATACAAGAAGTTGGAAAAAATACAAGATAGATAAATGAAAGTACCCTACAACTATAAAAGAAAAGCAACAATAAAAAAACAACTTAATACGTTAATTTTGCAAAGATTGCAGTTTTTATATTGGATTAATTTGGATGAAGGCTAGTTTATATTATAATACTTGACTATTTCTAAAATGGTGCTAATTTTTAATACGTAGTGAATTATGTATTTTGGTGAGTTTATTACTTATAATATCCAAGCATACTAAACTCTGAACTTATTACATTTTATTTATATTAAAAGTAGTACTAAATAGGTTTTTATCACGCAGTCCAACCTCCCTCTGACCAATTTAAATTCAATTAAACTATATTTCAGTATACAAAACGATACATTTTACATAAATCAGGGCAATAACAGCAGGCAGATTTCTGATGAAATGTATCACTTTAAAATATGATTTATAAGACACTTGCCTTTGTTTGGCTTTTTTCTTTTCTTCAAGACCACAAATTGACGTCCATCTGAATCATTTAGTATGAATTTATGCTTTTTTTGATATATAGGCTCATCTAAAACTTTGGCGCGTTTCAATATTTCTGATGACTTGATAGTGAACCCGACTAGCTGATATTCCTTCAATGGTGGACCTGTGTTCATACAGCAATGCACCTCCAATGTAAAAGATTTATGCTCCGGGAAATATCCAAAAACTGTCTTGCTCCAAGCTTGTAAATATATTCTGTTTGAGAGTGACAGCTTCTTAGAAATAAATTGATGAATAATTAAATAAAATAGTTTACCCTTCGCATTTGGTGCTCTGGCAATAATCGAAATATTCCTCATGTCTAAGCACCTTTAAAATCAATAATTTTAATAGAGTATTCCATGCTACAAAAAGCAAAAATATAACAAAGTAATGTGACTTTCATTCCCAATGTGTCCCTGTAAAATGAGGCGAGATACCACGGTTGCTGTGCTTGGAAAGTGTACTGGACTATTTTTACAGACATGGTCACAAATCTATGGTCCAAAAAAAAGAAATAGTGTAATTTTGAATTTTGTTCTAAATGTATCAAAGTGGAACAGATGATGAAAAAGTTATTTAAGATAATGTCTACTACAGATAAATAAAAAATACTTTATAGGATAGTTTTACTAAAACTAAATATTGAGACAACTAAGTATAACTATAAAATAAACCCAGGACTCTGTTTTATGTTGAATATAAAGTTTTAAGCTGCAGGAGTGTAATATTTCCCCTGGGCCTAACATATAATTATAAATGTATAATTTATGCAAGTAATTTTATTATTTTCATAAATAAGCTCAATTTTGCACACCGATGTACATAGTTAAGACTCACTTCTTGCAGCCCACTGGCAATTCCAACTTGTGCCATTTTCAATAATATACTGGCAGCCTCAAGCATCACCCACGGTGTTGGGCGTCCAGGTTCATGTTTCCAAGATTGAATTAAAAAAGGCTATCAACAACTAAGTCATTTCAGACCCCAATGGAGTCAGTTTCTAAATCCAAACCCATTTACAATAACACTTTTTTTCTCAATTCTTTCCTATTTACATCCATTCACTCAATAGGGTGATAGAGTACTCGATATTCGTTCATCATCCTCCACTCATATTATATAACTAATCTAGTTGAGTATTTATGGGGTACTCCATCACTACTACATACCACTCACTATATGTTCACGCTAATAAATACATTCAATCTCAATACACATACTATGGGTACAAAACAATACATATATAGTATTATATACAATAAAACAACCTTGGGGACCGCGGTAGCCGAGTGGTTAGCATGAGAGACTCTCACGCCGCGGTCGTGGGTTCGATTCCCACCGTCGCCTCTGGCCCTTTTTTCACGAAACCCCCCCCCAAATGAACATACATACAAGAATTCGTCACCATGGCTAACATGGAATTCTTATGTGCTTTCTATATGGATACCAAGGAATTGCACCTTTCAATTAGGTTCACATGGTGCAACATTTCTTTGCACACCAGACACATATGTAGGCTTTGACCCAAAAATAAGTGTCGGTGTGTCAATGTATGCACGTTAATCATGTGAGGATGAAGCTGATCCTTCAAGTCAAATCCTCCCAGGTGACTAGTGACGGTGTTCTTGAAACGTGAGATCTTCTCTGCTGATCCAGCACACCGACACAACCACTTTTATTTTAATCATAGTCCTTGGCCATATTTAGACTGTCGGTTTTCAAAGAAATTTGAAACTACCTATTAACAATTTAAATATGTCAATTTGTAGACATAATTAAGATTAGGTATGAGTTTTGCTTGATAGTCATGGTGATGGCCAAGAAAATGAGAACTTTCAACCTCTTACTCCAAAAACTTGATTGTCAGCTCAGTAAAATTTTGGAATGAGAGGTTGAAAGTTCTCGTTTTCTTGACCGCCACCCTGACTATCAAAAAAACACATTATAGTGATACAGCTGACTAAAATGGAAGCAAACATTTAAGATTGTTTTGTCCTGACGATGACCTTCAAATAGGTTGAAAGCTTGGTAGTAACAATTGAAATTGTTTTTTTCATCCAGACCATCCAGATGCAGATTATTCGTGATTTTTTATTGTATTTTTAGCATCAAATTCCAGAAATTGGGACGTCCTGGCCTTATCCATATTTTCAATACTGTTCAGACATAATTTTTCCAGGTATCTTGGCGACAAACACCATTTCACCAAGACGATTTAGTTCATGATATCTATTTTGATATAAGTTTGTTCATTTATTTTTTTACACTTACCCGATGATTAGTTTAAATTAAGAAATGCAGTTATTCAGATATCGATTAACGGTCACGAATCTTTACACATTAAGAAATGCATTTTTTCAAAAAATAAAACGCAACAAAAGTGTTGATTTTGTAACAAAACTGCCATTCCAAAAAATTAAAATGATTTGAGTTTGTACTTTAAATTTTTATTTTCCTGACTTGGCTTTGAATTTAGCAAAAAAAATGTTTCAGAAGTGTTTATCAAATTGTTGAAGTTCAGTTGCAAACTTTGTGTTGCAAAAAAAATTCTTGAAGAAATAACTGACTTCGTTTGAATGCTGTTAAACAATTTTATAAGAACAATTTTGATAGTTTATAGATATTTATTTTTATTTATGATACAACTGTAAAAATAAATATGTTTATGTTAATTATGCTGTATTTTGCAATCTAGCACGTCATCCTCAGATGGCTTAAACAATAATTGTTAGTTTGCTTATGTTTTGTATAATGTTTCAGTGTCTTATTTGCAATTTGAACCGCAATACTTCATGGTTAGTACGTACAATATAGAATTTGACCCTGTTATGATTGAAAGAAAAAAAAAAGAAATAAATAATCCCAGAATAAAATAAGAAATACAAAATATTTTCGCTTGACGAATATCGATTGTTTGTAAAATAAAATCGAAAATTGTGCTACCCCGTTTTGACACTTCTCCCCACTTAGAATAAACAAACAAAGGATTCACCGACCCAACCCATTCGACGGAAATTCAAATCGGTGTAGACTTTAGACCATCAAGCGTTCGACACCTCTTCATCTTTCCGAAGATCTTCAGCGTCCTGCGTTCATTTCACTTATGAAGATGTGGCCAACGAATCCCACCAGCAGTTCTTCAGATTATAAGGTGTTGTAACAATTAAAACAAATATATACTTTAATTAATTCTATTAAAAAAATGTATACAATCGGATTTAAAAAAATGTGTTCCCTGCATGCTTAAAATTTTTAAAAGCATATTAATGACTTTATGACTGCATGCTAACTAATCATTTCTGCAGGAAGAAATCTAGTTACAATTTACGATTTTTAATTTTGTGAAATATTGAAAAATTCAACGTTATATAATAAAAAAATTAGCTTCGCCAGTAATTATGTTGGAATTTGAAAGAAATTTGTACGAAACAGAAAATTTCCTGTTTGTAGGGTGGATGTTACTGTGATGTTCCTCCCTCCATGACTGCTAATTTCGACTGGGGTCATAAAAGGATGCCGACAAAGAAACGCCGAAAACCATTAAATAAAAGGCGGAAAAAATAATTTCCACTTATTTTTTACCGGTGGAAAAATAAATCCCTAGTAATAACATTTAATGTCTCGATTTTTATCTTGCTTTTCCTCCCGTACAAACAATATAAGTATTAAATAAGCAAAATGATTCCTTTGTATGTTGTTTCCTCTTTATAAAAAATAAAAATCAAAGAGTTTATTTATTTTATGAGGCAATCGCAATGAGAAAATGTTGAAATGAATATAAAATTGTAAATTGGCCATTTTTAATTGCGTGTCAAAAAAGAAGTTAAACTGACAACAAAAATTCATATCCTGAGATTTTAATCTTAAACGACAAAAGATTGGATTGAATCGAAATTTTTAGACCAATCTCAAATAATAAGCAAACGCTCATCGTAAAAGAAAATTTGCGTACGATTTTGAGCTCTTTGCCTTTTTAATTTATTGACTCAATTTTGACATTTTTTTGGTCTGTTTAAAACTCGACTTATCGAAGGCAGCATTGATTAACTAATTAACCATTTGTTTGAAATAAATTATTTTGGAAAGTTCATTTTCTCAAAAGGTGAGCAAAGATCTCGTAAACGTTCCAAAATAAATTGTAAAACTAATTAAATTAATTATACGTTTTATGTAAGGTCTCGGTTGAAATGAGCGTGACACTAGCTTCTTCATCTCAACCAAGACCTTGGATAAAAAGTATAATTAGTTTAAATAATTAATAAGGTATTTTGTCTAAAGTAGTACTGTTCAAGTTATGGAACTTCACAATAAAAAATCTGTTTTTGAAGAAAATTTCTTTTAGTTCCAGCACTGTTTATTATTTTGATTTTATGGAAAGCTTTTCAATTGCTTTGCAGTCATCCTCAGCCAATTAAATAAAAAATAAAAAACTAAATTTATATTTATTTTTTTTTAAATTCAATTGGCTGAAGATGACTGCAAAGCAGTTAAAAAGCTTTCCATGAAATCAAAATAAACAGTGCTGGAACCAAATTAAGTTTTTTTTTCAAACACAAATTCTCAATTAATAAGGTTAATTATGACTAATAAATACATATTTGGAATACTTTAAAACTAATGTTTTATCAGTGCATCAATGCTTTCTTTTTTACAGGTTGAATGTTTTTTGGCATATTTTATGCACACTTGTAATATTTGTGGAAATTATATCATAAATCTATAGGAGTATTTTTCCAAAATTAAACGTTAAATCTGAAGAGTAATTATTTAATAAGTTTATATTAGTTAAAAATGTGGGTTCATTGCTTTTTCTGGAAAATGAAATTGGTATCCAGAAGAAAATGTTTAACTCAAGTTCAAAATGGCCTTTCAAAACTAAGAAGCCAAGTCTTATCTTTGCTGTTAAATCAAACTGCCTTTTAAACCGTGTGAAATTGATTTATTATAATAAATAAAAACATCAAGATAAATATTAAAAGCATTAAAACAAAGATTAATTTAAAAATTAAATTTCGTGAGACATTTTGTTAAGAAGGTCTGCGATCAGACGACTAAACTACACTTTTTTTATTTAAAAACTTACATTTAAATACATTACAAAATTATCTCTATTAAAAAAATTTGAATAAGTGTGATTAACTATTATAATTCAAATTTAATAGTTTTAAATATATCCTCATAAATAATTTTTTGTCGTAATTGGTTTTGTTCCTGTCTATTGTTTAAACTGCTTCATTTTGTACATAGTCAATGCATAATTTTTTTTTACCATTGGACAATTTCTGAACGTTATCAAATTCCAGTTGCATATTCAGGTGTAAGTTGGCCTTTTCTAGGTACTTACTGACTTCCTGTTGTTCTTGGTGCGGATTATTCTAGGTACTGAAACTTCGTCTTGTTCTTAGAACACACATAAACTGAGGAATTCGACCGAATTTTGTTGGAGAACAACAGCGGGATGGATAAAAATATTTTTATTTACTTTATTTAAAATAACGCATCGAGCCTGTTCGCTTGATAATTTTCTATAAAAAATTTGACCTGGTTTTTCTTACTTCCTTCTCCCCTTGCTTGGACACTATGACAACGCCTCCACATCTTTTTCTTTTTCTATATAATTGTCGGCCGGACCTCTTCAAGGATTTTCCTTCTTGATTGCTTCAACGAAAGACCTGACCTCAAATTTATTCGGAAAATGATCAAAAGTATAAATTATTTATCGTGAGGACGATAAATAGTAGGGGCCTCTCAGTTCCTCAATAAAGGCCGAAACAATCTGACAGGAGAAAATTTTCAACTTCGCTCCTGTGCCTTGAAAAAACACAAAACGAGTTTACGATGCTGAAGTAAACAAAAAAGTATGATATTTAGGTATGTTAGGCATTTGTTGGTATTAATTTAATTATCTCTGTAATATTTTAGTGGAAATTGTACAGGTCAGTACATAACTGGGCTAGAAGATTATGTAAACCCAACATGAATATATTTGTCTGGATTGGTTTTCCTAATCTCATCTTTGTAAATATATTGTCAATATTAAATTATTGCCCTAGTATCTGGGCTAGGAAACAGCACTTAACACGATGTGCTGTTTGACCCGACCTGCGACAAGGAGTACATCCTGCGAAGAACTTGTGCCAGCCATTGGGAATCAGAATGAAAGAAATACTGGCGGAAATTTCTAGAAATTAGGGAATAGGAAGAGGAACAGTAGATTCCTCATATCCTGTACAGGTCGATACGATGGACAAAGAAGAAACCCCCTCATATGTACATAAAGCATCAATTCCTGGCCCTCAAAGAGTTCGACAATGCAATATTTATATATATACAGATGGTTTGAGGGACAGTGATATGGTCGGCAGCTTGTGGTATATTGGGAGGGATACACCAATTGAGTTGATTGTCTGCGCTGATCTGCTGGGTGCGGCCAAGATATTATATGCACAGACTCATTTAGTGTGGTTCTTAGCCATTTGTGATATCTTCTACAAGGATCAATTAATCTAGGTTAAAATTAACAAAGAAGTTATTACCATGAAGGTAAGCATAGAAGAGAATGCTGACCACACAGCAACAAGGCCACATAACCCAGAGACTCTTGTGAGACAAAAATTTGTGCTGGGAAGATTGGCAGTACGTTGGGCCATAGTGACCAACAAATTATGGCAGAACATTGGGCTACAGTGACTGACAAATTGAAAAAATGAAACTCTGTCAAACCATGGGCCATGGAGAGGATGGATAAAAAAACAAGTGTTGACTCATCTGTGAATAGGCTACACTAGACTGACGCATGGGCATCTCCTAATTAACAAAAGGCACGGATATGTTAGTTATTATTATGTTATATTAAACATATCCTGATAAGATTGTGCAGAACAATGTGTGTCTTTTCTTTGACTCTAAAGAGGTACCAAAAAGCAGTGAAGAAAGCAAAAAGATGATGGAATACATGAAGAGGATAAATGCATTTGGTAACATTTGATGCTTTTCCAAATAAAATTTTCCTACCTGAAATGAATGTATTTATTAGTGTGTATTGTTGAGTATGTGTGGGGGTGATGTGGAATATTGAGTACCCCCCAGACCAACTAGGCTAGTATTTTTCTATGACTGTTTTGTGTTCTTAAACAGAATAAACATATTTATTAGGGTAAGTTCTGGGCATGTGTGGGTGGGTTGTGGTGAAATATTGAGTACCCCATAGATCCATCAAACTAGGTTAGCTTTAGATTGCGTATTTTTAGACTGAATGGAGGGAGACACGAGCATAATATTATTAGCCCAGTGGCTCGGGCTTCCCAATTTGTAGCTGTACATACGGTATGAAAGGTTATAATGAGTATGAATGTATTTTTTAGCGTGAATTAAGGCAGGCCTTCAGCAGAATATCAAGTAACCTGAAACCCACCAAACGATGGTTAGGCTAAGTTTGAATGCATCGGTATGCATCAGTTTTAAACAACGTGTGGAGTGGCTACATTCGAGTAGAAATAAAGTCCAGGAAGTTTTATCAGAAAGTTCACCACCCCTCATTCTTTTTATTGGAAAAAATATATTTAGGTATAAGTAGTAGCATTCTTTTAAAAATAGGGGAATGGGTGTTTTTCATATAAAGATATGAGTTTATCTTTATATGAAGTGATATCATATAAAAAATCTTTATAAGTGATATCATATAAGATATGATGATAATTTCAAATCTGTTGCAATGTTTTTTAGGACTGTAAACCAAGCTTGGTGCCATCTCCAAAAGCCTTACCTGGTCATGATGGGGTCTTTGGTTCACAGCCTGTTCCAAAAGATTTACAGGCAAGCTATCAAAGCAGCCTACGACCACGAACCTGCTCGGCGTCCAGCGGAGACAGTTACTTCGTAGATTCTTTATCCTTTGAGCGACTTAGCATTTCTCCTCCAAACACTTTGCCCCAAAACGAAGATAACATTTTCAGTGCGAACCGATCAGGCAGTCAAGATAATTTTCTTCAGTTTAGCCTGTTTGGAGAGCAGTCTGAGAACATCATGAAACATGCCTCGGACGTTCAGAAAAGTATTCACACAAAACTTTTCGATTTAAGTATGTAATTGTACACTTTCCAAATCGTTGAATTGTAATTTAAAACAAATATTGTATTATTAGTAGAGCAGCCGAGGGACTGTAGCATCCTTCGTAGAGATGTCGTAATTGGGTCTGAAAGTGAGAGGATGCACAGTGAAAATAAATACAAGAAACCCATATTACCTGTACCCATTTATCCTGATGAAATTACAAATGAAAATATAGCGAGTAATGTTCAAGCTTCTCATGTTCAAAACCCAAAGATAAAATCATCACCTTATGGTAGATAATATTAAAGAGATAATTGTTAAAAGTTTGTATTTAACTTTTTTTGTGTACAGGACTGTTTTGCTCATTCTGCTATTCAAACAAAGAGACAGAATTAATGTTCAAAGGACATAATTTAAGAACAAGAAATAATTCTGGTAGGAATGTTTTGTCATGCCCTGTTCTGCGGCGGTTAGTATTTTCATTTATTCACAAAAATGCGATAGTCCATTTGATTTAACAAATCCTTAAAGGGAATTATTTTTTTCTTTTCATTTTTTAATTTAATCACTTGTTTGTTTACCGATTATTATATATTAATAAATTTCAGGCACGTGTGTGAAAACTGTGGCGCTACTGGTGATTTTGCTCATACTTTGACCCATTGTCCTTTGCTGATTAAACAACTCGGCCAGAAACCCAAAGCACTAGCGAATACTTTAAAGGACACCATTCGTGACGCAGCTGGCCGAGTTCGAAAAAACACTTTCAGCTGAGTTCTTATTTTTAAAAGTTACAATCTTATTTATCAGTGAATGCTCTGTTAAAATAATAAAACAAAAAGCCATGTCATTACTGCATCTTGAAATTACAAATTAACCACCCACAATATATTTTTAAAATTGTAATATCTATTAAAAATTTTTGAAACAATCACAATTTGTAATTTGCTACAGTAATATTTTATTTTCATTATAATGATGTAATATGTACTTAATAAATGTAATCAGTATTACATTTTAAGTTTTGATTGTCCTCCATTGTCCGCTTACTAAAAGAATATTGAAAGTATGTTTTACCAAAATAAATAATAAACTTCATACATAAAAAAACAATACAAATTAATCTGTCACTTAGTTAACAATATTTGAAAAATCAATTGTTCTGAACTTTATGTGTGGGATATACATCACAGATAGTTTTTATTTTATGATATGTAGTTCTGTTCTTCTTTTTTTTTAATGTATAAACTTTTATTATTTTTAACAAGACACATTTATTGTTGTACCCATTTAGTTTTTAAAAAGTTCCATTTTTAAATATTTTCATGGATTTTAACAATTATTCGTGTGAATTTATTAAAACAGTACATACCATGCGAGTATAAATGATTACATTCTAGGTAAAAATTATACTGCTGTGTGATAGATTTGAAATTTGAATTTGTAATCTGGTAGGCTTGGCCAAGTTGTGCATCAGAAATCTGTTGCCGTTTATAATATACCTAAGTGCACATAAAAAAATAAAATCTTGTTCTTTTAATGTTTTCTTAGCTTTTGGCACAATGATATCCTTCATTTAAAACCGACAACAGTAAAGTAAAAGTTAATTGTGGAATGGCACTTTGGTGTAGTCCAATTACATACAATTGTGTTAAATCACTTAATTTTTTTTTCTTTAGTGTTCAAGATCACAAATATGACCACTATTTAGTAATACTATAACTATTGGTCTTTTTTTATTGTTTGTTGAAAACTTAATGGGTTTAACCTAAAGACTACAGACATGCAGGATTCGCCCAATGTCAAGCAAAGGTTGGCTGACCCCTGAGTAGATGGGTCGGTTACGAACTGACCAACAACAGTCAGTGTTCATCTCGTTTGGCTAGTTGTCAGTTTCTGTGTTCACTTCAAAGTGCACAAATGATCACTGGGTGATTGTACAAACCCTGTATGTGTGTATTCATAAGAACACTGGCAAATGCCAAGCATCTTGTCACTTGGCAAATATTTGACATTAGACAAATCCCATGTGCCTGGAGCCACCTTAAAAAGAAAATAAATTTAAACAATTGAGGTTTTGTTCACATTTGTTATATTTATTTGTTTAGAGAAAATAAATTTCAACAAGGTTCTAGGTATTTGTATAAAATATGAGTTAGGGGTATGTTTATATTTTCATTTAAAGGGAAAACGACAGAGTGAGAAACACACGTCCAACCCAAAGCAACAATGGCCAAATTATTTTGATAAGTTAGACAATTTTGAGACAATCTGTCATACACAATTTGTTAAATTTAAACACTACACGTATTTTGGCACATATAAGAAATTTCTTTAGCCAGTTTTCAGTTTGTTATGAAAGAATGAACAATGTAAAATTGAGTATAATTGTGCTGTAGCAAAAGTTAATTTTTACAGATGAAAATATCAGTTATAAAATTAACTACCTTTGGAAAAACAAAAACATACAAAAATAAATACATTTGCTAAACTCGAGAAACGTGGACCAAAAATATTTGTTTACCTATTGAATTTTAAAATTGTTCAGCTTTTAGGCAGAAACTTTAAAGAATGAGAAGATGGGATGCGATTTATTTGGAATGTACACATATCGTCCAAACTGTGCCTCGGACCCTTGTAATAGTACTGGTCTTGCTTCTTAGTGTTGTGTGGCTTCAGTGCTATTGGCGTTTCTGGGTCCAGCCCTAGCCAACGCAAAACCGTTTTTGGATTCTCAGCAACGAACAGTCGGCAGCTGAAATGTAATTATTAACAATTTTAGCTGTACAATTTTTTGCAACATTTTACAATAGATTAAGGTATTGGTTGAGATAAAAAAGTCAGTCACAAGCAGGATTCGAACCCATGACCTTCGGCTAATTACGCCGCTGCTCTACCACTTGAGCTATCGTGACTTCAATCCACTCGGACACTAACTTCCCATCTCAACCCCACCTTTTGAATTTTCCCTCCTTGAAATGGGAAGTTAGTGTCCAAATGGATCTAAGTCACAATAGCTCAAGTGGTAGAGCAGCGGCGTATTTAGCTGAAGGTCGTGGGTTCAAATCCCGCTTGTGACACTGACTTTTTTATCTCAACCAAAACCTTAATTAATTAAAAGAATTTATTTGGTCAAGCGGACCATGAAACCTAATAAAATTTTACAATAGTTGAGGGAAAAATGAACATAAATGCAAATAAAAAGACGAGTTTAATCAGTCAAATTATAGTGCTGGGTTGCAAGAAATGAAATTATTTATTATATTGTCCTTTTTTTCAAATTGTTTAATACCTGATAATATCTAATGAAGTATCAGTCTGAGTTTGTGCGTCTATTTGGTGGTACAGATGGTCAACAAGGTGGCCTCTGAATATTTCTGGAGGCTGAGAAGACGATCTAAGTATTTCGGTCGACATACCGTAACTGGAGTATGGCAGGTTTGGATTCGAGTGTGCAGGCAGTGGATAAGGGTACCGGCTCGCTGCGGTACTCGTAGCACTTAATTCTTGTAGAGCATGTATGGCATTACGGACCTAAAGAAACAACTTGTTAATCTAATGACAATGAAGAATTGAACTTGTGAATAACTTTTAACCTAAGTGTTCGCAAATGATTTTAGGATGTAGAAAAAAGTTTTATAATTTTTTAAAATTACACATCAAATGGGACTTATTATTTATATAAAATAATAATACACAAATAAACTCTTTCAGTTTTGGGTTAATAAAAAGTAGATTTACTCCCAAATTCGTTAATCTATATTATTTATTTGGGTGTTTATTTCCTAACACTTTTATATTAAGTAATTTATCTGCGTGCAATTAAATTAAATTGATAATGAGTATAATTAATAACAAAAGTATGGGTGTCTAGCATTTATGCACCCAAAATTTGAGAATAAACCACAGGATTCCATATTGGTTGAACACCACAATGGTCATACCCCTGGTCACAGATGGAGCACTAGTATGGTGGCCAAAAAAAACACCAAGGAAACGGAACAAGCTACAAAGTCTTAATATAACAGGGGCAATGCATACCTGCCCCGATACCATTTGAAAACCACACTCGACCTTCCACTTTTACATAATTATAGGCAAAAGTTGGCTTTTGAGAGTGCTAACACACTATTGAGATACACAGAAATAAAGCCAGATCTGAGTCACCACAAAATTCTGGAGGTATGGTTGTATGCAATGGTACCTGAAAAATGAAAAAACCTCAACTTTGACAGACCTTACAAGTGGTCAAGATAATGGAGGCCTTTGGAAGAAAGGGAGTTTCCAGTTTCAGGAAGGGGCCCTAATATGGTACAGAGTTGGATCAAAGATGGAACAAGGAGTAAGTGTAGGGAATACCTTGGACTAACGCCATTGATTTTCCTTGCAATAAAACTGCACAGGAGTTAAGAAAGAAAAATATGAAAGGTGTGCACATTTACATACTCTCAGATTGTCAGATAGCTATAAAGGTACTAAATGCATATGCTTTCAGGTCCAAACTGGAAATTCCTAAATGCCTAATGGCTCTAGGGGAACAAAATTACTGAAAAGTGTTTTCCAGGACAGGAAGGTATAGAAGGAATAGGAATTGACCAACTGGCCAAAGTAGAACTGGAAAAACGGCTTGAGAAAGAAAAACTTGAGCACTGTATAAAAACACTTAAATGCAAGGCGAGATTTATAAATCTCTCAAAAATGAAGGTGAAGGATCTCCTCTTTCTCAGCAGTCTTCTTAACCTAAATAAAATGGGCAAAGCAGACAGAAACATGCCATGCCGGCTTTGTCAGAAGGAACATCGGCACATATTTGCCCAGTTACGGTAAGGGAATTCTCACACCAAGAGAGATGTGTTAAGAAGCCCTGAGAAAAGTGATTAATCTTATAAGAAAAACTACACTTTCCAAGACTTGATTTTAACCTATGCGGTTTTCACAATAGATCGGGTAGATAGGAAAGGGTTTAAAATACTTATTCGACCCCCACTGCAAAAAAGGTGTCCTTTTTTATTTAAATCCTCAGTGTAAATGTAAAGATTTTGAACATTATAATTATTTAGGTTAGTAAGCAATGATTAGGTTCATCGCATACCTCTTGACTTAGAGTTGCCACATGGTGATGAAGAGAAGACACTTGGGTATTCAGGCGTTCTCTGTTCATGTCTGAGTTTTGCCTATTCCTTAAAATTTATAATTTATTATGACAGATGTATATAATTTTGAAATAGTAAAATATAAGTAGAAACCTTGCATATTTGTGTCTAGGACTAAGGGCATCCAAAGGAGATCGGTTCGGTGGAGATAAGGGTGAATCTCCTTCTTCAGGTATATTTTCATCATCTTCACTTATTGATGGTAAGGTCAGCGATGGCATTCCGTTCATATCCGATTCCTAAATATTAAAACAAAACAATTACTTTCAGAATTGGTTGTTAACTATTAAATTACTAACTTCAGCTTCGTATCCTTCCCTCATGTTGTACGTTAAATCGTGTTGGATGTCCTTTGCGAACATCTGCTGATATTCTGGGTACAACCTAAGTACATCCACTAAACCTTGAATATTTATACACTTTAGATCACAGTATGTTAGAGCTTTAACATCACAGCTTGACTTTACTACCACTTCACCAGCTGGACCTGCACCATTGGCATTTCCAGATAGGTGCATGTTAATGTCACAACCTACAAGGTCGCCTTTTCCTGAAGAGGGACAATTGTCGCATATAAGTGACAATGAAAAGAAAATGGGAAAATAAATAGTAGTACCTAAAATTGCAACTACCATGTCATTTTGTACAACTTCCATTGAACCGTTGCACAAATAATAAAAATATGCTAGCGCATCCCCTTTGTGTATTAAGTATTCTCCCGGAGCGCAAAAGTTCGATTTGATGTGAAGCGAGAGAAGCTTTAAACAACCCTGAGAAGCAGATTCAAAGATAGGAAGCTGAAGGATTTCTCTGTGAAGGTGCATTGACACGTCACCTCTCAATTCCTCCGGGAATTCCCTCAAAGTCTGAATTTTTGGAAACAAGTAACATAAATAAAACAATTGATTAAAAAAAAAAAACATTTGATGCATACCTGGTTAATATCGATACCGTGGTTCAACGACCACATTGTTTGAAAATAATCCTGCATGCGTTGCTTCAGTACTTTTGGAACTTGATGCAACGTGAGGAAATCTTTCAAATCCCTCCATTTCGTCTGATATAGGGATCTTCTTAAATATAATCTTTGAATTATAGCAGTAACGTTTCCAAACACTACTGCGTGCATTAAGGCTAAAACAAAAGTAAATAATAATTTGTTACCGTTATGAGAATGTTACATCCATACCTCCTATCAGCATTGTAATTATGCTGAATATTTTTTCGTAACTGGTATTTGCAGAAACATTTCCAAAGCCCACGCTCGTCAAAGAAGAACATGTGAAATACAACGCTGTAACGTACGATTCAGATTTTGATACGTTGTCTATGTCTACTTTCAGTCTCTCGGCGAGAGCATGCAACCAGCCTAAAATGCAAATAAATCAATAATCTTCCTATAAATAATAAATGTTTAAACATTATGATTAAAATGGTGCATTAAATGTACTTTTAAATTTATTTATTGGTTTAGTTTCTGAAATAGAAAAAGTTCGTTGAATAGGAAAAATAGAAAAATACCGATTTAATGCACAGTCTTGATGCCATTGACAAGAGAAACACTTCAGACGAATATTTCATAAGATATTTTTAAGTACTCACCTAGGTTCCAGTCATTATTGTAACGAGCCCTTTCTTTTTCAGCAATGACAAACCAAATACAGGCCAACCAGTGCGCCACCAAAGTAAATGATAACATCAACAGCGTCAAGATCATGGCACTGTATTGAGAATATCTGTCCATTTTCTGAAGCAGCCGTGCGAGTCGCAACAGCCTTGTCAGTTTAAGAAGATGAATTTGCCCATGTCCTGCTTGCTAATCAAACACATACAATGGCATTATGCAAAATAAACATACGAATTTCACAGTACCTCGCCACTATAAACATCAAAGGCATAAAGCAGATCAAAAGGGATTGCGGCTAAAAGGTCAACAATAAACCATCCTTTTAAATAGTTAATGGCGATGGAACTTGATTTTGAGACAACTTCCCCTTTTCTATTTACAAATGTCGTTCTGAAGTTGAGTATTATATCTGAAACAAAACTACATTTGAAATCTTCCCATATTGAAATCGTTCAAAGATAAAGAATCAAGGTAGTTCCAGCAGGCAAAGGGTACATGCTCAAGGGATCTTGGCTTTTCAAGAAAAGATTTTTAAATTTGACAGAAATCTTTTTCTAACAGTTTACTATTTGTTGTGAACCTGAAAGTTGGGAGGTGAACCCTAAAACATTGAAGCCAAGTTTTCCATCTAGTTAAAAAAACGTTTCAACTAGTTTAGAGAAACGAGTCATATGAAAGTGTCATTGAGGTTTAAGCCACAAAAGTAATTGGTCAGAGGGTACAATTAGCTGATATTATCACCTTGCTTTATTACTAAAATAAAGTCAAAAGGTTCAGGTCAAAGGAACTTTAATTCTTTGTTTTTCAGAAAAAATATGTTGGATATATTTACAATGTCTTTTAATAAAAGCTCAACCTTACATATAGAACCCTATCATAAAAGGTTCGAATGTAATAAAAATTTATGGATGATTACACACAGTCCTTGGCAATGTTGGTACCGAGTCGTATTCAAAGAAATTTGAAACTATATTAAAAACTTAATTATGCCAATTTGTCCATCCAATACATATTTAAGATTTTTTTGCCCTGATGATGACGATTTTAAAACAGGTCAAAAGCTTGGCAGATAATAAATAATTGAATATTTATATAGAATTGTTTTATTATGTTAAAAATAAAAAATAAAATGTAAAACATTTTTAATTGGTTCAGGGTCAAAAACTCCAACAATCCAAGCTTTTTTTTTCCCAGTAAAAATATTTTTGAAATTTTCCTTAGATTTTTCTTAAAAGATCATTCTTTGTTTTAAAACTGAAAAGTGTGATGTGGGACAGTAAAAGGTTATCGACAAGCATTAAATTTCAGCAAATAAAAAATAAAAAAGTTTAAATGTATAATTTTTATTACATTGTCATTATTAATGTATCATTTTGAAGAAGTTGTATAGTAAAAAGTTAAAGTTGTATAGACAAGCATTAAATTTCAGCAAAAGATATAAAAATGTTTAAATAGATTATTTTTATTAATGTGTCATTTTGACAATGCTGAATAGTAAAAAGTTAAAGTTGTATAGACAAGCATTAAATTTCAGCAAAAGATATAAAAATGTTTAAATAGATTATTTTTATTAATGTGTTATTTTGACAATGTTGAATAGTAAAAAGTTAAAGTTGTATAGACAAGCATTAAGTTTCAGCACATAAAAAAAATTTGTATAATGATTATTTTTAATACATTGTCATTATTAATGGACCATTTTGATTAAGTTAAATGGTAAAATGTTAAGCCAACAAACAGTTAACAAATGTTTAGACAAGCATTTTTTTTTTTAGCAAATAAAAATTTAAAAAAGTTTAAAATTTAATTTTTTTTTTTTTTTGAGAGAGAGAGAGAGTGAGAAAGAGAGAGTGAGAAAGAGAAAGAGAGAGAGTAAGAGAGAGTGAGAGAGAAATATGGAGATATATCAGTTTCCCGGAGAACAAGGCCATTTCTATTGGCAGATATTGTTTTCATGAGACATAAAATATAACTATAAAGAAAAATTGTTTTTCATTTCAAAATAAATAAGTAAAAATATGCATAAATATAAATTCATGTTGTGTTGCCTGCAAGTTGCAAGTTGCAAGCAAACAAAATATAAATGTCAATTGTAAAAGATTTAGAAAAATTAAGTAATTGATTGATTTTATTACAATTTTTAAAAAATAAACTTTTTCTTTAATATTATTAGAGTTTATAAATATGAAAAATAAATAAATGTCAAATTATTGGACCTATAACTTGATTAGGTTTTCAACAGAGGGGTACAATTTTAACAAGATGTTATTTTTATGAAGAGATTAACCTTAGTAAAGTAAATGTTAGTTAATTATAATACTAATTTAAAAAATTATTTTCTATTAAAAACAGGCTTAGTAAATGTAAACTATATATAAAAGATTTTAGGAGGAAAAGAGCATTTGTCCCTTGCATTTTGTAAAAGGATTTTCTTTAGAAGTTTAAATTATGATTTTAATTTTTAAAATATCTCAAAAGTTAGCATGTTGGAGATATTTTAAGCAAAATTTGCTTTATTATTTAAAAAAAAAAAGTAAAAGGACAAAAGTCCTTTGCTTTTCAGTTGTGGAAAATCGAAAGATCGAGCCGCAATCGATTGGCGCGGGCGCATGAGTGAGATAAGGGAACTACGGCTCGTCGGCTGTCGCTGTAAAGTGTAATCTGTAAAGTGTAAGGTTAGGGGTTAGGCAGCGTTCGTCGCGTTGCATTCTTGTCGGACTGCTGTCGGCACCAGCGATTATTCGTCGATCGTCGGTAGTTTTGGGCCGTGGCTTTCGTTTAAATCTATCATCAATTCCTTATGTAATGGCGGCCCAGAACAAGCAGTACCCGAAAGACGGCCTCGTCATCATTTCAATGATGAAGGAACTGGGTATCACCAATTTCGAACCGAGAGTGGTGAACCAATTGATGGAATTCGCAATACGTGAGTATAAATATTGATATTTTGATAATATTAAAAAACATTTAGAACTTTAGCCTTGCAGTCAACATTTTGTTAACGTTCATGATAATTTGGTTGATTGTAAAAGGCAGAATTAAATGTTTAATTTTTTCTCGTTATTTCTGTTTTACTCTGTGAATTATATAAAATTGGAGGATCGCTTAGCTGCTACGATGAGCAAATCCCCCCACCCCCTTAACAAAAATTGTACTCCATCCAACTTGGAATGATGACCACGAATAAAAAATTGGCATTATGACGGGCTGCCTCAGTACAGTGTACCAATTACTTTCAAATTTGATAACAAGTATAAATATATTTTAATCGGAATAATCAGGTAAACCTGCAAGTTAAGGAATCAATGCAAAAACATTATAATATGCTAGGTAAAAGGGCATGCAGGCATAAAACATAATGAAAGAATCGACCAGTTAGCCAAGGAGACAACCGTTAATTCTCCCACTTATTTGCAGCTAACTGTTGGAGATGGTACTAACAATATCAAAAGAGATGTGCGCAGAAAGTGGCAAAATTGGTACACAGGCACAGTTGGGAAGTTGTATCGTTCATTATTCCCAACATTACAAAAGGTGGTTTCAAGAAATAGAGGAAAAGTCTTCTCAAAATTGCATGACTCCGAACTGGCCATGGCATCTGTGGTTCATATTTATGCAGGATTTACTGTAGAACATAGCCATACTGCGCAACATGTGATTTAGAAGAGAGCCATGATCATATACTATTTCAGTGAACTGAATATGAAGCCCAGCGAGAACAATTTTTGAAAGAAATGTAGGCCCTGGTGAAGGTGAAAAGGTCGCTAAGCTTAAGCGTTCTGCTGGCAGAGAGTGACAGAAGTCTATGATACTTCGTTCCAATACTTTAGAATTTACCCAATTTTTTATTTACCAATTTATTTAATTAAACAGTTAGTTACTTAGTTAGTCACTGGTGCCTGAATAGATTTGGCTGAATATCCCTGATAAAGCAAAAAAAAAAAAAAAATGTTAGACTTTTCAAATGTACTGGTGAAAAAAGTTATCGTCTTGAAATAATTATTATTCTAAGTTTAGATGTTATCCAAATTAAACCAGCAATCTGTCGTAACATTCAATAAATGATTTTGATGGAGAATATCAACCAATAGTTGCAAAGGATAGTTCTATAAACTGGTTTTGCAGTGATCCGGATACTTAGTCTGATGAGGTTTAAAGTTCATGAGTTTGAAGGTATCCAAGCGTTGATGTGCAGTAGATGGACGAAGGAGGAAGTGGAAGTAAGACATTGCTTCATCATTGTTTGCCTGATGATGGGTTATTACAGTTTACTCGACTACAATTAGACTAACTTTAAATTAAAACTATTTAATTTTTCTATTTGAAATTTTTATTTTCAAAATAGACATATTTATAGGAAACTAATTAATTATTTCAGTTTTTCCCTTCTAGGTTACGTTTCTTGCGTATTGGACGATGCTCGAGCGTTCGCAAATCATGCTAAAAAAAAGGCAATAGACAATGATGATGTTAAACTAGCCGTGATGATGCAGTTAGAAAAAGTATTTACAACTCCGCCACCCAGAGATGTAAGTTAGAATGACTAGTGCTAATGCCAATATTGAAAAAATTGTAAACTGTCGATGCATATGGATTTAATTAAAACTGTGCTTGGTTCTTGGGGACTCATTATCATGCTTGTGATGATGATCGTTAATAATTTGTACTCAATTTAAATTAAATTGGGTCAATTAGAAGAATTGGTCAAATCTAGACAGTTATTTTTTATTTATTGGCACATTAGGTCAGGTCTGTTTTAATAACTTTGAAGTCTCACAAACATATTTTTTATGTTTTAACTGGTCATATTTGTTCATTAAGTTTAAATTTACAATTAATAAGTGGGAAAATGTGTTTTCTTTAATTCAAAAGAAAATGTAAGTTTGTTGTTATTGTTTAATTTTCAGCTTCTTCTGGAAGTGGCAAGGACAAAAAATAGTTCCTCTTTACCACTTGTTAAGTCACATTGTGGTTTGCGTTTACCTCCAGATCGCTACTGTTTTTCATCTTGTAACTATAAACTTAAATATAGTAAAAGATCGTCCGAACTCAATAAGGTATGAATGCTGTGTGTTTATACAAAGTTTATATAATTTTAATGTTATAGTTTTTTCTTTTACCAGACCAAGTTTACATTAAGCGGCAACAGTGGTTTAAGTTCGTCGTTGAAAGTGACTAAAAATGCTGGTGCTGTCTCGATGGTGAAAAGACCTCCGAATGTCGCCAGTGTCGCCCGGACTCAGTCTTTGACTTCTCTGGCCAAACCCGTCATGAAAATTACCACGAGTAAGTTAAGCGTAAATAAATGGCCCGATTTTAATTTATTAATAACAATGCTGTTGAAGGTCCGATGATGGTTAGTGGTCAAGCACAACAAATGATACATGCAAAAGCGAAAATTCAACAAGGGGGCCAACACCAGCAAGTACAGCAACAGTTGCAACCTCAGCAAATAGAAGTAAAGATTGAACCTCAAGACACATCCGATGAAAGCGTAAGTTTAAAAAGAAAGAGAGAAAACGAAGAGCAAGAAGAAGAAGGACACTAAAATTTGCATCAAATAAGAATTTTACATTGATGTAATTGGTTAAGGATATTTAATCAACAAAAATGAATTTAACCACATTCTTAAAGAAAAAAACCTTAAATTAATTCTTTGATAACATACAAATTAATAGCCCTTTTTGTTTAAGGCTTGTGAATATTTAGTTTTATCATTGATTTCTAAGTGTTTTATAAAACAAATATTTAGTTAATATTAAAGTTTGTACCATTGTAAATACAATTTTTTTAAATGTAATATAACTATGCAGAATTGTACTGAGTAGAAATACCCACTCACCTACAATAAATAACGACTCAACAACTACATCGCTGACCATAGAAGGTCGTTCAAGGCTCACAAAACTCGCATTGTACGGCACTGCTATGGCGATGTAGAAGGTGGCAATGAGTATAAGCCAGTCCCAACACGTCTTAAATACTCCGTAGTGGGACAGAATCAACCGTGACTTTTTCAAAGCAGACGTCTTGTACTCAGGCAATGACTGAAATGGTAAAAATAACAGGCGTTTATACAAGGTGACTACACATTTCAAGAAATGGGTTAACAAGTTATATGTAACAGATTTTTTTGAACAAGTTTAGACAGAATAAAAACCTTACATACTCACCCCCACCTGTATGATTTCTATTAAAAACCTTCGACTATTGTGCATAAAATTTCATTCTATAAATCATGCTCAAAAAATCAAATCCCTTGTAGTTTTTAATTATTGGTTGTTTATGTACATATTAATTAATTTAAAAAAAAGGTTCACTCACATTTTTGTGCATACACGGAATAATAACTAAAACATTTGTTTTTTAAATAAATAATTATATGATATTATGCAAATAAAGAACTAAAAAGACACTGGTAATTGTACAGTCTTGTCTTTCAGAAAATGGTGTTTTTACTTAATCTGCTTTTTGGGTAAGTTTTTAAATTGTTCCAAACAAGAAAGCTTACTGGTTCTAGTTATACAAGCCCAATTTAAGACGGCATATTCATAGAAAGTTTTTTTTTAGCCTGTCATAAATAATTATTTTTCTACCTAAGTCGAAAACAAAGTACAATATTGTGATTTTTGTTGGTTTGTGTATGGCTTTTTCAGTTAGAATGAGACTTAAAAAAATTGGATTGATATCTTTGCCAGGCTCAAGTGTGGAAATAAAATTGTCTATTGAAAATTTATAATTTGTAAGAAATTCGTGGGAGTTGTGTCTTGGATAAAATAATTTTTCTTGCTCCTTAACGATTTATTTTGTTTACCTAGTACAGAAACCAATGATATTGTGATATACTATTGTAGGAAAGAGACAAAATTGGTATGAACTTGTTTGCAGCCATCCAATGTTGTATAAACAATTTAAATTGTATTGCCTGAGCACAAATATATGAGCTAGGTCAGGTCAAGGATCTGTTTAAAACAACTTTTAGAAGAAGGATTATATATATATATATATATATATATATATAACCTCATCCCATTAAGAATAGGCCATGCCAGATCGACACACGACAATTTTGGTCCAGAGCCATCATATGTTTCTAGCATGCAGAGAAAGGTTGGTTAATTTGTCCCACCTAATTAAAGGGTTCAATTCCTTGTCTCCATAGAGAGAGCGTGTAGGAATACGACCAGATATGAGAATTGTACTGGAGCATGTCCAACATAAGAGCAGATGTTGGGTTCCTTATTCCGATTCTTGGAGTTAACAGGGTTGTTTTGTTGTATGCAAAAATAATAGTTTTGTGCCCTTAGCTTGTGTCGAGAATGAAAGTATTTATTAGTGTGAATGTGTAATGTGAGAGGATCGATGGCAGAATATTGAGTAACCCATTGGCCCTTAATTAGGTTAGTTATGTAATAGGAGTAATGAAAATAGGAAAGAATGTGTTTAAGGTTGAGTGTGAATGAATTTAATTGATTGGGGGCTGAAATTACCTAGCTGTTGATGATAGCCCCTGGACTACCAACACCCGGGATGGGTGATTTCTAGACCTGCAGGTAATTTATTGTAATACAAAAGCTTGAATTACCGGTGGACTGTGAGTAGTGATAGGCTCAACACTGTACACGAGTGTGTATATGCGTATGCAGATTTATGCTTACATTAGTAATTAGTAAGGAGCTAGATGTTATGGCAAAATCAATACATTAATTATTTAATGAAGTTTACTTATAAGAGTACATATTTAAAAAAAAGAGTTAGTTAACAATGGTCAGTTTTTCTTCTTGAACTATAGAACATCTTTGATCGCTATAAAACATCTCAGATTAAATTTTATCAAAAATAAACGCCATAAAATCAAGTGCATATCTTGTTATAATACAAAAATATATTTTATTTTGTATTTATTTTGAACGATATACGAACAGTGAAATCAAACACTGAGTCCTGAAGATGGTTTCATTAAAGATCGAAACGTTGGCACGATAAAGAAAATGTTTTTCTAAAACCTACGTCACACCAGACCATCTCACGATCTTCAAATAATCATTGAAAACAAACGAGGAAATGTTTTCGGATGCACATTTATATAAATATATTTTGTTAGCAAGTCGAGGGAGCAGAGGAGGTCAAAACCGCCAAGTCACACTTCTCCCCGTGCTAAGTGTCCTTGCATCTTCAGTGTCCATTTGTTCGCCGGGCTTTTAACTTCACGACGTCTGCAAACGTGTACGAACGGGTTCAACTGTAATTTCCGATTCGTGGAAGGAGTTCAATTTGATTGGGAAGGGTGGCAAACATAATTTACCCAACTGTAAATCACAATCCCAAGATTGTCGACCCCCTGAAGGGCAAGTTCGAACTTCAAATATAAAATAAATGTTGAGTACGTGCGTGCTCCTATGTGCGTGAGGATACAAAAGCAAACTTCACCTGATGGTGGGCAATATAAATTTCTTTTTCTTACGAATTAACACTTCACAATCGTTATTTTTCTATATTGCATTTTACACTATTTTTATTTATACACTTGTGTTAGATAAAAACATACTTCAATTTTTATTACTACCAGACCCTAGGCATTTTTTTTCTTTTGAAATTGCATTTTATATGGAGATGTACGTTTTGCGTGCGAGTGAGAGATAGCTTTTTTTCTTCATTTGATAACTTATAAATCATTGGCTTAATACAGACGAATGGCCTGGGCTTTATTTTACCTTTTTTTAGCCTCAGCTGCCTCTGATAAAAAGAAAGATAATGTGTTTTGTGCTAGGTGCAAAACAAATTTTGTCTAGGTGCCGAAAAAGTCCTTTCAGTTCAATTAAATCAAGGATTTTGTAGATTTAACAAAAACATTTGTTCAAAAGAGATGCAAACTAAAAGATTTTCCGAGGCTCGAGCACGAGTGGAGTACAACATCAACATCTCAACAACAAATAATCTAAAACCAAAGTTATAAACATTTATTAAATACTAAATTGAAGGTATCACAGAGCTTGATGTGCGGTGAGCTAAAACCTCAATGTATCCAAACATTAGGCTAAAATTTAACTAAAAAGGGATACAATAAACAGTAGCTACTTTAAAACAAAAGGATATGGTTCAAAACTAATTACTTTGGATGGTATTTGGCTATGGTCATACCTTCGATTATACAACCTGACGGCTCCATCCATTCCGTGAAAACCGTTAAGAAAATCGGCAAGGGATTCACATTTTCCGAATTGTCCTTTCTGTTTTTGGAGGCATTCAGTTTAGGACATCTTTAACACGGTGTGCCGGATGGTTTGTTCTCCCTTTTATGTAGTTTACTGGAAAAGCATGAAATTGGGGAGGAACTTCGTCCACATTAATAAAAACGCGAACCGCCCATTTTATTAAAAAAAAAAAATAAATAAATAAATAAANATATATATCTTGAGAAATGAAGAAAAACTTATCAGAAAAAATAACTTGTTTTAATATATTTGTTAATCAGGAAAACCAGATTTAATTGTATTACTTTCTATTGTAATAGTAACTTTGTTTTATACTCAGAACTTTCGTTAAATCCACACAGGGTTCTATAATTATTTGGTCATTTGAAAACGTCGTGAGAAGATTTTTTTTATAGCTAATTTGTTGTGTAGCTAATTAATAATTAATTACGTAAAGATTTTTGTATTAACTGTATTGAACTGTTAGAATGAGGATATGTAAAAGTCGAAAGGGTTCGTGTCTTCTTTGGAGCTCCTGAGCCAGAGGGTAGTAGCTCCAGGAGGAAGAAAGCTCCACGCTCTGTGCAGAAGTTTGTAAATAGCCGGTACTACAAAAAGGGTAGTCACTGGGCAATGGGCAGTCAGTAGTTGCTTGGTGTGACGCTGGATAGTTGTCACGAGTCAGTTAGTTTTAAGTGTTAGATGTATCGACCACATTTCTACTCACGTTTACCCTGGATCAATTTTTGTTACTGTTGTTACTGCGAAGTTTTCGACCTATTTAAAGGTCAAACAATCTTAAATAGGTCCTCAGACTGACATAATTAAGTCCCGACATTGCCATAGACCGTTAGTCCACCATCCTTGGAATGGAGTCAGTCTTCATACAGAAATTTGAAATCGTCTATGAAAAACTTGATCATGTCAACCCGTAGACTCATTTAATTTTGCCGTGAAGATGACTTTAAACAGGTCGATAGCTTTGGCACTAACCACTGAATTTGCTTTTTCATCAAGACCATACCGTATTTAGAGTTAGCGTTATGAGAGTTAGTCGACAAGTCACTAGTGATATGTTCGAAGTTTGAATGCGACACTTGTTGGTTGCAAAAATGAAGACGAGTGGGCTTTTCGTTTAGTTCGTCATATTTTTTTTATGCACCATTCTTTGGTACACAGATGTATCTAGAACACAAGAAGGTACAGGGGCAGACTCGGAACCAAATACTCAGAACCTATGGGAAAATACACCAGTATCTTCCAAGCTGAGATTCACGCAATCGAAATTTGTACTAATCCTAATAGGATTCCTAACAGGACACTGCAAGTTAAATGGACACTTAAAGAAGAATGGAATAATCCGAGACGGCACATGCAGATTCTGCAAAGAGGCAGAAGACACACCAACACATCTACTAACAAACTGCGGAGCTACACTTGCCCGCAGGAGGAAGTGTTTTCGGATGTATAATGTGACCATAGAAGAACTTCAACACTGGCCTCTCACTGATGTGCTTTAGGCAGAGTACGCGGGATACAATAGCTCTTAAAGGACTCAATATACTATACCCCGAAAATTACATCTACATCTACATCTTGATTTTTTATGACGTGAGCGAGCTTTGGAGGGAATATCTTGGGATATCTTTGTGGATTTGAAGCAGTTAATAAGAAAATGTGAAGACCCGGCATTATTTTTTATCGCCCATGACGGATTCGGTAAAAAAATCAATTCTGACGAACTTGATGACTCTGATTGATGATGATGATTGTGACTCTTTTCTATTACGATTCATTCCGAACTGTCTATAAGTAATTTTATTTTTCAATGAATTATATAAAAAATGAATACA